AAAATATTTTTATTAATAATGTTCATATAATTTTTATAAAAATATTTAAATTATATTTTTATAATAATTATTTTTATAAAATATTCAAAATATATAAAATATGAGTAAGAATGTCACAGAAAAAAAAAAGTATATTGTCTTAGATGATATTTAACCCATCACTTCTTTTAGAACAAGAATTTGAATTATAATAATAAAATAAAATAACTCAGTGAAGTAAAGCTACTATATTTTATTAATCAACAAATATCAAAAATAAAATAAATTATTGTATCTTATTATCTTATCTTACTTCTTATATATTAAACACAAGTCTGTCAATGATAATATTATAAAAATTATTGTAAATAAGAGAATTTTTATTAAGTTATTCACTTTCTTCTCTTATGTTCAGTATTTAACCTTTTCATTAAATTCAATCATAATTTTTTAATTTTAAAAATCATATTTCTTTAGTTCAATCATATTTTTTTCTTTTATATGTTCGGGAAATCTAACAAACACGAAGAAACAAACTGAAGTCATTTTGTTTTAAACATTTTTTTCTTTTTATCTTGTCCACTCCTTTTTTGTCAAAACCTTTTTGTCTACAGTTTTTAATGATTCTCAACGCAGTTTTTATTTGGACAACACTTAATGGGCTTCGACCTCAACTTAACTTAGGGCTCTATGGATCCTAAATTTTTTCCTTCAACTTCGAGTTTTCATTTGATTTTAAACTGCTTAATAAAGAAATTTTTGATATGACATTTCAAGCATTATTAATGTTCTTGTCCAATTAAAATAAATGTTTTATTTTAATAATCAATATTTTCATTTTAAAAAAATCAAAATCAATTAGCATTATGAAACATCGATTCCAATGAGAAAATAACATTATCTAAATCTAAATTTCGTTTCACTCCACTGTCTACGCTTTTTAATGCCAAAACTTGAAAGATCAACTTCAAATTAGGTAACTGTTACCATTTTTTAGGTTATGTTAAAATATACTATGTAATATTTTGTGTATTGGATCAAATCTTTGATTTGAAGTGTAAGGACTTAAAAACGTATATTTTATTTACTAAAATAAAACATTTTATTTATTGGGCTAATTTATTTAAATAATTCATTTTTAAAAACAAATTTTTATAATATAATTTTTTTAAAAACTAATTTCCTGTCAGATGCGATTTTTAGCTAGATTAACAGCAATATCGTACTTGCATGTTTAATAGCATATTTTTTATTAATATTTAATATACTATTATTCCCTATCAACCGATAATGGTCCATAAGTAAATATGTGGCGAAAATCGAACATATATCACTACAATAGGAGCAATTGATATTGGATAATTAAGATATTGACATGCATCCTCAACAGGGTTGAATGAGAGCTTTAGAAACGATAGTCATATTCGTGGTCAAAGTGCAATACTTGCATTGTTATTTTGTTCTTTGCTACATTAAAAAATAATATTGTCTCTTGAAATCAGAGCAACAACTAAGTGTGCGTCAACTAGTAACTATAAATTGTCAAACTGCTGTAACAAAATCACCAGTTAAGGAACCTCCATCTCCTACCTATAGCACAACTTTGAGTCAACTTCAGAGGGAGACAGCAAAGGAACCACCATTATGCTTATCTTTGTCCCAAACATAAATTAAAAAGAGAATGAAAAAGACAAACTAATAGCTTTAATTATAATTAATTAATTAAAACTATGTTGTGTTGTCTAGTTGTTCACTGAGTGTGAAAGAGAAAAGAGGTTATATTTGGTGTTCCTTTGTGAACCATTTTCCATCTCCTATGCAGAAGTCTAATCTTGCATATGAAAGAACCAACCAATCTGCAACAATAAAGGCAGAGCCAGAATAGATTGAAGCAAGACCCTCTTCAGGAAATGACAATGGGAACTCTTCTACTCATACAAATGTGACAATAATGAAAGAAAGAATTTGAGTTACACGTGGCAATTTAAGAAAAATCCAATCAATTGGAACCCGTTAGCCCATCAATATTGTCCATTTTTAGCCTGAAATAGGGATAGATGGACAATAATGAGCATTGAATTATTGTAAAACTTTATGTAAATATGTTTCTTAAGTTTTCATTCTATTTGTTGCTTCATTTTATATATCTTTAAATTTTGTCTTGGCATGGAAGCTTTGTAGCCTGATGCCACTTTACAGAGTGCGACAAGACAAAAGTGTAACAACCTTATGTCAAAATTTCGTACAATATATATATTATACTTTATAATTTAATATAAAATATGAAGTTTGTGTACAATGACTTTATTATAACTAATTACTGAAATGTTCATCTCGTTTGTAATAATTTGTATAAATATTTCCATTTTGATTAGTATAAATAGTACGACAAATATTTTTAAATGTTGTATTAAACATAATAAAAAATTCACAATTTGAGAGATTGTGCATGCATTTCATAAATTAAGTACAATAATTTATAAACTATTTATCAAGATATATGAGACTTGAAATAATAATTACATTAAAACATAATTAAGCCTAAAATATACGGATCTATCTACTAATCTAATTCTTTCCTGAGGCTCCATCCTGGTTTTCTGAAAATTTTAGTAAAGATGAGCGTCTATTTTATCCCTTTACAAACATTTAGCATAAAAATCATAATTTTAATATAAATACAACACATTCAATTTCATGAATTTATATTCACAAACATGTTCACATTACACATAACAATTAACAATTCATTATCCATTTTCCTTCTTGTTATTCCAATACGCACTCCCAGTGCACTGTGATCACAGATACCGATGCCTCCAGCACTTCTCGAGGTCTTACTCAACTAGGTAAATAGTCGCTGGTTAGCCTATGCACACAGATATAACATGTACAATAATCGGACCTTTTAGCAAATGCATAGTCAAAAGTTTAGTCAGAAAATGAGTGTGAGGCCATGTGATGCATTTGCTCTCAAAAAGAGTGTGTATACATATGCGAATGTCACTCACCATCCCATGTTTCTCCCAGATTTTCATCATCTTCGAACTCTATATCCCCAGTATATCTATGTAACTATTCACACTAGATCAAATCCATATCTAACTCTTAGTTTATTCTTAAATTATTCTCTTTCTCACTCATCAGATCGTGCTTAGTAAAGCACTTCCAGACTAAGTCCATTCCACGCATACATTCATTGATACAATTTCAACCGTAAATCATTTGATATCAACATCGTTATCTTATATCATTTTACTCAAAATATATTTCATAGAATCACACAAAATCACTCAGCAACAGCATCCAAGCTTGATTATGAAGAGAAATCAAAGTTTCTGAGACTTATCTAGATGAAAGGAAGAGATAGTTTAGAGAAGAATTGAGAGAGGGACGTGAGTTTGTAATAGAATTAATTTCTCATGCGAGAAATCTCTTAGATACCCCTTAGCCCCATGCGTTCTCGCTTGAGTGAGGGACATCTCGCTTAAGCAACGATATCTTGCTTGAGCGACAAGTATCTCGTTTAAGCGAGATATACAAACAGTGGTTTCGCACCCTCTTTTTTGATATGCTCACTTGAACGAACTCCATCTCGCTTGAGTAAGATTGTGTCCAGAGAGCATGATATTGCTCCTGTGAGTCTTCACATGGGCAACCTATCTCGCCTGGGTGAGGTTATAGTTGGACAACATTTATCTTATCTTGCTTGAGCAAGATAGCCCTGCAACTATTTTCCTGCATGTTTAATCTCGCCTGGGTGAGATTCACCTTACCTGAGCGAGATCTCCTGCACCAAAACTTCTTTAAAATCCTCTAAACTTACATCTAAATGCATTCTAATGCTACTCAATATTCAATAAACATAATTTACTGAAAAATGAGAAAGTGTTACAAAAAGTTTCGTACTTTGTCAATCGATAGCAACATAACTATCGTTCCTAAAGCTCTAAATACAATTTTGTTAACGACGTGTGTTAATATCTAAACCGTTTAATATTTATCGCTTCTATTGTGGCGATATATGTTTGATTTCTATCACGTGTTTATCTATGGATTAATATCGGTTGATGAGAAACGATAATATATTAAATATTAATAAAATTATGCCATCAAACATGCAAATGCAATATTATTGTTGACTTGACCAAAAATCACACCAAGCAGAGAATTAATTTTAAAAAAACTCTATTATAAGAATTTATTTTTAAAAATGTATTATTTAAATAAATTATCCTATTTACTGAAACATATATAATAAAATGAATATTTAATAACGTATATAATAAAACAAAAGTTTTTAATTTAAGAAGCTTTTTTTTTATGATGCATGATACTATTTATATTTAAGTGATTTATCTAGAAAAAAAAATGATGATATGTTATATATGTATTTTTAAATTTAATAAATTTTTAAAAATAAATGTGTTTATTATTATTTATTTTACTATATTAAGTAGAATTAAATTAAACAGATATAAATTTTCAAGTTAATAAATGAATTATAACAAATTTATAATTTAAATTAAGATTTTTTAAAAATAAAATGCTTAGTACAAAAGAAGCTATGTGATATAACAAAGAAGATAATATTTTTTAATTGCAAAAAAGAAAAAGTTAATATTAAAAAAAACCTATTTAAGATAATTTTTAATGTTAAATATAGATTACGATATAACGCAATCAAAATATTTTCTGTTTTTTAAAAAATTATTTAAGATAATATGTTTAAAATTGATTTTACTTTAAAAATTATATTTAAAACTAAATTAAAAATTAAATTTACGTAAAATATTGAATTTAAAATTAATTTTAACAAAAATCAAAATTTAAATTAGTTTTAAATTAAATTTAAATTTCAAATGTAATTTTAAACTATTTTAAAAAATATATTAATTTTTTTAAAAATATACATATAATTAAATTTAAAATAAATTTAAATTAGTTTTGGGTGAATGAATCCTTTCACACCCTACTGTTATTTTAAATTTTCGATCATCCCCACCCCAAAATTTAGAATTCGGGGAAAAGCTATTTAAGATTCTCGCTTTCTGGCTTATGCCATGAAATTGCGTTCTGCATCACTCACACTGACATGGACTTAAACGAAGACTTACACTGTTTACTATCGGAGCAACGCCGCGAACTCGCCGCCGCGGAAGCCATGGAATCCGACCTCGACTTCGCCTTCCGCCTCCAGTTACAGGAGGCTCTCGCCGCCTCCCTCGCCGTGCACCCCTCTTCCTCTTCCTCCACTGCCGCCGCCGTCGAAGAACCCGTCGTCGACGACGAAGGCGCATTGAATGCGACGGCACTCCAGAGGGAGGAGTTGGCGAGGACTGAGCGCGAGATGAAGGACAGGGACCAGAGCGAGAAGGAGATGCAGAAGATTAGGGAGGATCTGTGCCGTCGGATTCACGATCAGAAGGTGGCCAGCGAAATTCTGACGATTTCCGAGGTGGATTGGCAGCAATGGGGTGATAACTTTGAGAAACCCTTCGGAGAGGGTTCGTCTTCGTCTGGGGGAAGGAGTGGGACTCAGAGAGGGTTTGATGAAGATTCGATTTTTAGGGTTTATTTTACGGGTTTGGTGAGTGGGGAGAGTGTGAGGGGTCAGAATATCGGGTTGGCTGGGATTGGGGTTGCGATATGTGATCCTGCTAATAATTTGATATTTGAAGTTTCCAAGTCGTTGCTTGGGAATGGAACTAGTAAGATTGCTGCTGAGTTGAAGGCTTTGATTGAAGCCTTTAATGCTGCCATTACTTTGGACTTGAAGCGCGTTGCTTATTATTGCGATTATTATCCCCTCTTCCAATTCGTGAGTTGACAACAAAATATTTTTATATATAATATTTATTGTTTAATTGTTGAGTTGATTTTGGTGAATTCTATAGCCTGGAGGAAGAGTGGTCTGTTAATTTATAATGCATGATTCAAATGGGTAACTGCTATACTGGGTGCATTTGGATATATATTTTAACCAAGTGTTTTTTTAATAATTTTTGAAACTTATTAGGATTAGTTGAAAATAACTTATTTTATAAGCTATGCTAAGAAATTTATTAAAATAAGTTAAAAAGACCTTATTAGGAGTCATAAGCTATTTTCATAAGATGTTCATAAGTTCTTTCAAACAGGCCCTATGAAAGATTGGAATTTGTCGCTTTTATTGTGTTATGCTGCTTGGTTATGATATGAGAGATTTTCATTTGAAATTTTAACATGTTTCTTGGAGAATCTTCTGTAATAAAAACTGGGGTTTTGGGGGCAAGAACACGCATGCGTTAATATTTTGCTGCTTGTGCGAGTTTAAGATGATGGTAATGTGATAATGTTATCCTTTTTTTGCTGGTCAGGTACGTGGAAAATGGCCGGTGAAACAGCGGAAGGTTGCTAAGCTAGTTGATCAGGTGAATCTGCTTCAAAGTAAATTTACGTACTGCAATCCAAGGCTTGTGGCTAGACATGATGTCAAGTTTGCATTTAAGCTTGCTAGAGATGCAATTGTTTCTCAGTCCATGAGGCCTGGAGACTCTGGGAGTAAAAAGAATCTGAATGAAACTTGTGTCATATGTTTGGAGGATACTAATGTCAATCAATTTAAGCTTGCTAGAGATGCAATTGTTTCTCAGTCCATGAGGCCTGGAGACTCTGGGAGTAAAAAGAATCTGAATGAAACTTGTGTCATATGTTTGGAGGATACTAATGTCAATCAAATTTTTTCAGTGGATGGCTGTCAACACCGCTATTGCTTTTCTTGCATGAGACAACATGTGGAGGTCAAGTTGCTTCATGGAATGGTTCCTAAATGTCCTCACGAGGGATGCAATCACGAGCTTCTACTTGACAGCTGCAGAAAGTTCTTGACTCATAAATTAGTTGCAACCATGCAGCAACGAAAATTGGAAGCTTCCATTCCCGTTACAGAGAAAATTTATTGCCCTTATCCAAGATGCTCTGCATTAATGTCAAAAAGTGAGGTTTTGGAGTACTCCAAAAACCTAATTGGTGAATCTCAACAATCAGGACCCAAGAAATGCATAAAATGTCATGGTCTTTTCTGTTTCAGCTGCAAGGTCCCTTGGCATAGCGGTATGACATGTTCTACTTACAAAAGGTTGAATCCTAACCCTCCTGCTGAAGATTTGAAGCTTAAGTTTCTGGCATCAAGGAGCCTATGGCGGCAGTGCGTGAAGTGTAACCATATGATCGAACTTGCTGAAGGTTGCTATCACATGACTTGCAGGTACTTCCTAGTAATAGAAAGTTAGCCAACATACATAATTCCTGGTAGACATAATTGTTAACTATTATTCTAGTAGAGTCATACTATATGAGAAGCAAGAGCAGTTGGATGAGTGACATGGATACCGTCATGTGGAATCTTTAATTCATTAAGTTTACACACACGCACATATAAGAATCCTAAAATCTTAAAGATGTTTGTAGAACTAACATATGACAATAACAACCACTAGATGAGTTCAGCTATATGGAACTTACAAAATATGACAATGTTCAGGAAAATCTTGATAAATTGTATGTACATTGTGAGCCCTATGGAAATATTTATTGGACGAGGAAAATAATTCTCTTTGCCCAATGCACCTACAGGTGACGCGAGCTAATATTCTTGGTTCCTATTATTATATTCATATAAACAATTTATAGATTTCCATATGTGGAGAAGTAAGTCATCAGTAGTGTTGAATCTCAACACTGTCTTGAGTGGGAAGCAGTGATATGTTGGCCCATTGATGCTTTAAGTTATAGTCCATGATATCATTTTATATTATATCCTTGCTTTACTTGTGATTACAGATGTGGTTACGAGTTTTGCTATAACTGTGGGGCTGAGTGGAAAGAGAAAAAAGCAACATGTACTTGCCCACTTTGGGCCGAGGATAATATTTGGTTAGAGGATCACTCGGAAGAAGAAGAAGAGGAAGACGAAGATGATGATGATTATTATAACTCTGATTATTCTGATGATTTTTATTAAGTAGCTAACCACTTGACTGGGTTGACGATCAGGTTTTACAACTAGGAAATATATATATATGTAGTATTAGTAAGAAAAATGTGACTTGTCTTTCGTTTTCTTTCTCCTGATTCTCAGTTTCTTTTTGTCTTCTCCGGATTTACTGTTTGACCTTTTTATTTGGATTAAAGTATGGGAGCAATTCTTGGATGAGTACAAGGTTCGTTGGTAAAATCAATTAAAAGCTCGAGATACATTAAAATTCGTTATTTAAACAATAAAAATTGATGCTATATGTATTTCAAAATTGATGCTCTGAAGATTTTAATCCAGTTCCAGTCTACCCTTCTCCCTGACGAATTTAATCAGAATAACGGATTACGATAAATCTTAAAATATTTCAATTCAAAATAGCTGCAAGTTTCAACGAAATTATAATAAAATCACTAAGTTATTTGGCGGGGGAAAATAGGCACATACAATTGACGCATGATGTTTTTCTTTGGACGGTTTTATAAAGGTATGGATGGTGAAGCAATTCAAACGAAGAAATCTAGTGGGCAATCTGCACCATTCTCTTTAAGGAACTAAAAGCATTGTCTAGCTTATAGAATTTTAATTCTAGAATAATAAATTCTTTTTGGAAATTTAATTTTGGATTTATATTTTGAAAGTGATTTGTAAATCTCTTTTGGAATTAGATAGAGACAGTTTTGGAATAACTATTAAAAAAATAATGAATGGTATAACTAGTAAGAAAAGTAGTGTAAAAAGTATCTTTTTAAAAATGGTCAGAACAAAATTACTTGTTGATACGTCGGCATGACATCTCTTGCATCAATTAATATTCCTGAATGGGCCTACTCGCACAAACTGACCCTTCTTTATAATTTCCTCTTCTTCACTTGTAAAAGTAAAATACATTTTTAGCTCAATTTCAAATTCAAACAAAAATTAGCTAAACATATGTTTAAAGGTGGCCTTGGAAACTCTGATGACAGTAACAGGGTTCACTTCTGGGAATGCAAGGGGTCCCCTCTCAACAGCAACTACAACACAAGATCATCTGTATCAAGAAAAAAAATCCTTTCAATGGTGCTTCCCTTTTAAATATATAAGTAAAGATGTATCAATATATAAGAAGCAGGATTTTATTTTATTTTAACTTTTCTTTTAAAAATGTATAGTAAATTACTAGTGTATAGTTAATGCTTGGTAAATAGGTGGGTTGTTATTGTTTGAGTTGTTTGCAAAAAGAAAGAAAGGACTTGACAGAAATGTTTAGAAATTTTAATCTATGAAAAAACGTAATTGGCTGCCAAATTTTGAGAAATTAAACATTAATTTTAAACAATAATTAAATTTTTTTCTATGAAAACAACCATTTATAACACTGCTTGGACAAGCAAATATCATAAGCGGTAAACTATACCTCATTCCACTACCCATGTAATAGGCTGCCAAATTTGGTTAAATCATCGTTGTTTTGTTCCTTCTTCAAGCGCACCAAGTGGCACCCACTATCACTGTGTGGTTCGAGTGCGGTGGCATCTATTGATCAAATGCAACGAAGGATTAGTCAAATATAATTAAAATTTTAGAGAAGAAACAATGCATGAGGTTGTGTCATGTGAGCCCTTTATCCCTGTCTGTCAAAAGGTTAATAATTGTGTCGGCGTTAACTTTGTTGCGTTACGTCGGATTAGGTGCGTATCCCTGCCCACCAACTCAACAATAACATCGAAATAAACTTATTCTGTCAAATGGTTTTAATTAATTTTAATTTTTTATTGTTAAATTTCTAAAAAATGAATGAAATATATATAATATATGGTAGATAAATGGATAGCATTTGTGAATAGGCTAGCGTAATTATGTTCAAAGAGACAAATTAATTATCAAATGCAGTGTTATATATACTTTTAATGATATCCCAACAAAATATAGGGAAGGAAAGAGGGTTTGAGTTATGGTTGAGCAGTTAGGTTGAGGTGGTGCAGCGTGCAGGTAGGGCAGCGTAGGCTGTGCGCAATGCCACAAGGCGCAAGTACAGAGGACATTTTGGTGGCCGTTTTCACCCACAGCAAACCTTATTTGTCTATGTCATTTTCATAGACTTTTCAATCATACAAATTACTAGTTCTCGATTTTAAAAAATTATATTTAAGGTTGTAATATAATTATTCAAATCAATTTTTAATTATTTTACTTTTATTATAAAAATATTTATTATATCTATTCTAGATTTCTTTATCTAATAAATAAATAAAAATCAAAATGAGTTTTAAGATAATAATTATGTTAAAATTAAAATTAGAAGAAATAATTAACTTTAAAATAATTATTATTTTAAAAATATAAAATTAAAAATACTGTTTTTTAGAGAAAAGAATAATATATATATTATTTTTAATTAAAAATTACTATCCTTCATCTTTAATTTGAGTATGAACAATTATTAATGATTAAATTTTATAAAATAAATATGTATATTTTATAATTTTAATATAATGAACATGTTAAATTTTTAATAAAAATATTATTTTTTAAATATTTAAATTCTACTTTAAAAATTTAAAATTATTTTAATTAATGTGAATGGATAATGGTTATGCCAATATTATAAATGAGCGTGCAATTCTTTGATAAAATTGATTTACTTAAGCACGCCAGGATAATGCTATCTTCCTCTTCGATGTAATTTATAATAATAAGAATAATTGTAAATATAAAAAATAAAATAAATTTAAATATAATTATTATTTTTTTATAATTTTATTTATTGTAAATGTTATATTATTTACATAATCATTGTTTATATTTGTAAATATATTTATTTATTTAATATATAAAATAATAATTTAGTTATTATATATATATATTTGTAATGCACTATAAATTCATGATATATAATTTTTTTATTAATTTTTAATATATTAATTAATTATTTTTTATAAAAAGGATCGAAAGAACAGAATATAATGTTGATAATTTATTAGTAATAATTAATAATTAAAATGAGTAATTAACTAAACAATATAATTAATTTTTTTAACTGGCCAATATAGGACTAAATAAATAGTTTAATTTGACGCGTACACACTTGGTTTTATGGACCATTATTAAAGTGGTTAAATTGAATTAATAATGAAAAATAAAATATAATATATGTTCAAAGATATATAATTTTTTTACAAATAAATTTTTTTATTTAAAATAATATATTATTATTAAATTCAATAAATTGATAAATCTAATATATTTAAAAATAATATATATACATTTATTTATGGATGATATAAATAGGCTCATGTCATGTTTGAGTTAGTTTAACGCACATGTTAACAGGTTAATCTATTTAATTAACAAACTAAAATAAAGTAATTTCTAAAAATATATTTTAAGAATTTAATAAAGGTAAATAACAATAATAAAATATATAATTTTTAGCTAGTTATTTCTTATTATTAATTTAGTTATAGTTGAATCATCAAATTAGCTGATTACATTTTTCTATTATATAAAAAGTTGTTAAATTAAAATAATTAAACGACGATCTAAAATTGTGGCCAACTTTACTCTCTGGTTTGAATTATAAAAGATTGATACAGAAACTGTGTTAGAATTTGGTGGGAGGGTGAACTGGAATTTGACTTAATTGTTTTTTTAAAAAATTTAAAATTCACTTTTTGTAAAGAATATATTTATACCCTGTAACTTGCAAAACACTCTACACGTGGCCAACTGGGCCCCGTCGTAGCCACACACCACCCAGCGTCGTTCCTCCGCAAAGGCCCCTATCCTCCCTCCAAAATCATCCAACGCCTTTATTTATTCTTCAAATTATAGTTATTTAAATAAAATATTTAACACTACTTAACCTGATTATTTTATTAGTATCAATTAATTTAAAATATTAAATAAGAATTATAAATATAATTAATTTTAATTTATAAAAAATTATTTGTATATAATTTTTCTCAAGAAAAACTGGCCAAAAAATGGCGATGCGTGACCCATAACGGTTAAGAAGGAGCTAGACTTTTCGCTGGCGCAACGTCTCAATATAAATTCCAAAGAACCAAAAGCACTGCCATTTTTCTCACGCACCACCTTTTACTTCTTCGTCATTTCCATTTGGGTCCATTTCTTTGTCAACATTAAGCCCTCTAAAATTCAGCTTCACTTAAAAAAAAAATTAAATTAAAACAATATTATATTCGCATCCCTCGTTTTCCCTTTCTCTAACCAAAGCAAAAAAATATAAACCAAAAAACTCTTCTCCCAAATCCAATCTAAACTTGTCTTCTCCATCCAATCATTGTTTTTGGTGCTCTCTTTTTTATTGCTAAGAATGTGATTGTCTGTGAGTGGTTGAGTTGGGGAAAGGAAGAAGCATCATGAATTGGGGAGAATGGGCCAAGTTGAAGGAGTGCGCGAGGGAGTTCATGGTTGGTGTGGCGGAGATGACGGTGGAGTTTGGAAAAGGGTGCAGAGACATTGTGAAGCAGAGTTTTGTGAACGATGACTCTTATATTATCAGAAATTTAGGAAGAGATTCCTACATTGGGAGGAGAGTGAGAGAACCCTGCGTTAAGCTTTTCTCCAAATTGAGTTTCTTCAACGACTACTTACCAGAGGATAAGGATCCTCTTCACGCTTGGTTCGTCATTTTCTTCGTTTCGCTACTTGCTTTTTTAGGTAAAACTTCCAACTCTATAAATAAATACCCTATGTGTTTTATTTTTAAAATTTTATATTCCTAATTTGCGTTCCATTGTTTGGATTACATGATGTGATTGATTGGCTTGTTTGTAGCTCTGTATGCAAATTTTGAGCGTGATCCGTGTGGCTCTGCTCCTTTGGTGAAGCAAGTGTTTGTGCATCCTCCTAGTGCTACTCGCGTAGTGCTTCCCGATGGAAGACACATGGCATATAAAGAGCGTGGTGTTTCTGCGGACAAAGCTAGATTTTCAATGATTGCTCCTCATAGTTTTCTTTCCTCTCGCCTTGCAGGTTGTTTTTGGTTATTCCCTTTGTGTTGCATTAGATGTTATTTCAAGACTTTTTATTTAATTCAATTTATTTGTTACTTTAGAATATTAAAAAGCATTAATTTTCGCTTTCCAATATTACCCTTATTACCCTTATTTATTAATGATGATTTTTGCTAACAAATTACTAAAATAACTTTAAGATTAATTATCTCCTAATTACTGCAATAACTTTGACACTTTTAATAAGAGTATTTTAGTAAAATTAATTTATTTTGTTATAGTAATTTGTAAAACTAATAATTTCTTAAGATGTGTGCATCAGTATTAAGTTACATCTAATATGAGATGGAGGGAATAACTTTATTTGCTCAAATTTTGTGTGTTCAGCTATGGTCTTGACATAGTTGTTGTTGTTTTAACTTTGGACTTACATTTGAAATTAGGAATTCCCGGAGTTAAAGATTCACTGCTGGAAGAGTTCGGCATTCACTTGTTGACATACGATCTTCCTGGTTTTGGGGAGAGTGATCCTCATCCCAAACGGAATCTGGAATCGTCAGCAATGGATATGGCGTTTTTAGCGGATGCTCTTGGTCTGAACAAGTTTTGGGTCGTTGGTTACTCAAGTGGCAGCATGCATGCTTGGGCTGCACTCAGATACATTCCTGATAGACTTGCAGGTATTAATTATTAGTTGGTCTTTTGTTTATTTTATACTTTTTTCTGTTTATTTCCATGCAACATTTGGAATCTATTTATGCGATGAAATTTGGAGCTTTTATAAATTATGGTTACTCTGTTGTTCATTCACCTTTTAAATTACTGCTATCATCTACTTAGTTTTAATGTACTGTACTATACATCTACTTTTGTTCTTTTTTCCTTATCTAAAACACTTGAATGAGTTGTTTGAGTGTGTTATAAGTTTTACTAACTACTGTCTTTTCGCAAAATATATTACATAATTTATGTGTCCCATCTATAGAACCGAGTTTTTCAGAGAATAAGCATTGTGCCATGCTTTATGAAATTGATCTGTCGTGTATTAACTCTCAGGTGCAGCCATGTTTGCTCCCATGGTGAATCCTTATGATCCTATCATGACAAAGGAAGAGAGGCGAAGAACTTGGAACAAATGGACACGAAAAAGAAAATTCATGTACTTCTTGGCTCGGAGGTTTCCTAGACTTCTTGCTTTCTTCTATCAGCGAAGCTTCTTGTCAGGAAAGCATGGTCAGATTGATAGGTGGCTGTCATTATCTCTGGGGAAAAGGGTAAGGGAAGCTTCGCTTATCTCTTTCTTTCTTTGAGTCAACAAGTTTAATTTTTGGAATTCGACTCTTTTAAATTAAGTGATGCCCTTGCAAGGAATAAGTATGAAGTTATAGCTCTTAATTAGACAATCAATGGGATAGATTTCAACTGCATAGTTCATCATACATATGTATGCATTTTATCACAATCAACCATTGATTTTTCAAATCAATGGTTATAATTATATACACTACCCTCTAAAGTGCACTTGTGACTTAAGGAGTCAAATCCTACTATTTCACATCCTTGTATGACTTCAAGTGTTTAACATTTCTTTTCATGTCCACTTTATGTCCGTCACCTGTATCCCAGTAAGATGGATTAAAAGCATTAGAGGTGCAACTGATCGCTGATTACTGATAAGTAAACATGAAGGAGCGAGAGCCTTATATAATTGCTAAAGAAAATTCTTGGAATGTTCAAACGTGATTCATTTCTGCTCTGACATTGCTGAATGCTCAAATAGAAAAATTTAGAACGTTAATTGTTACTGAACTTCGGTTGAAATTGATAGCAATATAAGACATTTTAAACATGCATTAAAATCATAGAAGCCCAGGTCACTAATCTAACTAACTATGCTTAGTGTAAAAGTTGTGTTTCAGGTTCTGAGGGCTTATGCTTTCCCAAGATTACTTTTTTAACATTTTACTTGTACATCCTCTCATGGAAGATCTCAACGTTCTTTCAGGATAAAGCATTGATGGAAGATCCAATCTATGAGGAATTTTGGCAAAGGGATGTGGAGGAATCAATCAGACAAAGAAATGCGAAACCCTTTGTGGAGGAAGCTTCTTTGCAGGTCACAAATTGGGGTTTCAGCCTTTCAGACCTTAAATTGCAGAAGAGAAAACAGAGTAGTGATGTGCTCAGTTGGCTCAAGTCAATGTTCACTGAAATTCAGGAATATACCGGATTTCTTGGCCCTATACATATATGGCAAGTAAGTGCATCTTTTTATCCCCCAACACCCCGCATTTGTAGGTTCATTTACATAATCATTCAGTAACATTACCAGAATCACTTGCGACCAATTTAAATCAAAACACTTTGACAGCAATGGCGCAATATGCAGATATGGAAATTTGATAATATAGGATACGGCTGCGGCAGAGTATGTTAAATAAAATATAAAAATGTATATGTATACATGAAGAAATTACTATACAAATATTCAAAAGCACTAAACTTTATCAAATTTAAACTATTATATTCTTTCAAACATGCTTTAGTCTATTTTAAACAATTCAAGCTGATTTTCAGCATTTTGAAATGTTTTCGTGCTTTTCAAATTCATTTGAAGAGTTTTAGAAACCAATTTGCCTGCCTGTTTCGGCTACAAAGTTTAAAGAAAATAGAAGTGATATCCAAGCAGGCATATGGTAGGTGAATATGTATTTGATGTAGATATTGGATACTATAAGAGTATGATGGACAATTTTGAGTATTAGTAAACTTTATATATATATATATATATATATATATGAGTCATGATCCGTTAACTTTTCATAAAATATGTGAATAATAAATCTAACGGTAGTTTTAAAGGTTCTTATCAAGTCAATCAACTTTATATAATTTCATAAAAAGAAAAGTTAATGAGTACTTCATCACATTATTTTATTTTAATAGATAATATATTTTTAAAATATAAGAAAAAAAATTAAATTTTGAATAATATACTTATAAATGTCTAAATTATGTGAAATTTGATATGCATAATCATGAAAATATTATAAGATGTTTCAAGAGTGAGATTTGTCACTTTACATTCTATAAAAAATTATTAGGTAGTATAAGTATCTAAATTTGATGTTAATACTTTGTTAAAATATTATAAGATGTTTCAAGGTAAAAAATGACTTTTTGTATGTTAACAGGGAATGGATGATAAAGTGGTTCCCCCATCAATGACTGATTTTGTGCACCGCGTACTACCTGGAGCTGCGGTACATAAACTTCCATATGAAGGTCATTTCACCTATATCTACTTTTGTGATGAATGCCACAGACAGATATTTACTACACTATTTGGAACACCACAAGGCCCACTCAGCATTTCTTTAGAAGTAGATCAAACTACCCTAGGAGTCAACATTGAAAAAGAAGCAGCAGTAAGCAATGGTGATTATGCCACAAACTAGAAGTACACATAACAAGATAGAAATGCTCTTTTCTTTTTTCCATTTTTCTGAGAGAACATCACAATTTATGATGTAAATACCTTATAGTTTTGCTTCATCGCCAATGGAGCAGTATAGGAAAGAAAATAAATTGTGTTTCTGCGCCTTTTGGGCTGTTGAACTGGCCTGTCCTACAAATATGTATATGGAGTCCTCCTTTACCCGACAGCTCCCACGATCCCCATTCCCCTTCCCATCGTCGTAACTGAAATACAAAAGCTTGCTTTTGGTAGTAATCAGACATGACAACAATATGAGTTCATATTTGAGTAGCAAACGATGTAGTTTAATTCATAAAATTTACTGTTTATAAATAAAAAAACCAGCTGTCACTTCACATTCATCTCTTTCTTTATGTGTACTTTGGTACCATTATTGGTTATGTAGAGCTTTCCTATAAATTATGGCCACTTAATTAACAAATGTCTATGTCAAAATAATGAATAAGGAATGTTAACCTTGTTTGGCATGCCATACAATCGACACTAGCTTCGTCCCTGATAAAAAAAAAAAGAATAGAAAGTGGTTATTGCCACTAATTGCTTCATATTCTTCTAGTAGAAGCGAAGGAGCCCCTCTTCCTCCCGAACTCTAGCAAATCAATTTGGTTGAAAATATGACGTTGGCATTGACAATGTTGGAAGTGAAAATACTCAAACTAGCACTTGAAGAATCATAATGGAGCGTTGCCGTATATATTGTTTTTGCAAGCAATGTTTTCTCACTTGTCAATTTCATTTCTAATATTTAAGTGACTTATTTTGCTTAGATGAGTTGATCCACCCATTTCTTTTTCATGGATTAAAGTGAGTTAAGACTTGTTTTCTAACAAGTGGGAAGGTCACTACAATGGTGTGACTATCTTCGTCAATCGTCGCTATTGAAACTCACAGGTTTGGATTGTCGAATTACAACAACGAACTAATGGTGATTGGTGATTGGTGATTGTGTCAAAGTTGAGGGAAGGCTGAAATGAAAAAGAAGGATTCCATCTCATGACTTCATCTCTCAAGGGAGAGAACAATGGCTAGCAATTTGTGAAAGGAGAAAAAGGAAATTGTAATTGAAAGAGAAGAATGTTAAGGTCTTTTAACAATTTAACGATACAATTATCATTTCAAACCCAACTAACTTAACGAAAAAGACAAGTAAAAATATTAGTTGAAAAATAAAAATGTTTTTTTATTAAAAATATATAGAAATACATCCTTCATGTGATTTTGTTGCATGTTAAATTAATTTTTAGTAAAATATTTAAACTTATTAATTTTTTGTTACTGAAAGTCTTTAGCTAACAATGCATTCATCCTTTAGACAATAGTTAGTAAAATAGAAAAAAAAAAAGGCTTGCCATTAAAAAATTATGTGCAATTCAATGTGAATAACATTTAATTCATCACTTTTCTAGAAGATCAATGTATAAAACAAGCAGGTTAAAATAATTCTTAAAACAATAAAAATATTTATATCATTTAATCTAATATATTACATAAAACTACATTTATGAATTAAAATTCCATATTGCATATCCTCACTCAATCATTCCCCCTCCCTCATATATATATATATATATATATATATATATATATATATATATACACATATATTCATTAATATTTATGTTATAACATAAATCATTAATTTTTTGATTTGTCCCATGTTTTATTATTTTTAAGATGATAATTAAGTTCTTAATATTTTTGTAACAATATATTTATTGATTATATGATAAAATAATTTAGTTAATATAGTTTGTTGAGATCGACAATACGATTATTACGGACATGTCAAGCATTATTTCTAACAACATAATTCTTGTTAAAAGTTTTTTCCCCTGAAGTGATGTTAAAACACTATGAAGACATGATTTTTTAAATTTATTATTGTTAAAGTGATTTCAACCTAAAAAATGTTCATGCCATTGAATGCATAAAAGTGTTTATATAAACTTGAAATTATAATTGTACATTAAAACAATATGATATTGTTTACGTACGATAAATTGGCAAACACGTGGAGTTCTCACTTAATAAGTTAATACTCATTCTCACTCCATGTTATGACTCATGCACGGGGTGAAGCGTTTGGCGCCGCACCTCGACCAAACCAAGTAACCCACGTTAGTTTCCCTTTACCGAGTCTCCTTGCACAACGGCTTCTGGAAAAGCGCCGTGGGTGCTCTCACAGTTTTTCACCATTTCTCATTCGTTAATCCCTATCCCTTCTATCCCAAACCCAAAGTTTCCTTATATATTTATATAATCGTCCTCACTTGAATGTCGGCACCGCAGCGATTTCTAAGCACTCTCTCCAACTCTCTCCCTCCTTCTACCTCTCTCTCTGCCTTCAAATCTAGAACTTTCCTTTTCCTTCCCTTCAACCACTGTTACACAACCCTACTTCACTCTCTCTCATCAATGCCTCGCAATCAGGTACTACTCCTCTTCCGAATTCATCGCTCGCATTCGATTCTCTTTGTTCTGTTGAATTCGTGTAGAAATTACTTTCGTTCGGAACCGAAACTCGATTGTTCTATGCTTTCTCGATCGGTGCTGGTTTCGAGGTTGAATTGTGAATTTATGATTGATTGGTTGTTTTGCAGCAAAATGGCGGCGACGGAGAGCGAAGATGGAAAGCGAAAGCGAAAACCGAGGGGCAGTTATCAGCTGTGGTTGATGCGGCTACAACTGCTGCTGAAACTGTTACTAATAAACTTTCTGGAATGCATATTGGTCAAAACAGCGCGAAAATCGGGGTTCATGGTTCAGCGGCGATTTGGAAACCTAAATCTTATGGAACTGCGAGTGGAGGGACTGTAACTGAAGTTGAAAACGTACCGGTCGGAGAAGGAGTTGGTGCAAATGTCGCTTCAACTCAAAACGCTAGTGGTATTGGTACTGGTTTGAGTAAGATATTTCGCGGTAATAAGATAGAGAATTTCACTGTAGATAACTCCACGTACTCACGTGCACAAATCAGAGCAACTTTCTACCCCAAATTCGAAAATGAAAAGTCCGATCAAGAGGTATATTCTTCTCTGTCTTACCTTTTCCGGTTTTGAAATATATTGTATAATTTGTATGCTTTTTATTTGAAGTATGTGTTTAAATCTTAGCCTTCATGGATAGTGATAGACAAATAAACACAATTTTCATTGAAGCTTCTGGAGTATAGGATTTTAGGATACAGGGAGGATAAAGTAAAGTAATAGAGAGTTCCAGAAAGGAACTTTTGTCTCCTTGAAGGATTTCTGTTTGCCATGGGAGGACGTGTTTATTTCTCTCATGCGAAATACTCTGCTCCATGTTAGTTGAAATGCCACTTCAATCAATCCTTGCGCTTACCTAGCACCAGAAGTTCCCTTAAGAATGAAAGAAACACAATGTTTTTGAACCTTGACTCTAAGAGAATGACTCTAACAGCCTCTTGATCTGTTGTTATGTAGCTCTAGGTTCTTAGAAACAATATTAAAGAGTGAATTTATTTTACTTGGCTGTATCTGACTCAAGTTGTTGCACTGTTTTTTTTACTTTGGAAATTTTGATTACTGATCATAATTTCTTCTGGATAATGAGATCATTTTGTCCTTCCTGCAATTAGCAATGTATTTATGGTTTTTAAAACTGTTGCTTATCTGTATTCTATATGGCTGTAGATCCGGACTAGGATGATTGAGCTGGTAGCAAAAGGTTTGGCTACCTTAGAGGTATGGTGATTGTACTTAATCTTGCAAAAGGTTTGATTTGATTGATATGTGGATTTAATTGTATTGACTTGCATGTGCAGGTTTCACTTAAACACTCTGGCTCTCTTTTTATGTATGCGGGTCATGAGGGTGGAGCTTATGCAAAAAACAGTTTTGGAAATATGTACGCTCATGACAGATTTCTTCCTCCTTTTTGTTTCCCTTTTTAGCTATATGTTTTCTTGTCTCCTTAATTGTGAATAATGGTCATGCATTAATTCAGCAAATGGTGAAACCTGATGGCATGAAATTTTTTATTCATACACAAATAATTTGCTTGGAGTATGATTGTTGTGGTGTTCCATTTTTCTTAATACATTTTACTTTATTATCTCATTTTATGTTGCTACTTTTTTTTAATTTCTTGGTTATACCATATTTTTCTGGGCAGATACACTGCTGTTGGTGTATTTGTTCTTGGACGGATGTTTCGTGAGGCTTGGGGAGCTGAAGCTTCAAAAAAACAGTCTGAATTTAATAATTTTCTTGAGGTAAAGTTATAAGTAAAGAATAAAGAAGTAGCATCTCTAGGATTCTGTGGTAGTGTTAGCAAAAAGCATCTCCAAGGATGGATCAATTTTAGCTGCAAACATTTTGGCAATTGCCCCTATATCTACAGCATAAAATTTGAAAATAAAGGACTGGAATTCTTTCAGTTTTCAATTTTTGCTTTAGCATGTTCTGATTAATTGAGTTAAAAACTGCTGTATTTTTTATTTCATTTGTGTCCATGTGCACATTCAAATCGTTACAGTGGCCTGAAGGGACTTATTTAAAGATAACTTAATTTGAATATTCATTATCAATTTCGTTTGCTTTTGCATCTAAGAGATATGTGCGCATGTTTCTAATACATAAGCTACTCTCTGAAGTGTCTAAAATTACATACATTTAAACCTTTCTAAGAGGAACCAATGCATACTTTATCCACTGAATTTCTTCCACTGTTTTTTAGGTTGTGCTTTCTAATTATATGAAGGATTGATGTTCAGAATGCATAAATTATCTTAGCTTGTAACTGATATGACAGTCTTTCAACACATTCTTTATGATCATTGGGTTATCTATTTCTCTTATTTTTGGAACTAGGTATACTTGCATTTTGTGTATAATTTTGATATGATGTCTTTTCCTCAACCTCAACATGCACTTTTCTGTCCATGTGGCTTTTAATTGTCTTCACTTTGTAACTATTTATAGCTATGAGTTGATACCAATGCAAGATTTTGTTACAACATTTATTTAAGTTCCAGTTTTCTTTCATGCTCAAGCTCAAGAAATAAACATTATTATTACCTTTTCTTTCAGGCAAACCATATGTGCATATCTATGGAACTAGTAACTGCTGTTCTTGGAGACCACGGACAGCGTCCCCAAGAAGATTATGGTAAATTGTTTTTACTTGGTTCAATTATATATATATATATATATAAAGAGAGAGAGAGAGAATTTTTTTTTTTTTTTTATACCAGTATAAGTCTAAAAACTCTTACATTCGATTTGAGTTTTTCATTTAACTTACATCTAACTCAGATGTAAATTAAATGAAAGATTCAAATTTAGTGTAAGAGTTTTTAGAGTTACAACAATGTGAAAAATTCTGCTCCATATATATATATATATATATATATATATATATAGATATATATATATATATATCTATATATATTAACAATATAGCATTTTTAGCTTTGTTTTTAATTAGCTACTTGGTTAGATGAATTTTACTTTCTCTCAACAAAATCAGCCCAAATATTATGTGTAAAATTTTAAATTTTGGTCAAATTATCTGTTTATGGTTATGTCAGATTTCTGATGTTTATTTGTAAGAAATATTTAGAAATTTATGCTGATCTGTATGGTTATAGCTATGATTACATTTTTTTAAACCAGTGTGTATGTGTTAATTACAGTACCCATCTTAGCTCTTTTAGTAATCACTGATCCACAATCTACTATCAGTAATTCCAAGTTTCAAGATGGATAATTTGCTCCAGGACTAAAAAAGAGTCTGCTGCTTTCTGAAGCAAAGAATGCTTCCAGTTTCTGAAATTCCTGTTCAAAGATTTATTTGATTAGGAGTTTTGCATAGAATTTTTCAATGTCATATATTCATTGGTTTTTCTTGATTTGAGCAGTGGTAGTAACGGCAGTTACTGAACTGGGCAATGGAAAACCAAAGTTCTATTCAACTCCTGAGATAATTGCTTTCTGCAGAAGATGGCGCCTTCCAACAAATCATGTGTGGTTGTTTTCAACAAGGTGAACGTCTAGGTTTTTCTTTTATAAAACAAATAAAGAATTTTTATTACTTGACATATTACGAATTGTGTAAATATGATATACACTGACTTGATTAGAGTCTCATCAGAAGTATTGGATCATTTCTACTTATATTAGGAATGTTAGGACACAAGTGTCTTCTTGTTATTTGGTTGATTTTCTCGTTTTCATGATTATATTCTTGTTATTTGGTTTATTTTCTTGCTTTCATGGTTATATTCTAAGTATATTTTTGAATAACCCCACAATATGTTCTTTTGAGCTAATTTTATTATTTTACTGAAAAAGTGTTCAGTCTTTTGTTATTTTATTTCAAGTCGTAGAGTTTGACTTGGATTTTTATCACTAATATAATATGCTTCACGTTTCCAAGAACATAAGCAAATGTTGGTTTCACTTTCATGGTTTTATGTTAATATAGAAAATCAGCTACTTCTTTCTTTGCTGCCTATGATGCCTTATGTGAGGAGGGTACTGCAACATCTGTATCCAAGGCTCTTGATGAAATTGCAGACATTTCTGTACCAGGTAAAAATTTTATGCTTAGCATGATTCATTTAACTTGACTATGTGTTTCATGCCTCATACATGTGTTGTTCTATCTGAAGAAATGGTATTTGATTGAAAGCCATTTGAAATGATTACTTAGAGAAGAATGTTGGCTCAATGGAGAACAAATGAAAGCCCTTAAAGGGGCAAAAGGGATATGATGAATTCATGAGCAATCTTGATGCCATAAATATGGCTTGCAAACTTCTTGCGGTCATTATCATTGTTTCTTTTTTCAATCACACTGGATGCTGAACCACAACATTCATGCAAACAGTTCCTTGATAGTTTTTACTTGTCATTGAAACTTTAATATAGATCTGCTCTCCCAAAATTTTTTTACTTCCACCATAGATGAGCAATATATTTCTGAAAACAACTTCTGGTTTTTTGTGAGTAGTGATTATATTTGCTGCTTCTATCCTAGTAGGAATTGCTGAACTGATATTCTACTTATATGTTGCTTTTTGAATGTAATGTTTTGAAATGAAGTAGGTTATGATTTTTGTTTTCTTTTTGTCTCCATTACATTCCACTGTGTTATGTGAATTTCAGTTTTTCATTTTCTTATATTGTTAGCTACTCAATCATCTTTGCATGAACTATTTGTCTAATTCACTGTATATTTGCATATGTTTTCATAACTGCAGGTTCAAAAGACCATGTAAAAGCCCAAGGTGAAATTTTAGAGGGTCTTGTGGCTCGTCTTGTGAGTCTTGAGAGTTCAAACCATATCGAGAAAATTTTGAAAGAATTTCCTCCTCCACTTGCTAATGGAGGTATTGCTATTGGTTCTCTAAATATTGTGTGCCTGTTGCTCTATCATTTTCTTAGTTGAAGGCCTTGTTATTTATTGCTGTTTATTTTTCAATATATTCATTTTATGCTGCCATATATGCTTGATTGTTGAGGAAAGATGATTAAATGTGCCAAAGGTTGAGATCATAGAACCAATAATAAGTCCAGCATGCCTGAGAAACAGATTATAATTCAGGCAAAATGGGACCTCTTGCTATGTGATAATTACCTACCCCTCCCCCTCTGCAAGCATACTTTCTTGATACTCATAAATGGTAGTTGAACAATATATTTCAATTTAAAATAATGTATGAATTTTCCTTTCTTCTTCAGTGGCCCTTGATTTTGGACCAAGTTTAAGGGAAATTTGTGGAGCAAATAGAGATAATGAAAAGCAGGTACAGAGTAAACTACATTACTTTGATTAGAAGTACTATGGCAATTTTTGAGGTGGATATGAATCCTTTTGATGTAGCTTATAACACATTGTAATCTAGGAGAGATAGCAGTTGAACCCTTATCCAGCAGGAAGTGTGGATTCCCATTCCCTCTGTCCAGGGTGTTGTGCACTTGTGTCTGTCCACGAAAATGACAAGGTCATTTAGGAACAAAAATTAGAATACATAAATCCAGATGAAGTTTAAAGTAATTAAGTATTGTGACTTCTGCAGCAAATAAAAGCACTTCTAGAGAGTGTTGGTGGTTCTTTTTGTCCTGACTACTCAGATTGGTTTGGGACTGGTGCTGCTGATTTTCATTCAAGAAATGCAGACAGATCTGTCCTTTCAAAGTTCTTACAAGCCCATCCTGCAGACTATTCAACTAAAAAGTTGCAGGTCAGTGTAGACTTGCTTAAATCCAAACTTGTGGAAATAAGTTAATTTCATCAAACTCCGTCTTAAAGTCTGTTGATGTGTGAGTTTGTATACTTTATAATAAATTTACTCATTACATAGTTCATATCTTCAATAAATTATTTCTGTATAATGAGAAGTGTTTAGTTATAGTCTTACGTTTCTTGATTAAAAGAGCTTTGAATTTGAATGATTATTATTTTCCTCAATGCTTGGATCCCAATTTTCAAGTGGTGTTGATATTTTCTTTTAATCTTTCCTTGTAATTCATACTTCCACCTTTTCTAACAAATACATTCTCGTCTTCCATTCAGTTCATAGTCATCATAACTTTGATTTTAATTTGGATCAGGAAATTGTTCGGTTGATAAGGGAAAAACGCTACCCTGCTGCATTCAAATGTTATCATAACTTCCACAAGGTTGAAGCCATGTCGAGTGACAATCTTTTCTATAAAATGGTCATTCATGTACACAGTGATTCAACTTTCCGGCGATACCAAAGAGATATGAGGTCTACTTTCAATCTGATTTTCTCCCTGAATAATCGATTAGCTAGTTTAATTTTATGAAAAATTCTTTACGAGCCTTTTCATTATTTTATATCATACATTTCATTGATACATTTTGAGTTACAAAATATTTGGGACTTGCAGGCATAAACCAGGATTATGGCCACTATATCGAGGTAACTTTTTTTTTTTCCTTTCATTTTTCTAATATTCGGTAAATTTGTAAGACAAGGTTTCTAGCTTCCTTCTGGGAAACTGTTGATTATGTTGTTATCTGCATGTACTGGTCCTTGCTGTATGTTTAGGCCTTTAGGTTTAGCAGTTACAGTTGAGAAATGTAAATGGTTGTATTCAAAATGTACATTTGACAATTTTAACCTCTTAATGGAGTAGGGAACATGAATTTTGAAATTGAAGTTTCTTAATGAATTTTTGCCAATTGAAAAAGTCTTAAGAACTAAGCAAGTTTCAGTCATCCAAATTTATTTGAATTACTCTGAAATTCAATGCATGCAAATCAAGTGAATGTGCTGATAATATGCTCTTTCAAGCTGCAATGGAAAAGTAGGAATAAATTATTAATCTTGTGGGTAATGTTTATGAATATAAACATTATATACCTTTGAATGCTTTGATTTGAAAGAATGCTTTCAACTTTAGGTGCAAACTTAAATTCTGCAGAATTTTGGGGAAACAGCTTGTGTCATATTTTCCTATATCAACTATTACTGGAGTTGATACTTATGTTATGCTAGCTTGTGAAACAAAACAGAAGATGCATTTTACATATAACCAATTGATGCACACTTTTTATGTTGATATATGCAAAACAGATTGGTTGTTGTTGTTCTATATGCAAAACATATTGCTGCTGCTTTTTATTCTTATTGATTTATCATACAAGTTTCTGACACCTTAATGTGTTCCTTCCCAGGATTTTTTGTTGATATCAATTTATTCCATGCAAACAAGGAGAAAGCCACTGAAATTTCTAAAAACAGTATTAATGAAAGTAGTAATACTGGCTCTGAGGAAGATGACTTTGCTGATGAAGATGCAAATTTAATGGTCAAATTGAAATTTCTTACATACAAGGTACACATCCACGTTTGCATTATGTAAGAAATTGTATCAATCAAATCATATTAGTTATGCATTTGTCTGGTGACATGGTTCCTGTAATACATATCTCTTATTTATAACTATTTTTTGAGACTATACTGTCTTTTGTCCTTTGCTATAATTTTAAATTTATTAGGTGACAACAGTGACCTTGTGTTTTTCTTCTTTAGTGCACTTTATATTTTTGTAACCCAATTATTTTACAATAATGATACCCTTTGGTGTGGGACATAAGAGAGAAACCAAAAAGCAATGCTAATTTGGATTGTGCTACAACTACAGTGACACTGTATTAATGTGCTCACAATACCAGCTAAAAAATGTCCCTCTGGAGGGTCAATTTTATGATTTATTATTATGTATCCATGTTCCTTCTTGAAACATCTTCCTTGCTTTTTAATAATATCTGCATGCTCTGATTTTGAATCACTTCTATAAAGTGCTTTTTGTTTTTTTGTAAGCTTTTAGAATTGTTTTGAAATTACAATGTAATTTGTAAAAGTTCATCTCATTTCTGAGTCATTACTACAAATGACTCTCTAGTCAGTAATTATGTCTAATATTAGATACTAACTGCTTTATTTTGTATTATTTTTGTTATTCTTTGTTCTTATTTTGGGTCTTTGACTCTCTGTCCTAGTTGCGAACCTTTCTCATTCGAAATGGCTTGTCAATTCTGTTCAAAGAAGGCCCAGGTGCTTACAAGGCGTATTACCTCAGGTAAAGCATGGCTTGCTTTTGAGACCTGAAATCTAGTTTGAGGATTTTTGCTTTGCTATATTTTTGGGAGTTTAACTCTGCATAATTGGCCAACTGCATATAATAATATTTCATACACATTTTCAGTAACAGTTTCATTGTTGTGGTTTGAGATTGATGCGTATGTATTGATATGTGGGCTGTTTATTCATCAACATCTGTTGTGTTGCTGCATGGATATGTTTGATATGGGACTGTTCTATTGGGTCTGAGGCAGTTTGTTAAGCATGAACAGTAGCTTCATAAGGACCAAAAAACTTTGATTGAAAGGCTTCTTGAAATTTGAACTTCCCATAACCTTACCAAATGCACATGGAGGGATATTAGAAATCTAATTCTTAATTTGATTTTGTTCATTTTTTCTGCTACACTATAAAGTACCTTATGATGTACCCCCAGCTCCCCAAAATTAATTTTTTAAAACAATTTTTAAAAAAATAATAAAAGCAAAGATTTCATTAATCATAAATCTATGGTATGTCCCCATTGATCCTCCATTTACATTTATCTTCATATTGATTCATCAGAATGGCAGTTATGCTGTTCTGGTTCAGTAATTCCAAGGGCAGAATTCAATACTAAGCTGCACAACATATTCTTTTGCTTCTATATCTTAAATGGGAATATTGAGATATTGCTGTAATGTACATCATACTGTTGTAAAACATGGAAAGTTACAATGTTTATATGCCTGTCATCCAACGGTTGGAATCTGAATTACTTTTCCTTTGCTTTTCTTTTTCAACTTCGCAGACAAATGAAAATTTGGGGAACTTCTTCAGCAAAGCAGAGAGAACTTAGTAAGATGCTTGATGAATGGTAATTCCTGATTCCTTCTTCCAGATGGCCCCTAACTATGAGTTTGACCTTCTGCTCAACAGTCCCTTTTTTCACTCTCTCTCCCCCTTTCTGTCTATTGATCTTTTTCCTGCAATGGTTTCTTTTCTCTGCTTACAGGGCTGTGTATATCAGAAGGAAGTGTGGAAATAAGCAACTGTCTTCATCAACATATCTTAGTGAAGCTGAGCCTTTTCTTGAACAATTTGCAAGACGTAGTCCACAGAACCAAATTCTGGTAGGTTCGGCAGGTAATTTAGTTAGGACAGAAGATTTCCTGGCCATTGTTGAGGGAGGCCAGGATGAAGAAGGTGATCTTGTGGCAGAGCGTGAGGTTGCACCCCCACAGACTAATATCCCTGTCAAGGACACAGTTTCAAAATATGAAGGGTTGATTGTTTTCTTTCCTGGTAATTATTTTTCTATTTGTGTAGTCGTTCCCAATAATTAGATTCATAATTGCCTGATCATCATTGTCAAAACCATTAAAGATCAAGAGACGTTAAGTTGAGTAACTCAAGTATAAACAAGATTCTAAATGTGAATATTTAGAATAGGTCTCCCCTTGAAGCAATATATGATTTGCCTGCATGTTGATGGATTGGATGGTTTACAGTGGAGGTTTTGCATCAATCTTTTTGTAAATGCTTGTGGATGTAGTTTAAGGCATGATTGATAATGATGTAGTATACCCATAGTTACTTTTAATACAGTTAAGCAGATTGGTGTTTGACTTTTTATGTTTAAGACTCATCTTCATGGGATTCTTCCCCTCCGCTCCTTCCAGGAATACCTGGTTGTGCTAAGTCTGCCCTTTGCAAAGAATTGCTAAATGCCCAAGGAGGACTTGGAGATGATCGGCCAGTTCATAGTCTCATGGGTGATCTGATTAAAGGTAAATTTTGTCTTAAGAATGTTAAAAATGGTGCTTACATTGCAAAGGTTCCCTAACATGATTCAGATTCAAATTATGTATCCCATTGCTCTTATCTATGAAAGTTGGAAATGATTAGTGGAATTGTTATCTGTTAATTTTCACAATTAAGCAATGATACCTTAAATTGGGTTTCATATTGCCTATAATTCTTGAATGAATTTACATATTTATGTTTATCAGGTAAGTTCTATTCAGATGACTAATATGTAGTTGTATGGAGTGTCAACAGGAAAGTATTGGCAGAAAGTGGCTGAAGATCGCAGAAAGAAACCAAATTCTATAATGCTTGCTGACAAGAATGCTCCAAATGAAGAAGTTTGGAAACTGGTTAGTGTTCTAAGTTTTAACTAAATTTCATTATGGCTTATTGAATTTATTTCTTCCCTTGTCCTATGGTGGGCAATTGCTGTTAGGTGATGCAGTGACACAATGGCAGCTGAAAACCATGATTGACTGCTATAATACAAAGCACACGCATCATTCTTATCTTATTCATGTTTCCTTGTGTTACCTCCAATAAACCTTGCAACCGGAGAATATGGACATTGTTATACCCAATTTTCACTTGTCTAATATGAATAAATTTATTTTAACAAAGGGGGGAGGAGGTTGCCTCATTCCAAGGTCAGGCATGCCACTGCAAGGGCTTGCAGTGATACTTAGGAAATTTTAATAACAATTTACTTAGAGAGAGAACACTGGCTTTTTTGTTTTTGATTCGTTAGTCTACTCTGGAATCATTATTGCCTGGCTATCAACTTTGTATCATCTACTTATTAAAACTACTCAACATTAACCTAGTCCCACTTGTCAAATATGCAGATAGAAGATATGTGTCACAAAACTAGGGCATCTGCTGTCCCAGTTGTGCCTGAATCTGAAGGTAATGTTTGTTGCAAATTCTTAGATGCTTATATTTATTAAGTCTGTTAGTTTTTTTTTATTTTTAAATCCAATGACAGCATGTCTTTCATCACAACATAAAATCAATTTGGAAGATTTTGCATTCCCTTTTTGCTTGATATGCTTTAGTCCTATTAACTTGTGCAAATTGGGTATTTATGTTGCTTAAGAATGTGATCAAATTTAAAATGCTAGTGGTTTAGCTTGGTTAGAATAAGAAGTGAGTGGTAGTAAAGAACTTGACTTAATTTTAACTGCATTTTGATACCATGTTTCTTGGTAATGAAGATCTCCACTTCCGTTTAGCTTCATTTTCATATTAGTATATTCATTTTTCTACTTTGTTGTGCAGGAACTGATTCAAATCCATTTTCTCTTGAGGCATTAGCTGTTTTCATGTTTCGTGTGCTTCAGCGTGTCAACCATCCGGTATATATTGTTTTGTTTTCTGAATACATGATCCCTGATCTTTCAGTAAGTTTATTACCTTCCACTGATATTATTTCAATTTTTTCAAATTTCTCAAGGGAAATCTTGACAAAGCATCTCCAAATGCTGGCTATGTGTTGCTAATGTTTTATCACCTTTATGATGGCAGGGTATGATATTTCTTTTATTGCAACTCCATTTTGTATACATTTTATTATTATCTAAGCTGATTTTACCAATGTTTTCCAGAGCCGTAAGGAGTTTGAGGGTGAATTAATTGAGCGTTTTGGATCACTTGTCAAGATGCCACTATTGAAATCTGATAGGTACTTTCATTTTTATCATTTGATGTTCTAAAAGTAATGCCACAGCCTGGTAGTATTCATCGTATCCCAATCTTTCTGTCATTATCTATATTGACAAATAAAAGTAAGGGACAAAATTTACTACTACTAGATTCAAAATCTTAATTCTTAAGTGATAGATTCAAAATTTAGAGTTAGAGTAACTCTTTATTATTAAATTTGGTTTACCAGTAGTGTCAAAGGACCAACCCTCGTATAAGCAAGTTCTTAGGTGAAGGATCATAATTGTGTTTATATCTGTAGTTGTGCTAAAAACTGGAACAGAACACACTTAGATGGGGGTATATCTACTTCATTATTCTGCTGAAAATACTGGCACTAGTATGGTATTAGTACCAGTGGATAGACTTACAATGACCTGAAACACAAAAAAAAAAAAAGGTATTTGAGAAACTCCACTCTCTCCCAATGTTTCTTATTCTATGTGATTTTCCCTGTGTGCAGAAATCCCCTTCCTGAGGCAGTGCAGTCCATTTTGGAGGAAGGAATTGATCTATATAAACTTCACACTAAAAGACATGGAAGGTTAGTTTATAAATTTTTGTTTGTGTACTTTGAAAATTGCTACAGCATTATGAGTTATTTGATTGCAGAAAATGTTTTCTGTTTTTACTTTTAATTGCTAAATTATTACATTGTTTTCATTTTGTTCCTTGTTTGCAAATATTTATACAGGAATTTTGTTTGTATTGTTTCCTGTACAAATATTTGAAAATAGAAAATAAAATAAAAGCAAGGTGATAATTTTGTAATTAAAAGTAAAAACAAAAGATGAAAACAGAAAACGTTTTCTAAAATCAAGTCGTCCCTTATATTTACTATTTTCAGTTTTCAGATTATGTTAAGTGAAACAGTGTGTAGTGGACATGGTGGTTGCTACTAAGAAAACCAGAGCAATAGGATTTGTAACTTAGGGGCCGGCATTTTTAAAAAAATTTCATGAAAAAGAATTAAAAAAATAATAACTTTTCAGTTTTTAGATTGTTTGGTTAAAATTATGAAAAAATCCAAGCTAAAAATAATATGATTGTAGCCCTTTTTAAAAAATTGTTTTGAATAGCTTTTGGGAAAAAGCTTCAATTATTAACAACCCGTTAAAATGAAAAAATAAATAAGAACTTTTTATAATTGTCATAAAGCAAAAAGTAGCTTCTAAATTTCAAAAACTAAATGGCTTTTTATCCCTTTTAAAAACCACTTTTTTAAAAAGCTGAAATAAACGATCTTATAATTCCATGTCTGTTAAGTGTATATACGTTGTAATTTGAATTAAAATGCATAGAACTTACGGTAAAAGTGCAGGAACCTAGCTGCATACCAGCAACCGGTACTTCAGAAATTTTCAATACCTCAAATTTTCAAGTTCTACCTGTTGTTTCAAGCTGCAGAACATGTTTTCTTCTTGCTTGTGTTTTAAACCAAAATTGCAGTCTCATATTTAAGTTGAATTGTTGATCAAACTTTGTTTTGAATTGTCCAGCCTTGAGAGTTCCTCTGTTAATTATGGGAAGGTCCAAAACCTAAGGCTATATATAATATATCTTTCATCCACATATTCCCCCAATGATCATTGTGCTACAATGCACTAGAATTTTTCCATCCTATGGTGGTCATATAGCTGTATTAAGTATGGGTACATGTAATGTCAGTTCTCTTGATGGCTGGCAAGAATATGTCAACTGGCTTCTTGTTTGCTTTATTTATCCTCTGTTTTTGAGGTGTTTGGTGTAAAATGAGAAGTTGACAATCTTTATCTTGATCCTTGTTGTGATAGATTAGAGTCTACAAAAGGATCCTACGCAAAGGAGTGGATAAAATGGGAGAAACAATTACGGGATACTCTTTGTGGAAATGCTGAGTATTTTAATTCAATTCAGGTTAGTACATGTAGAATTCTGTTCCCCCCCCTCCAACACACATTTGTTTCCAAATAGTCACTCTCTCAGTTTTTTTATTTAACATTTCAATAACATTGGTCTTGACTAGCAATGTCAGTAATTGTTTTTAAAATCCAAATTTATGCTCTTAACTGCTATTATTTGCCATCAAAACATCTGCAGGTTCCATTTGAGTTTGCTGTCAAGCAAGTGTCGGAACAGTTGAGAAACATTGCTAAGGGAGATTACACACCACCAGATACTGAAAAGAGGAAACTTGGTACCATTGTTTATGCTGCTCTTAGTATGCCAGTTACGGAAATTCAAGGTGTTCTTAATAAAGTAAGGGAAAATTCTGCTTTTATAGTTGCATTCTGTTATCTGTACTCTGTTAATTTAACTAACTAGTTTTTGCTGAGAATTATTATTGATTAATTTTTAACTATGAAGGCCCTGCAGAGCGAACTCACTCTGAATGCCAAGGCAAATCAAATTTGAAGTTAAGCGGTGTAAAAAAAATATTTTTTGGGGTGTTAGAAAAGCTATTAAAAATAAATTACTAATTCTATATATACTCTATTTTAGTAGCTATATAAGCCTCTAACGGCGGCTTATATCTACCAAACCCATCTTATTATCACATCCAATGGATCAAGAGATTTGAGCAACTGTGACTGTGAGCAATTTTGTTATCTAAGATGTGGCTGAGTTATGCAATGTAGGTATTAGGATGGCAGTTATGAAACCACTTCTATCTTGAGGGAGAGATATTAGCTTTACCTTTCAGTATATACGGTTCCTATCCCTCCCCCACGGTTTTCCTTGTTTGTCTGGATCTATCTCAGCTGTCTTTTTTTGCCCCATTTGTCCAAAATGCTATTCACATCCACGTGTTTTATATTGGTTTTAGGAAACAGTATCTGATGCAATAATATGTATATGCAGCTGGCTCAGAATAATCCCAAGATTGACACATTCCTTAAAGACAAACATTTAGAGAATCTTAATCGAGCTCATTTGACTCTTGCGCACAAGAGAAGTCATGGCATCAAAGCAGTAGCTGATTATGGTATCTTTCTGCATAAAAAGGTGCCAGTGGAGCTGACAGCACTGCTCTTCTCAGATAAAATGGCTGCATTTGAAGCTTGTCCTGGATCAGTGGAAGGTGAGAAGATAGTTTCAAAAAATGCGTGGCCTCATATTACCATATGGACTAGTGAAGGGGTTGCAGCCAAGGAGGCCAATGTGTTACCACAGTTGTTTGCAGAGGGTAAAGCAGATCGTATAGACTTCAATCCTCCCATCAATATATCTGGCACAGTTGACTTCTATTGAGTTCCTTGCTACACATCTTTCTAAAATAAAACCTACTGAAATGAAGAAGATAGTGTGCCTTTTGCGTTTTACTTTTTGGTTTTACAAGGTCATAACGATCTTTGTTCATGCTGAGTGGTCTTACAAGTTACATCCAATATTTATTAGAGAAGATGATGGAGAAAGTTTTTGTTGGAGCGAGTATTTTCTCCTGAGGAATTGTGTATATATAGGCTGTTTAGAAAGTTGAGGATGATTTCTGGAGTCTCATTACCAAACTTTCACCATGAGATCTTCGCCTTTGTCGATAGTATTTAATGTTTTTTATGCATTTAGGTTTTTATTATGCGTTATTGAGTACACATTAAAAATATATTAATTAAAAAAAGTTATAATAATTAACTCGTTGCATTTTTTATTTATTTAGTGTTAAAATGTTTTAGTGTGGGATTTATTGAATACAAATATTTTAACTCACTTAAATATGTAAAATTATTAATTTCATCCTTGCTTTCTTAAAGCAAATACAAAGAAAAGTTCAGCATATCTCACATAGAAAAAGGAATTCTTCTCCCAAACAAGTGGATGAATTAGAGTAACTAATGATGGTAGGTGAAGTTGCTTAAAGTTGCATAAATTTATATTTTTATAAATTTCATCATAATACATTGCATTTTGTTTAATTTTATACAACCTGAGCAATTGTTTTTTCCGACAAAGTGGATTGTATTATTCAGATCAAAACGGTCCTCACATTTCACTTAATTTTTGATCATGTATCTATCTCAATATAAGATATGCAACTTTCATCTTACTAACATCTTGGTAGTAATTGCTTAAGAATTTTTCTTAAGCAACGCTGAAAAGAAAAAGCTTTCTCAATTATTAGTTTCAAGTCCATTATTTTTTCACTTTTTTATACTATAAATAATGAAAATGGAAATCTGTTAGTTTAAAATATACTTCATATGGGCTAATGAAAATATTCGCTGCTAATACATGACATATCTTTTAAAATATTATTATATAAAATTTACAAATTTAAATATAACTTGTATCATTCAGATTAAGGTTTATTATTGACTGTTTAGTATTTTATGCCAAGAGACTTGATAATTAATTAATTTAAACAAATTATGTTATTTTCTTGAATAGCTATTTTATATAACAACGATAATTCATATATTATCGGAGGATATATGTACTCGAGATTAAAAAATAATATACCTAGATAAATTAAGTATTAAAATATTCATATTTAAACGTGAATTAACAAATAATTAATTTTTTTTCTCAATGATAAAAAAAAAATCAACTTATAAAAATTTTCTCAATCTAAATTTATTATTAAAAAAATAAAATTAATGTACAAGAAGATTATAATGCCCGGAAGAATCATTGGTGTCAGTGTTGATTCTTCTACAAAGCCAGCTTTGAGAATGGCCGTGCAAACGAGAGAGCAGCATATCCAAAGTTCAAGGTCACCAACAACATTTACACTGTCCAGGTAATAGCCTGATTTAGTCTAATCAAATTTTAATTTTTTAACTGATATTATCTTTTGAGGAGGAAAAAATATTTCATTTCTCAAATTTTACTTTATTTTATTGTTTTAATTTAGTTTTATTTACCATTTAAAGAGAATATTAATTTTATTTTTTTAATAATATAAAAATAAGTATAAAATTTTATATGAAAAACAACATTCAAAATAAAGTGACAAAAATTACTTCAAACAAGACAAATGTACTCTAGAAGGTTAGCACAAAAAACAGAAAAGAATAATCAGAAGAGAATGAGAATATCAGAGAGGAATTTTGCAAATATCATTTGTCCTGTTTCTCAAACATTTAGTTGTGCTTATATAGCACCACACATGCAACGTGGAATGTAAGAAAAAGAACAAAGTTTGTTAGACGTGCTCCCTTCTGCCTAACCAATTCCTACAAATACTGCCACGTAGTCATTCAGTTACATAATCCTTGAGGTAAATGAGTCTCCTTCGAATTCGTTGAGGTCTTGCATCATTTTCTACTTCCTCTTGAATATTCTCTAGACTTGGCTGTTCCACCATAATGAGCCTGTTAGTAGAAGTGGGCCTAACATCTCCTCCCTCTTCAAGATTCACCTTGCTCTCAAGGTGAAATTGGGCTTGAATCTGTGCCCAAGGTTCCCAGGTGGCCTCTTCCAAAGGAAGGCCTTGCCATTGAATCAAAACTAATTGTTGTGGAACAGCAATGTCGAAGGACAACTTCCAATCCAAAATGGCAGTAGGAGTGAGGACTGGTTGATTGTCTTCAATGTCAGGGGGAAGACGTAGTGGTTGAAGGGAAGGAAGGGAACCCTGGTGAGGCCTAAGAAGGCTCACATGGAACACATTATGTATCTTGGCAGTAGAAGGAAGGTCCAATTTGTAGGCCACGTCACCTATCTTTTGAAGAACCTGATAAGGACCGAAGAACCTTTTCTGCAATTTGCCTAGGTACTGACCAGTGAGAGAGTGTTGGCGACGTGGGCGAAGCCTCACGTAAACCCAATCACTGATGTTGAAGTGAACATCATGCCGGTGGGAGTCTGCCCAGCGTTTCATGGCCTGCTGTGCTCTGAGAAGATTGGACTGTAATTTGCAAAAAATTTCTTCGCAGGAGCTGGTTTCAAACTGTGCTGCCGTATTGGTAGTATCCATATCCAAAGTCTGAGGGATGTTTGGTGGAGGACGGCCAAACATAACTTCAAATGGAGTGAAACCAGTAGAAGAATTAATGGTGGTGTTGAAGCACCACTCTGCCCATGGAAGGAATTTGCCCCATAAAAATGGTCGGTGGTGGACAAAACAACGCAAATACTGTTGGAGAATCTTATTTGCGACCTCGGTTTGTCCGTCCGTTTGAGGATGGTAGGCTATGGACATACGCAGCTTTGTGCCACTCAAACGAAAGAGTTCCCTCCAAAAGTGACTGAGAAATATAGAATCACGGTCTGAAATTAAACTCCGAGGAAGGCCATGTAATTTGCACACCATATTAGTGAAAAGATCAGTGACCTTAGTGGCGGTGAATGATCGAGGCAACATACCAAAATGTGCACCTTTAGAGAACCGATCCACCACAACCAATATAGTAGAGTGGCCCTGATACGGGGGAGTCCAATTATGAAGTCGAGAGAGAGATCCTCCCAGCAACGGAGGAAGGATAGGTTGTAACAGGCTTGAGGGACGTTGGGCGGGAATCTTCGTTTGCTGACAAGTGGTGTAGTGAGCAACGAAAGAGAGGACATCTTTCTGCATACAATCCCAATAAAAATTAGCCTAGATTTTAGCCAATGTACGAGCAGCCCCTGGGTGCCCAGCCAAAGGGGTCAAGTGAAACTCTTGGAGGAGCAAAGGAATCATGGAGCAAGACTTGGGAAGCCAAATTTTCCCCTTATAGAGTATCAGTTCTTGTTGAATGGAGAAGTCAGGGAACATGGAGGGGTTCTGCAGAATATTACTCTTAAGATCCAAGAAAGTAGCATCGGAAGCGAGAGTGTGCTTAAGATCTTGGAGAAAGTCCATTTGAGACACAAAAATGAGGAAGAATGAGTCTGCATCAGGTGAAACACGGGAAAGTGCGTCAGCAACGGTGTTTGTTTTACCTGGTTTATAATGGATCTCAAAGTCGAAGCCCAATAGTTTGGCTACATAAGACTGTTGGTCAGGAGTTAGCATAGGCTGATATAGCAATTCCTTGATGGCTTGTTGATCAGTGTAGATGATGAAGTGGCGACCGAGCAAGTATTGGCGCCATTTCTGAATAGCAGATGTGATAGCATAGAGTTCCCTGATGTACGTTGATGAATTACTCAATTTAGGACAAAATTGCTTACTGAAAAAAGCAATTGGGTGTCCCTGCTGTGATAAAACGGCCCCATACCAGAACCGAAGGCATCTGTCTGAACAGTGAAAACCAGATCAAACTGGGGTAGAGTCAAAATTGGTGTAGAAGTAACGATGGTTTTAAGGTTCTCAAAAGCCGTAGTAGCGGAAGCAGACCAGATAAAGTTATCCTTCTTAAGTAAATCAGTTAAGGCAGAAGCAGTAGATGCATACCCCTTTACAAATCAACGGTAAAATCCTGTGAGTCCAAGAAAACCACGCAGAGACTTCAGAGTGGTTGGTAGTGGCCCATCAACAATAGCTTGGACCTTTGAAGGATCTGGTGTGACACCCTGTGATGAGACTACATGACCCAAATATTGAATCGATTGCTGCCCTATGAAACACTTGGAACCATTGAGATGAAAACTGTTTGCAAGGAGCAATTTGAAAGTTGTTTCCAAGTGAGAGATGTGATCCTCCAAAGTGGGGCTATAGACAAGAATATCATAAAAAAAGACGATAATAAAACGTCGTAAATAAGGGCGAAACATGTCATTCATGGTAGCCTGAAAGGTAGATGGTGCATTGCACAACCTGAAGGGCATGGCCATGAACTCGAAGTTGCCGTTGTGGGTGCGGAACGCCGTTTTAGAGGAATCACTAGGCAACATAAGGATTTGATGGAAACCCGAGAAGAGGTCCAATTTCGAGAACCATGTAGCATTGCCATGTTCATCCAAAAGCTCATCTACAGTAGGAATTGGAAATTTGTCTTTAACGGTAACGGCATTGAGGGCACGGTAATTGACGCAAAATCGCCATGTACCGTCCTTTTTCTTGACAAGAAGAACAGGTGAAGAATAAGGACTTGTGTTTGGTGTAATGAATCCCGAGTCCAACATTTTTTGAACCTGAGCCTCAATTTCTTGTTTCTGAAAGTGTGGGTATCGGTAAGGGCGCACTGAAATGGGAGCAGTGTTGGGTAAGAGGGTGATGGAATGGTCGGTGTAACGAGATAGGAGAAGGGTGGTAGGCGGGAAAAATAGAGCAGAGTAGGTGGTGAATAAGTTTTGTAGTTGAGGGGTATAAGAAGAAGGGATAACAGTATCAGAGGGCAAATGAGGTATATGTGAAGTGGGAGAATGGATGGAGGGAGAAGGCTCGAGTTTGAGTTGAAAGAGTGCTTCTACTCTATTGGTGTGTTGTAGGCGTTTAAGTTGGTGGGCTGTTATAGGTGTAGGGTTTGGGCCTTGTTCCCCCTTGAGTTCTATCAGATTATCCTCCCACATAAATCTCATGAAAGGCCCATTGTAGTCCATAATGAATGGACTAACTTGAGTAAGCCATTTGACCCCTAATACTACATCAGTGCCAGATAGATCCAAGGGGTATAAGTCAATAGGGAAGTCGAGAGAGGCTAAGGTAATGTGGGCCTTGGGGCAGAAAGTAGTACAAGGTAAAAATTTCCCATTCCCAACCATGACTCTTAGTGGGCTAGGGGTGGGCTCAAGTGCAAGGTTAAGAAAATGGGCTACCTTAGTCTGAATGAAGTTATGTGTTGCACCACTATCAACCATGATCTGTACTTCATAACCGTTAATAGAGCTCGTGACCCGAAAGGTTCTTGGGGTCCAATGACCCGAAAAAGAGTGGAGGCTGATCAACCATACTTCCAAAGATGGGTTATCTGGTGGGTCATAGTCCAATTTTGTGAGTGGTTCGGAGACATCGTCGGGGTCAGAAACGATGAGCAAGAGGAACTGGGACTTACAACGATGGCCACGTGTATACCTTTCATCACAATTATAGCAAAGGTTCTTCTCACGACGCGCCTGCATTTCAGCTTCTGTGAGGCGTTTGATGGGTAGTTTGGAGGGAGGTGTGGGAAGTACTGGTGGGAGTGGTTTGGGGGTGGTGGGATTGGTGGTTGGTGGTAGCGGTCTGGAGAATTTGGTGAAGGGTAGAGGGGAGGGAGAGAGTTTGGATTTGTCATCATGTAATTTGGCGTACGCCACAACTTGTGGCATGTCAGTGGGTTGGAGGGTAGTGACCTCACGTCGGAGGTAGGGCTTAAGGCCGTAGATGAAGCAGCTAAGATAGAAGTTGGCTGGGTACCCTGAGATGCAGTTGGCGATCGACTCGAACTCGAAGATATAGTCATGAAGGGTATGAGTTTGAGTGAGGCAGCAGAGTGTAGTGATCTGATCGTCAAACTTGGATGGTGCAAATCTCAGTTCCAAGGCACGGAGGAAAGCATCCCAAGAGGTGAGAAGGTCATTATTGTGCATCCATTGGTAACAAGCGAGTGCAGGTCCCTCCAGGTAGAAGGAAACAATCTGGGTTCTCTGTTCCGTTGGTGTCATGTGAAAATTGAAAAATTGAGTGATCTTGAAGATCCAACCCAGAGCATCATCACCGTTGAAAGAAGGGAGGTCGAACTTAAGAGGGCAAGCAAAGGTGTGTTGATGAGGACAAGGTGATACAGAGAGTTTGGATTCCAAAAGGGAAGTGCGAGCAGCTATGTCATGTAATGTGTTTGAGAAATTGGCTTGGGAAAGAAGGATTTGCTCAAGTCTTATGTCCAAGGAAGAAAAGGAGTCAGAAGGGTCAACCATGGGAGGAAGAGGCTCAATGAAAGCACCAATGGGAGGTTAGCACAGAAAACAGAAAAGAATAATCAGAAGAGAATGAGAATATTAGAGAGGAATTTTGCAAATATCATTTGTCCCGTTTCTCAAACATTTAGTTGTGCTTATATAGCACCATACATGCAATGTGGAATGTAAGAAAAATAACAAAGTTTGTTAGACGTGCTCCCTTCTGCCTAACCAATTCCTACAGATATTGTCACGTAGTCATTCGGTTACATAATCCTTGAAGTAAATGGGTCTCCTTCAAATTCGTTTGGGTCTTGCATCATTTTCTACTTCCTCTTAAATATACTCTAGACTTGACTGACATACTCTATTTTTGTAATTTTTTTGTTTTATCATATTTTGGCAAAAAAAGAAACCCACAAAATAAATATGCATGAAATATTAACTAAATTATTAGCTTAAAAATAAAAAAGTAAAATATATTATATCTTTTTTTATAATTAAGAAAATTTATTATTATTTTTATTATATATAATAATAATAATTATTAATTTAATAATAAAATTAGGGATTTAGTTAGAAATCACAACCTTAGTTGCACCAAGTATATAATTCCTAAAAAATTTACGAGTTTTGTAGTAAAAAAGACTAACCTTTTTATAGTTTCTTGCAACTCGACGTCTACTTTTCATTTTCCTTGATTATCCAATTTTACCTCAATTCACTTTTTAATCTGTTCATTATTCCACGTTGTCCAAATTCTTTTCTCTCTTCCAAACCCTAATCTCAACCTCTTTCGATTTCTTTTTATGGTTTGCCATTCCTATTCCCCTTTTCTTCCACCAATCAATTACGCTTTTCACTTCCTTCTTTGGCATTTTAACATATACATTATTACACGCGGTCCAAATTCTTTTCTCTCTAATTCATATTTGTAATTCACCTCTCTTACAAACAAATCATTTTACAGTGAAAATGAGTCTTCAGGCAATGGGTACAGACGAGAGGGATAGCGAGTGAAACAGCCATTGAAACGTTCACTCTTCACTACATTCACACCCTCTCTCGTCTCTTCCTACTGCAAAAAGGTAAGCATATGCATGTTCTAAACTTATTTTTGCTAATAATAATATTTGTGTCTTTACGTAGACAATTCAGATTAATTCTCTGCTTTCTATTGCAGAATTGATTTGATTTGGATGATTAATTCGAACAGAATCTGAGGTTGCCAGTAGCCACACTTAGGTTACAGCAAAAACAAAATAATAATGTTCTCTTTTGCTAGAATTTGCTTCAAGTATCGTGGTGCATACTTCAGGAGAAATGGCTCAAATGAAAATCCATGTTCCACAAACTCATTTTTGCAGATATTTACCAACCTATCTGCATTCAATGATGATCCTTGTGGGAAAAGTTTGCACAGGGGGCGGTTCTTTCATCATTCTCAGAAACTTGACCCCCTTTTGTTTCTAGTCACTGCTAGTTATACTCAATTTCCTGTCCTAGCACCTTTTTGCTTTAATTCCCATTATTCAACTAAGGCTCCCTCGAGGTCTTACAGAAGAAGAGCTCGAAAAAGGTTGTTAAAATCCTGCAAGCCTACACTAAACCAAGCACAATTTCAGTTGGCCCTGTCCCAACTTCCTCCAAGGTTCACTGCTGAAGAACTCTGCGATGTGATTGCTCAGCAACATGACCCGTTAGTTTGCTTAGAACTGTTTCACTGGGCATCTCAGCAGCCCAGGTTTCGGCATGATGCATCAACATTTCATGTGACCATTAAGAAGCTTGGTGTTGCAAAAATGTACCAAGAAATGGATGACGTTGTGAACCAATTGCTTGCAGTTCCTTTTATTGGTTCGGAGGAGTTGTTTAACATGGTTATATATTATTTCACTGAGGCCCGGAAGTTGACTAGAGCTGTCAATGTATTTAAGCACATGAAAAGTAGGAGAAATTTGAATTGCTGTTTTAGGCCTTCTGTTAGAACCTATAATATTCTTTTTGCTGCACTTTTGAGTAGAGGAAGCAACACCTATATAAATCATGTGTATATGGAAACAATTAGATGTCTGTTCAGGCAAATGGTCAATGATGGGATCAAACCTGATATTTTTTCATTAAATTCTATGGTAAAAGGTTATGTGCTATCTCTTCATGTTAATGATGCATTGAGAATATTTCATCAGATGGGTGTGGTTTATGATTGCCAGCCCAACTCTTTAACGTATGATTACTTGATTCACGGGTTGTGTGCCCAAGGCAGAACAAAGAATGCCAAAGAATTATGTCAAGAAATGAAGACCAGGGGTTTCATTCCAAGTAGTAAATCTTACAATTCGCTTATCAATTCTTTGGCACTTGACAGAGAGATTGAGGAGGCAGTAAATTATCTGTGGGAGATGACTGATAAAAAGAGGTCAGCTGATTTTATTACATATAGGACTGTACTGGATGAGATATGTAGACGAGGAACAATTCAGGAGGGCATGAGGTTTTTACAGGAGTTGCAAGAAAAGGACCTCGTAGATGGGCATGCTTATAGGAAGCTTCTTTATGTGCTTGAAGATGATTATGGGAATTCACTGAGCAGGACTATGGGAATTCACTGAGCAGGACTATGGGAATTCAATGAGCAGAATTGCTTCATGTGCTGCAAATTTTCCATTCATTTATCACTATAGTGGGCTCTTTCTTTAATTTGAGAGCCAAGAGTCATTTAAAATTTTACATGCAATGTGCAAAGTTTCATAATGTCTTTTTGATATTGCATGTATAGCATGTGCACATCCTAGCCATGGAAAACCAAAGTTCTATTCAACTCCTGAGAATTGGTTTCTGCAGAAAATGGTGCCTTCCAACAAATCATGTGTGGTTGTTTTCAACAAGGTGAACGTCTAGGAATTTTTTTATTAAACAATTTTTTTTTTATTACTTGACATATTATGAATTGTGTACATATGATATATACTGAAATCATTGGAGTCCCATCAGAAGTAGTGGATCATTTCTACTTATGTTGAGGCACCAAATTGTCTTTCCAAAGAATATCCTCCTTTGTTTGTAAATTTGTAATTTTTGTGATTAAAATATGTTGTTTTGGGATCCTATTTAGAATGTTCATAGAGAATCATTTCTACTTATGTTGAGGCACCAAACTGTCTTTCCAAAGAATATCCTTTGTTTGTGAATTTGTAATTTTTGTGATTAAAATATGATGTTTTGGGATTCTATTCAGAATGTTCTTAGAGGAGGTTTATGAACCCCCACCCCTCTCTTTTGTTTATATAATGACAAGTTGACTGGGGACACTGTTTGGCTGGTCTAGGCATAGGTACCTTAGGTTTAGTGTTTTTATGAACGTTAGGACAGGAGTGTCTTCTTTTTAGTTGGTTGATTTTCTTGTTTCCATGGTTATATTCTAAGTATATTTTGAATTACCCACAATATGTTTTATTTCAAGTCGTAGAGTTTGACTTGGATTTTTATCATTAATATAATAAGCTTCACGTTTCCAAGAACAAAAAGCAAATTTTGGTTTCACTTTCATGGTTTTATGTTAATGTAGAAAATCAGCCACTTCTTTCTTTGCTGCCTATGATGCCTTATGTGAGGAGGGTACTGCAACGTCTGTATGCAAGGCTCTTGATGAAATTGCAATTGTAGACATTTCTGTGTCAGGTAATTATTTTAAGCTTAGCATGATTCATTTAACTCGACTATGTGTTTCATCCCTCATACATGTGTTGTTCTATCCGAAGAAACGGTATTTGATTGAAAGCCAGTTGAAATGATATTAAGTTGGCTCAATGGAGAACAAATGAAAGCCCTTAAAGAGGAAGAAGGGGAATTTTCTCACGGTGAAGAACTCTGCAATGTGATTGCTCGGCAACATGACCCGTTAGTTTGCTTAGAATTGTCTCACTGGGCGTCTCAGCAGCCCAGGTTGCGGCATAATGCGTTCACGTTTCATATGACCATTTAGAAGCTTGGTGTTGCAAAAATGTACCAAGAAATGGATGATCTTTGTTGATATTTCATGCTCTTTCATGTTTTTTCTTTTTTTATCAACATTTTCTTTCATGTTTACTCGCGTCAATGTTAAGCTTACTTTCTTCCATGCCCCATCATTATTCTGCTTGCGGTACAATTTTTTTTCTTTTAAATAGTTAATTCCGGGCCTCTTACACTAGCCATTTCAGTGAGACACTCATTGATGTGCCCTGTGGATTTGACGTTGGAATTGTTTTAAGATATCTAGATTTAATGTTGTTTGGATGAGAAGGAATGAAATAAGAAAGATTGAAAAAGAAAGGATGTGAATAGAAAGGAAAGAGTATAAATGATGTATTATTTGAATGAACGATTTTTTAACGTGTGTTTAATGATACTTTTAAAAAATAATAGTAATTTCTTTATGAAAATTATAATATTTAATATTTTTTATGTAATATATTTCGTGATATCTTATTTTTAATAGAAATTTATTATGTATAAGTTTTTATTGTGTATTATTGGGTATGTGTTAAAAAATTGTTTGAAAAATGATTAAAAAAACCAATTGCATTTCCTGTCTATTTGATGTTTAAATGTTTCACTGTTGGACTCTTTAAAGTAAACACATTTCAACTCTGGAATTTATTTAAATCAAACGAGAGAAATGTGAAAAAATTGTTTAATTTTAGCATTTACTATTTCCTTCAAAGCAAATACAGGGTAAAGCTTTGGCATTTCCAAAAGGGATTCTTCTCCAAACAAGTTATGCATTGACTCTTTGTAAGGGCATTAGCTTAAGCTATTTTTTTTAAAGGATAGGATTCATTATTTACATTAAATTTTAACTGTATAAATTAAATAATTTAATTGTTAAAAAGTTATCAAGAAGAGTTATTGTTTGCTGACTGAAAAGGGACTAAATTTATAATTTGCCTTATTCGGATAAATTAGCCACCTAAAATTTTATAAACTAGATGAAAATAGAAAGTGACGAAATAGATTAAATTAAAACTAAATTTATGTACATATTTATTTATAAATTTTTTATGTATAACAACTCAATTATAAATTTGTGACAGATATATAAACTAACATATATTTGAACTGATAAATTTAATTTAAATTTTCAACAACAAATCATTTTTATACTATAAATAATGAAAAAAATGTTAGTTTAAAATATAATTGATATGGACTAATGAAAATATATGCAACTAATCTACAACATATCTTAAAAAGATATTATTACATAAAAAATTATAAATATAAATATAATTTATATTGTTAAGATTAAAGATTATTAATTTTTCTGTCTAAAGAGACAGATAATTAATTAATTTAAAAATTATTCTTTAACACACTATTTGTAATATATATTTTATTATTAATTAAAAATTATAAAATTACATGAATTTTATTTTTTTCTAAAATAATATTTTTTAAAAATAAATGTTATGTTTTTTTTTCCCCTGGAAATATGTATGTACATGAACTCGCGAACAACTCCGTGAATTAAACAGGCATCAAATACGTTTTAGAGAGAAAAAAAATAAAACGAAACCGTGGCGGGCTGGGCCGGGTAAGAAACATGCTCTAATACGGTGCCGTTTCAGTCGAGCTCACATTTTTTCCTCCCCTCTTTTCCTTTGTTCAAAGACGCTGTGACGGCGGCGGCGGCGCTCGGTGGTGACGGCGGCGGCTCTCTGTTCAGCGACCAACACGTAAATTTATTTTTTCCTGTTTTCTTAACACTTTGGGTGCTTCGACCTTTCGATGTGCTTGCTATTGTTGAAGATTTTCAAATTTTCGTTAATTGAAAACATTCTCACGCAATCGTTGTGTAGTGTATGTGTAAAGCTTTTCAATCTCACTAATATGTTTTTCTCAATGTGAAATGATTAGGAAAATGGCGTTCAGAGGGAAAGAGATGATGAAAAAGGTTCTGAAGAAAGTGGGAGAGAAGGGTTTGGGTCCAAAAGAGAAGGAATCGTTGGAGAAATGCATACCACGAAGCAAAGTTGTGATGAATCGTGCCAAACGCGGTCTCTTTGCCGGGCGACACATTCAGTTTGGCAATAGTGTCAGTGAAGATGGCGGTAACAAGTTTGTATCCTCTTCCTATTCCATTTTGTTTTCGTGTTTGTTGCTTCTCTTACGAACCATGATGAAAAGTTTCATGCTTTAACTCCTAGTGTTAGATCTATATTTAGAGCTCGTATAGTTTAATATAGTAACTGTGTCTGTGTCAAATTACTTTTTGAATGGATTTAGCTAAGTAAACTTTAACGAGGATTGGATGGTGATGAATTGATCACAGTTTCAAGTCGTTTCAGCTCAAAGGCCAACTTTTAGTTAATTTTGTTCTAACTGAATCCAATTCTGAAAGTAGTTTTTTCCCCCATTAAAATAATAAATTCAACATAAAATGTTGTTAATGGGAGAACTATGGGGGAGGAGCAGCACGCGTTGAAGGAGAATTTGATTAAAACCCATTTGAAATGATTTCTTAGAGAGAATATGTTGGCTCAATGGAGAACAAAAGAAAAGCCTTTAAGGGGGAAGAAGGGAAATTTTCTCATGGTGAAGAACTCTGCAATGTGATTGCTCAGCAATATGACCCGTTAGTTTGCTTAGAACTGTTTCACTGGGCGTCTCAGCAGCCCAGGTTCGGCATGATGGGTCCACATTTCATGTGACCATTAAGAAGCTTGGTGTTGCAAAAATGTACCAAGAAATGGATGATCTTTCACCTTCGTTGATAGTTCATTTTCTTTCATGTTTTTTCCTTTTTTGATCAACATTTTCTTTCATGTTTACTTGCTTCAACGTTACGCTTTCTTCAACGTCCTACATATGATATATACTGAAATAATTAGAGTCGCATAAGAAGTAGTGGATCATTTCTACATATGTGGAGGCACCAAACTGTATTTCCAAAGAATATCCTTTGTGAATTTGTAATTTTTGTGATTAAAATATGATGTATTGGGATTCTATTTAGAATGTTCTTAGAGGTTTATGACCGCCTCCCCTCCCTTTTTCAAAACTTTTTGATTGGGACACTGTTCAGCTGGTCTAGCTGTAAGTACCTTAGGTTTAGTGTTATGGACAGGAGAGTCTTCTCTTTAGTTGGTTGATTTTCTAAAACTACTACAATATTGATGCGACCTTGTTCTTTCTCTTGATCTTGATAGGACAAGGAGAACATGGAAACCTAATATCCAGGAAAAACGGCTCTTTAGTTACATCCTAGATCGTCACATTCGTGTTAAAGTCACCACCCATGCCCTTCGTTGCATAGATAAAGCTGGTGGGATTGACGAGTACTTGCTGAAAACTCCTTATCACAAGATGGACACTGAAATGGGCCTCCTCTGGAAGGCAAAGATTGAAAACTTGTATGAAGAACTTGGCAAGAAGGAGGTTGTATTCTTTTCACCAGAGGATGAAGCAAAATTTGAGCAGGACTTTAAAGATTTAAAACTATCTGAAAGGGAGGCACGAAAAGAGTTCAGAAGAAAAATGTATGCAGGGATAAGCAAGCACAAGGTAATTGCGGTAGAACATAAAGACAGTCAATCTATTGATGAAGGAGGCAATAAAGTTGAGGAAGGAATCTCGCATGATTCATCAGAACGATTGGTCCCTGTCTCGTATGTGTTGGCTGCTGACAAGCTCAAAGTTGGAACTATTGTTTCTAATTAATGTTATGGCAACTGATAATGGCAGTGTAAGCTGTTTTGAGAATCTGTGTTCTTTGATTTTTGGGACATTTTGTTTTCTTCACTCTAGAATTTTGTTCTAATGCTTTAAACTTTGTGTAGTCAAAAGCATACTCTATTCTGCTGAAGTAATAATATAGTTTTATATTTTTAGCGATGCTGAGTTCGTGACACCAACTTGGTAAAATCTGCAAGGTAAATCTTAAAGATAAATAGTCAGAGCTTTGTTTTCATTTTGTTTCTTTCTTATTCTTTTTACATTTTGATTGTTTTGGACCTTCTAGTCTGTGCTGCTACTGTTAGTGAGCTACAGACAGGTTGATTTAGAAATAATGGAAATTAATTCTTTATTACAATGCAAAGGTGAATCTCTAAAATTTCCATGATTGGTGTTAAGAGATCTTTCTTTCCCAAATCCTCACTGGAGATCTCTACCCTTGGTTGTGGTAGAACAGAGGTTAAAAATATTCCTCCCCAGGAGGACCACCACGTCCTCAGTGAAAGTTTGGTAATTTTTTACGATAGCTGAAAGAAAATTTTATCTCCATTCCATTACTTGAAATATAATAATCATTTTACTGTTAAATGAACAATATTTTTTTTCTTCTTCCTGACTTTGTACACTAAACATGTTAATAAAGTACAAAACATTGATGTCTCATGTTGATTAAAATGAGTTCAACCAAACAAGAAATGAATTGTAGTGAAGATAAGTAAGTGCAAGGCAGGTTGTGGCTAGCTTTTATTTATTTATTTTCTCTGTTTTTGTTTTCATAGTTTATTTATCAGGGTATTTAAAATGATACTCATGCAACCAAAAGATTTTCTCAACGACTACCCATTTTTACTGGTGCCCTGCTTTTCCACATGTTTACAACAGTGTTCCAATTACGAATCAACTTTCGATTTTATACATTAAGGGAATGAAATAGATGCTTACAAGAAAAAATTTGATGAGACAACAGCAACAATGATTTTTGATACAACAATGCTTCTTGATAAATGAATAAAACAATGCTCAGTATTAAAGTATCATGTCTTTACGAAGGAAGGTTTTCATAGCTATTGAGGCAGCTAACGATAACATTTGAGTCAGCATTCACATATCTAGCCTTCTTTGATATTTGAATCATTGCTTGTACTGGCCACCATTCCTTTCCTATCAGTGTAAGCAGGACAGACAGTGCCAAATTGACAGAATCGACATTTCCATCGCTCCTCCTCAGGAGTATAAGTGGCTTCTCGTTCTCCATGCCAAAACTCAAGACAACAACGAATTTGATTCTTTAGCCAGTCAGAATCATATGCAAATTTATCTTCACCAAGCAGCGAATGATCTTTCTGATACTCATATCTGACACGAAGCAAATAAAACCAGAACTTACAAAATCAAACTTACACGCAAAAACAGGAAATTTGAGGAAGAGCATGTGGAATGCAATCCAGTTTGCTCATTGTGACTGATAAATTTATCAACATGATTTATCACTCGTTGTCTTCAAAAAATTTGGTCAACATCACAGGGTTTTACTAATAAGCAACTTCTGTGTGTGCGCACGTGCACACGTGTTCAAGTGCTTTCCCCCACCTAAGCTGGAGCAGGGAAAGGACAGGCAGTGGTAGACTTCTTCAAAAACTTAAATTGATGAGTAATGAATACTACAAATAATCGTTTAAAAACCATATTTGATGAAAGCAATCATGAGGACCTGTTATTGTCCAGAGCAACTCTGGCAATCAATAAAAATATGCTAATTAAGCACAAGAGCCTTTGGTTCAGATGCATACCTCAATAAAAGCTGATCGTGAGCAGGGGCCAGCATACTGCACGTATTTCTGTAGTATCTCACCACATCATCCAAGGTCTGCTTTTGCCAATAATACAAAATAGGAAAAAAAATATTTATATAAAAGGTATGCTTCACTTAATAATCAGCTGAAACTTTTTAAGCAGATTATTGTAATAATGTAGAAAATTTTTAATTTGATCTTGGATAAATCCTTCAAGGAAACTTTTCGATGCATTTTCCTAAAGGAAACCCTCTCTTAACCCAAATACAATCAAAGCACTATGGTTGTCCTCAGTTGCATAGTTCAGTGATTTATTTAAAACTTATTTTATGAATGAATGATTTTGTAAAATGCAACATAGCATAACCACCTAAATTATAATAATTCATAAAATAAAAGAAAGAGAACACAATTAAAAAGAGTCGGTGACTAAGAGAACCTTTTAAGCAACCCAATATCCTGCACTTACCGAAGCGGAAAATCCAGAGTCAGCACCTATCATTTTCAGATCTTCACATAGATTATGCTGAGGGTTTAGGCCAAAATAAGTGAAAAACTTTTTAGAAGGGAAATTATCAGTAACTAAATTGTCCCACAAATACTTGTAGCACATCAATTGAAGCCTGCCAAAAATAAAGAGCAACATAATGATTCAATCAAATGCATTACAATTCGATATCCAATGAATGAAATAAATGGCAGAAGAATGAGCTAACCTTCCATTTCTTCGTTGTGGTTCGGCTGGAAGTGTATCTCGAGCACGAGTCTTTGTGTCAATTAGTATTGGATTATGATGGTTTTCTATTAATGGCATCCGAATCTCATCAATTACTCCCACCATCCATGTATCTTCTGCAAAGCCTATTCTGAAATCAGAAATATTAATAAACCATCATGATCAAAATTGCTCCAAATCCCACCAATCTTGGCCAAATTTTAAGTAAATTCAATCATTTCTCTGAAATCTAATATCTAATCAAAGCTTAATTCACTATATTATTGTGGATTTGTCAGTTTAATGAATCGAAACAAAAAAGAATTGGAGCAATTTACCCTTAAGTAATGACGACTTAAAGCAATTTAGTTAGGAACCCAAACCAAGTTTTCTACTGTATGTACCTTTATTCACATCCTATTTCTTTTATATTGAAGGACTTTGCTTTCTTTTCTGTATCAGTTAAAAAATGCAAATTACCTTTTTCTTTGAATTCTAATATTTCTAATCAATTCTCAACGTAATCCATAGCTTAATGCTTCTTCCATCACTCATAAATAGGCAGTGGATGCATGTTATAACGATAATTACAACATGATCAATGCAACACAGTCTGATTTGTACGTTAAGATTGATTTTCATGGCATTTGCCAAATTTATGTGAGTTCTCTCTCCTTTAAGATCCACAAAATTTACAGTAAAAAAGAACAAGATTATGCACTGTCATGTTATAACTACACGTTGACACCCTATCTCTAGTCTGGTCAAAACCTATGAAACCTATGAAAATTTGTGAATTAACTCATAACATGTAATTAACTTACACTGGAAGTTCACGAGTTAATCCTTCAAATAATAATTGATTTACACCACTTATAAAATTAAGAAACTTCAGGGCCCAATAATCTTCTTGTGATTTGACCTTCACTTCCACCCGTTTTATAACCTGCACATTAACACTATCTATCAGTGCTGGTAGATCCAACTTAAAAGATAGAAAAATTGACCAAATAGGACACAGAAAATTTCAAATAATCATAAAAATTTACAATCTGATATCAAGAAAGCAAATAAAAGATGAACTATGATTATATAATTAAAAGGCTTCCATAAGTAAGCTATTTTGTACTGCCACTTCAGGAAATTTCATTTCCACGGAGTGATTTAGTGTTGCTGGGGAATTTTTACAAAGAAAGATTGTATAACATTTAAAATTTCATGTGGTCAATGCAAGAGAACTGGGGTTTAGCTTTTCATAGTTCATACACACTTGGCTAAATGGCCACGTAGTCATAAATATCAATAGCATCAACTAGACTTACACCTTAGTAGCACAGTTGACCTAAAATTTTTGTCTGAGTTAACTAAAACATTTCATGCTTAATCAAACAAAAGATGCAATAAAGGAAAAGGAAGGTTTACAACAAAGAGAACATTGCTGGTTACCAAATTTTAAGATCTCGGTATTTCCTCTACATCAAATCTCATCTTTTGAGCCAAATTATTTGAAGAGGCACTTGAGGTATAAACACAGGAAATATAAAATATGAGCAATCATAGAATGAGAATAATGCCTATGAGGTACGAGTACAACCAGTTAAAAAAGAAAGATACTTTTAAAATAACAGTTATTTTGAGTTAATTTTATTGGTTGTGCCTAATAGGCTCTTGCTCATAAAATATGGGAATACCATCAAAAGATAGCACATTGATAACAATGCCAGCTCTGCAAATTTCAATAACTTAAAACAAGAGAGTACCTCTTCTTCAAGCTTTGCATGGCGAGCAATGCCAGCTCTCATTACTTGATTGACCTTTCGCCCTCCAAGAAGAAGAGAAAATTCCATTTGTTTTGGGCACCATTCCTATATCAAAATTGAATAAATAAAGTTAATTAAACCAATCACAATAGTTGATAAAACAGACTAACTTTATGGGGCTAGGCCAAAAAATCTGAATTCAATTCAAACCCACAAAAATTAGTTCCAAGCCTGGCAAAAGCTCGGTTTATTTAATTTTTTGGGGGCTTAATCGAATTAGATTTAAAAAATCAAATTTAGTTTGGATTCAAAATTTAAAGGCTATAAGACCTACATTTTGCTAAGCGAGTTAAAGTACTAAAATTTAATCTGAATTTAGTTACCCAAATGCAGCCTAAGCTACAACATATGTGATATCATGAATAGGGAATAAGAAAGAATGAAAATTGATACCGTAGAGGTAAGATCAGTGACGGACAAGCCCCTTTTCCTTCTGAAACGGTGAAGAAGGGAATCGGGAAGAGTGGTTTTTTTCTTGTGGGTGAGTGAGTGTGAGTCTTCAATATCAATGTCATTGGACAACCTTCTTTTGGATAGAAGGGTGATTGAGTTGACGGAGAACGCAGAAGCGTGAGAGTGGGGAGAAGGAGGTGGTGTGAGTGTGGATGGAGATGAACGAATGGCAGAGAAAGAACGAGAAGCTAAAGCAAATGCAGCTTCAATGAGAGCCATTTCATGATCGCTCACGATTTCGATTGGAATATGATTGTTGTCGGAAGAGGTTGTTTCGGCCATGTTCGTGTCGTGTTGGGTTGGCCTCTTCTCATGACCGTTCAAAACGCCACGCTTTTGGGGTTCCGATTGCTTCGCTTCTTATTCACACCATTCACACACTTTCCACCGTAAAAGCAATGTATTCAGTTCACCTCTTCCAAATTCAAAGAGCCACATTGCTTCTTCCTTCCTTCCAAGAAATGAACTTCTTCAGTCAACTCTTCCTCCTCTCTCATTCACCCTTTTTTATTTTATTTCCATAAATCATTAAATTACTCTTGCTCCTCGAAATTGTATTGATAAGGTGTTAGGTGGAGGTATTTTTACATTTTAAAAATATTCTTATTAGTTTATACTTTTATATATACACACACATATATATACATATATATATATATATATATATATATACACTTTAATTTTCTATTTAATTCTGATTTATCTTATTTTTCAATTATGACTATTTTTTACGATCATAAATATTTAAATTGAATAAAAATCAATTAGAAGAATAAAATAAATTACTAATTTTACTTATATTTTAAAAAGTTAATAAAATAGACTAATTCTAGTAAATCTAATTAAATTAGTTAAGAATGTAAATCTTAGATTTTAAATTTGAAGTTCAAATTAATTTTAAATTTTTTTCCACTTCATTCCATATTTTCTTTTATCAACATTTATATATTTAAGTATAAAATGTAAAACGGGAGTTTGAAATAGAATTGAACTTGGGTTTTATGATTTGAATAAAAAGCAAATATTTTTGGACTACTTTGACTGTACCCAAAGTTTAAAGTAAGGCCCAAATCTGGTCGGGTAACTATTTAGACACTTTTGATTTACCGAGTACATCGTTTTGATTTACCGTGTGAATGCAATAAAACATAATTATGGAGACATTTTTAACTTTTTTATGAGATTAACTTAGAATGGAAATTTTTAAAAAAGAGACAGCTATATATATAGCTACTGAAAATACAATAAATATACCTTCAACAACAAAGATTCGAACTATAATTCTTTTCTTGATGAGAAATTAGTGTGGATTCAACCTCTGTTGTTATCATGTTTCAAGCAGTGTCTTTGATCGATGTTTCTCACTGAACTTCAACTTGTCTACACATTACATTGCCAGCAAACACTCCCTAACTTTACATGGATGACACGTGTCTCTCTATGTTGTCTTCACATTCCCTTCATAAACCATCCTTCACACCCCAAATTGTGCATGCCATCAAACACAATAATGGGAAACATAGCTACCCTTTTGCTCTTGCTCTTTGTTTTTTGCCATGGAGTGGCCATAGCAGAAAGTCCTTCAAGTTCATCAACCAAATTGTTCTTGATGCAAAACTCCAAGAGAGTGGTTAAGACTGATGCAGGGGAAATGCGAGTTATGAAAAGCTATGGTGGTAGGATTTTGGATAGGCACATGCAAATTGGTTTCATCTCTATGGAACCAATGTCCTTGTTCATTCCTCAGTACCTTGACTCCAATTTGATCATCTTCATCCGAAGAGGTATTAGAACATCTCTTTCTCTCTCAACTTTGCCTTTTCATGATCAAATTCCTCACTTTTCCAAGTAGATGAGGAACTAATCTGCATAAGGCTATCATATAAAGAGTACCATTCATGCTTGTCTTCTTATTTGAAAGAAAAGATTAAAAAATAAAATAATAATCATTGCAAGAACTATAGAAACGTGTGAAACACCAAAAGACGCCCCTCTTATGTAATCTAAGTGAATGTAGGGGAGTTGAGAAGGATTTAAGTTTGATCCAAGATTAGTGTGATATTATCTTTAAATCACATATTTGAGGATATGTGACTATCATACCATAACTAGTCTAGAGTGATATGATAGTCTAAGAAACATTATATTCAGAATGCATCAAATTTTAATTCATTAGAGAAGTTGGGAGTGAAGCTAGAAAATGGTTGCAGGGGAAGCAAAATTGGGATTCATATATGATGATAAACTAGCGGAAAGGAGATTGAAGACAGGAGATGTGTATATAATTCCAGCAGGTTCAGCATTCTATTTGGTGAATTTAGGGGCGGGTCAGAGACTTCACATCATTTGCAGCATTAACCCCTCTTCAAACTTAGGAGTAGATACCTTTCAGGTACATGCATCCATGATTTCGCCTATACCACTTTATTTAATTGTAGTTTGATGAATTTAAGTATCTAAATATAATAAATTTTTATTAAAAATATATTTGTTACATTAATGATATAAATAGAAAATTTATTTTTTAAAGAAAATAGCATTATTATTACTATTACTTATTTAAAGTCAGTTATAAAGACTTGTTTTTTTTGTTCTATTTTATTATTATAAATTTGTATCATCTAACGTTCTTCAATTTTATCTGGGCCATGTAGTCCTTCTATATTGGCGGAGGAGCCAATGCACCCTCAGTGCTTTATGGATTCGAGTCTGTGATCCTTGAAGCTGCATTTAATGTAAGCTAATATAGTGGACATGTATCACAATTCACATTATTTTTTCTTATATAGAATTAGCACTATACACATAAATTTCTTTTATTAATTATCACTCTATAGGAATCAAGAACCGTGCTAAGGAAAATCTTCACCAAGGAACTAGATGGGCCAATTGTGTACGTGACTGATACACATGCACCTAGATTATGGACTAAATTCCTTCAACTGAAAAAAGAAGACAAAGTGCAACACCTGAAGAAAATTGTGCAAGACCAAGAAGAAGAAGAAGAGGAGGAAGAGAAGGAAACAAGTTGGTCATGGAGGAAGTTCATGGAAACTATACTTGGTAATGTGAATGAGAAGATAGAGAACAAACACACTGCTGGTTCTCCTGACTCTTACAACCTCCATGACAAAAAACCTGATTTCAGAAATGCTTATGGTTGGAGCAAGACACTTGATGGAGCCGAGTATCCTCCACTCAGAAAAGCTGACATTGGCATTTTTCACGTCAACCTCACCGCGGTATGCTAACAAGTTCTTCAATATTTAGGTGTAAAGACTTGAACAAAACTTAAATCAGTGTTCTATCTAATTAAAATTAGCATTTTATCTCGATATTGGTTGACAATTTTAGTTACTTAGACGAAAATAGTGGTTGTTGATTCTTTTTGACTAGGACCACCAATATTGGAATACCACATTGACCATTTGATTAATCAGTTTTTCTAATGTGTGCTTAAAGACATATGATAAGAACCTATATATAAAGTAAATTTTTATAGGATTCTGAGGAGAGTTTTGCCGGTCCTACAAGATTGACTCAATTTTATGCATTATAATATTAAAGGCTTCAATTTTTAATTTGGAACATATTAGAACAACTATTGATTAATGGATCCAGTTGGGTAGGACTACTGGAAGTGATGAAATCTTAATTTTTACTGGAAAACAGCACAAATAAAACTTATATAGTTATATGTAAGTGTTGTCCTAACAATTCATGTCAGATTAAGTGTGATTTGCCAACATTTATTTTTCATGCGTAGGGATCCATGATGGCACCCCATTTGAATCCAAGAGCAACAGAGTATGGCATAGTGCTGAGGGGTTATGGTAGAATTCAAATACTATTTCCAAATGGAAGCAACGCGATGAACACCGAAATCAAAGTAGGGGACGTGTTTGTTGTACCAAGATACTTCCCCTTCTGCCAAATAGCATCAAGGAATGGACCCTTAGAGTTCTTTGGGTTCTCAACCTCTGCCAGGAAGAACAAGCCACAGTTTCTAGCTGGAGCTGTGTCCCTTGTTACGACCATGATGGGGCCTGAGCTCGCAGCTGCTTTCGGGGTGAGCGAGGACACGATGCGGCGCACTGTCGACGCTCAACACGAGGCTGTAATACTGCCATCAACATGGGCTGCACCACCGGAAGATCCAGGGAAAATGGAAGAAGAGAAGGTACACATGCAGCCAAAGGCTATTAGAAGCTTTGCTAAGGATATAGTTATGGATGTTTTTTAATAGATCATTTGATTTTGGAACAGACATATTTAGTAGTGCTATAGTGCTAGTGCTTAGTGGAATTCTGTATTTGTTTTTTTATTTCTTTGGTTGAGATGTGGTGTTGTGATCTTGAGTTATGAATAAAATCTACTTTCTTTGTGCATTGGATCCTTCATGTCTGCTTTTTTCTTTGAAAGATCTCCTTTTCCTTTTCTTTGAAAGACTTGGAATTTGGCTTGGAGAAATATTAATTGAACATTAACGTGCAGTATTAAAAGTGGTACGACGAATTTCAATGTGTACATTTTACCCTTTTGATCTATATAATAAATAAGAGCTGGAGAATTAGCAGGTAATTGTCAACATTGAATTGATGATGGGGTTTTAAGAACAATAATTTTTGTTCTTCCTTTTGTTTGATGAACATTTCGTGTCGATGCATAACACAAGAAAGAAGACAACATGATTTTTTTCAACCGATATAAATTTCATTAGCACAAATTGTCAGAAAAGTATTGGCTGATTTTTAAGGCAGAGATGGATATGGTGGACAAGTGTGTTCACAAAATAATTGTTTGATTGAAATTCAATTTTAAGACCAAGTCAGCGTATGTATGTATATGCATAATGTAGTGTATGTATGAGTGTGTGTGTGTGTGTATTGTTTCTTTTCAGCCTCTATTTATATATTTGAAATTCATAATTTATAGACTTATCGGTTTTATTAACAATAATTTTAATGGCTGATTTTAAATAGTATTAAAAAAATCCATTTACTACTTTTTATATTTTATATGTGATAAATATTTAAAAAATATAGTATTTTTAGTTGTTTAAAATTAATTTTAGAGACTGATGTGAACATTTTTTAGCTCTAATTATTATTTTTAGTTCGAGTTGAGTGAGTGGGACAAATTAGTCCAGATCATAAATACTCATAATATCTTCAATATTATTTTAGGAGTATTTTTTATTAGATAAATACTAAAATAAGTTTATTATTTTTAATAGATATTTAGTAAAATAAATTTATTTTGTCGTAGTAGTTAATGAATTTTTTTAAAATGCCTATATTGATATTAAGTGGTATTATCTAAAATGATATAGAAGGAGTAATCGATATATTGTACAACATTTATGTAATTTTCAACACATTAAATTCTGTGACTTTAATAGAAAAATTTTGTTTTATATAATTTTTTATTATAAGACCTTAGAATCTTAGATGCATATTAAAGTAATTGATTGTACAAACATGATTTAGGAGGAATCGAAAGAGCATGTGAGAAACTCATGACAATACATTGTAACTCCTATATGTTTTCTTTAAAGTATATTTTAATAATTTTCATAACTTATTAAAATGTTTTTTTATTTTTCATTATAATTTCTGGTTGCTTTTGTTTTCTTCTTATTTTCACTTTTGGGGCCTTTGAAAGCTTTCGTACCTGTCCGAGCCTTGCTTGCTACTACTGAATTTGGAGCTTGTTTTTTCCCTAGGAGGATTGTGGATGCATGCAACCTTTTATTCATGAGCAACTGTTCCTGTTTTGAGCATGTAAGAGAACATTGAAATTTAACCATTCTTTTTTATTATATTAAATATGAATCTTGTTAACCAGTATCTCAAGTCGCTTGTTAAAAAATAAATAATAATATTTTTATTTAAAAACATATTATGATGTATTAGTAATATTTAATAAAAATTATTAATTTTTAATAGTGTCTTGAAGATAATGATTAATTTTTATCATCAAATATTTATTATTTATTAATTATATTGAATAAATATTGAAAGAGTATTAAATGGTAGTAAATACCTGATAATTCATTAGTAATATAGTACCTTTGCCTTCTGTCTAGCAATGCCATAGAAAATTGATAAAAAGAGAACATTTAAGTAAACAATGCACATTTCAATTCTTATCTTGTGGTTGTGGGGCATAGGATAGATACATTGCATACCTCTGTGTTCTATTTGGATTCACATGCATGTTGCCATGCGAGTAGGTGAATTTTAAATTCGTAATTGCACACGTGCCTTTTTCTTTTCTTTTCCTCTTCTGTCGGTTGTTTATGTTCCTCTAGAGACCTTATCTTTAGAACATACAATGAAGAGTTTTCTCTGCTAAACAATAATAATGATAGATTATTCCAATACTAATGATAGATAGATTATACCAAAAAATTGCCTTCAAGCAAACAATTTCATTTAAGGGTAGGTTAAAAGGTTAATCTGTTAAAGATAAAAATAAAATATTAAAAATAGAAATAACGTGCCTTCAAGCAAACGCTTTCATTTCATTACGTATTAATAAATAATTATATTTTTTAATTTAAAAATAAATCCAACAAACAAATCTGCTTCATTTTGCTGGTTAAAATAGAACAAAATTATATAATTTAACAAGTATAAAACTTTTAACCCAATTTAATCTACCATTTTCAGCAATCTTGGCAATGTGGGCTAGCCACCAATTGTCATTTTTACTCTTATTACAAAAGATATTTTTGTGAAAGACTTTGGCATCACCACTAACAGGTGTAAATTTGAATTTACTCACCTGAAAAATGCATAATCATTATTTAAAACACTGTAAAGGTTGAGCAACCTTGGTTTTATTGACACACATTAAAATTTGTCATTTGGTTGTCAAAACAAAGAACTTTACAATAAATAAATAAATTAGAGAGATGACAGATGGAGTATCCTAGCATAACATTGTTTTTAGGTGTGCTCAAAGTAATAAATATATGGCAAAAGGTCACTATATCACTGCTGAATTGCTACTGAATTTTTTATACAGTACCTTTGCCATGTATAACAATATAGTACCTTGCCATATATAACAATAATTCACTTGTCAATTTTTTTTAGGGTCAAGTCATCGTTCGAAACAAAAAACACTGCATTAGAAAAATTAAAGACTAAAACTTTTAAAAAAATTTACATTCAAACTTTATTATCAGTGTTGTTAATGTTATATATATAAAACGATGACTGTGCTAAAAAGTTCATTTATTCTCGTAAGATTTTTTCTTGGGAAAAAATAGTAAAAAAGTTGATACTGTTGGCCAGAATAGCAGTTAAAAAATAAAAACTGGATGTCTCAAAAAATGACAAAGATACACTCAAATTTCTTCTGCTCCCTCCGGCAAATAAAAACAGCAACAATTATTAATTTCCCGTGCCCCAATATTTGATATTTAATTACATCACTGCCACTGTCTTCCTTTTGCCACAAAATACAGAGAGAGAGAGAGAGAGAGAGAGAGAGAGAACACATCACAACCAAACAACAGTTCCCTTCTTTATTTCCATTCTCTGTCCATTTCCTTACCTCAAACCAAAACGAACCAAACCAGAATGCAGTCGATGTTAAACCTGCGTGCAACTCATGGCGTTCCTCTCTGTCTCTCCGGAATTACCAACCCTCTTCTTCTTTCTAAGGAGTATGTATATAATTTCTTAAAACACACACACACACACACACACATCCCTTCATATCTCTGATCTCCCACTTGTGTTCTTCTCTACGAGTTCATATATATATATATATGTTCTTGGTGGTGTAGGATCAAGGATCACGAGCGCAGGAGGAAGGCCATGAAAAGGCAAAGATCAGAATTCCATGCAAATCAAGAAAAGGGTAACCGCACAAACTCTCTGGAGATCAAGGAAGAAGATGGAGATCTAGATGACGTCATCCTTCATCATCTGTTCCACACTTACCTGCCTTTAACGGCAAAAGCTGCATAGCTTCTTCTTCACCACTCTATTAATTGTTTATGTTATTATATGGTATAAGTACATCTTCTAAGTTAATTATTGGCTTCCCTTTCTTATATTTAGATTTTATGTGTTTATATTTTGTTTAACCATGTGAAATTGTGGATCCTTATTTATGAAGAATTTAATTCTCCTGGTATTGTATTGCATGTGTATATGAACATCCCTAAAATGTCATAGTAGAGAGTGCAAGAGTTCAATTAGACCTCTATGCCGTGATGTTAAGTAAATGTGAAATATATTTTGAACTACCATGAGACACTTAGAAGTGTCTTTTTTTTTTTTTTTTTTAAAGTAAGATGAATTTTTTAAATGCATGTATATATATAAAAATATATATATGTAAGTTGTAAGAACAATCGCACCTACTATCACTTACGATGTTAAATTTTAGTTGTTAAACAATATATCTCTTAATAAATTTGTCCAATTTGTCAAAATTTCTCTAGTGGGGTACTTGAAATTATAGCTGTATAGTCATTGAAGTATGTATAGGTTATATTAAATATTTGGAATCTCAATTTATGATCTTTTTAATCCCACTTGTTTCAAACATGACTTGACTAATTCTTAAGAAAACATTGAGAAAGCTGAGCTATGAAGAATTTGAGAAGCAACAAGAGAAACGATGAATTTGATTCTGTTCATTATATATTACTGTTATCAAGCATTTTATTTAGCAAATAATGTTGTATCGCACTTATGTAAGTTAAAAGCAGTTGTGTTTTTTATACAAATTCAAAACAATTAGTCTATAGCTATTTAAAATTTTAGATAAGTTAAAATATATTTGTTAAATAAACCATCTAATTGTTAAAAATAATATTAAAATAAATCATTGTTTTGGAGTGTTACCGCCACCGGAAAGGATCTCACTCGGTCACACCACGGACGACGTATCACAAATAGCAATTTGCATTATATTCTTCCTTAGTCAAGCTTTAGAATCAAAGTCATATTAAGAAATATTTTATAAGTTTGATATTATTTCTCTAACGTATCTATATTTAAGAAAAAATAATAAGAATTTATATATAGTAATTTTTTATTAATCTAATACTTCGTTATAATTTTAATAAGAAATTGGTTTTTTTTATTGTGTGCCCTTAAATAATACACATTAAAAAAACATCAATATACTATTGTGAATATCATTTAACAAATAACATAATGGAATTTGGGGTGAGCAAGCTATAATTTGTATCCTGCATCAAAACATAAAACCCCAAAAGCATAAGGCGATTCCTCTAAATTAGAAGGATAAAAACAGCTTCAATGATAAATTCGATGTGATTCCATTAAGAAATCCATTCCATACTCATGTTTTTCACCGTTCATATTTTGACTCCATATTGCCCAATGAAAATGGAATGAGCTGGTATGATGGGAACAAAACAATTCCAAAATTCATTCCGAAGCATTCATGTTTGTGAAACAGACAAAAATGGAGAGAGCATAGGTAAATTTCAAAGATGGACATTGAAAAAAATGGGGGAAAAAAAAAATACACAAATTTGTTCTACCGATTGAATAAACAGAAGATACCATTCACCTTAGAATTATGATTTGGAAAATAGTTTTTGCAAAATTAAAATGAAATAATTTTTATTTTTTTTCGTTTGGGATAAAGAATTAATCCGAGTGTCTATAAAAAGACGCAATCGTCGTCGTCGTTATTATTATTATTATTATTATTGGCCAAAATAAGAGTTTAGAATATGCATATGCTTACCTCTTTGCACTAGGAAGGGACGAGAGAGGGTGTGAACGTAGTGAAGACTCAAAGTGAGTGCAATTCACTTGAAAGGATAAAGTAAAAAGTTATAGTAATGTAATTAAAAACTAAGATTAAATGTATACACTTTTATAAGAAATCAAATAATATAAATTTTAATCGTATACACCTTTATAAGAAATTGTATAACATTTTAATCGTTAATTTTTTAATTAATGATTATAACTTCTCACTTTATTTTTTCTCTAAAGTGAAGGAAGTGCAAACTCTTTTTTGGTGCGTCTTTTCTTCCTTACTCTCTTTTGTTCCTATCTTTTCACATACTTTATCTATTTCTTCATTTTTCTTATTATCATCCCTCTTCTTTTTTCTTCTTATGGTGGTTGATGACTCGATGATATGTCAACCGGTGTCTTAAAAAATTTACCAACTAGCTCAGTGATTCCCGTTGGGGTCAAGTGATGATGTACTTCAGAACCTTACACTCCCTCCCCCTTAGTTTAATTCTTTTTAGAAAATTAAGAAAAAACTACTACATAAAGATGATAAATGCAAGGAATTAAGTACTATAAAATATGAAATTTACCTGTGACACAGATATCAAGTTACAATGATTTTTTATGAAAAATATAAATTCACATCAAATATTTCATTCCATACCCATTAAACACAAAGAAGTCAGCTGTAGGAATTGGAAACCATTTCATATATCCATTTAAAATTCCAGCTTCATTTGATTCCATATCCAGCCAGTTACCATGAACCTTCTGCACCCACAGTTGGATTCTTGAAAGCAGAGAACTCCCAATATGTTTGTAATGAGAAAGGTGGGAACAAAGTAGTACCTTCTTCAGTCATTTTAGCTATCTGTTAATTCAACATAACAGATCCATGAAATATGATAAAGCGAAAAATAATATATTTAATTCAGATGAAAATCATATTAAGATTAAGAATACAACAATGTATAATGGAAGAAAAGTCATGATGGTGAACATGTGAAAATGACAAAAAAGGAAACATTTGCACCTAGACAAAAAAGTAGAAACAAATTATAACATGTTCGGATTCACATTTGAATGTCTATAGACTTACGTTTACTTTATTGTTACTAGTTGTAATTTCTGCATTAAATTCACATTCTCAAATTTTTTAACGTGAATATAAAACATAATATATTCAACAATTCCATAAAAGCAAGATCATTAGACATGGACTACTGGATAAGTGCGAACTGACATGGATAGGATTCCAAGGTAAAGCCTTCAATCCTTGTACGGTCGATATTATATGCCATTGTGACCAAAACCAGTCATAACAAATTATTCCACCCAGTAATTTACAGAAGATAATTAAGTTATCTTCTTTCTAAAAAGCTTCAAACATTAACTTTTTGTGCCAAGTGGGGATTAAAACCATGAGACGAGGATCCAATCTCAAGTAGAGAAAGGTACCATGTGAGCTTCAGTTTGTTAGTGACCCCACTGGCTTACTGCCACAGAATGCCTTGGCTTATGCAATATTTGTCTCAAGGGGTCAAATTTGAAGTCTAAAATTTCTAAATGAAAACTAAATTGGCTTTTTAACAAACAGCAAAGCAAAAGAAACCAAGATAACTAGACAAAAAATAGTCTAGCAGAAAGAAATAAAAAGGCATCATTAATTCCTCAAATGCCCCTCCAAATTTCATTGATAACCCAAAATTAATCTTCATATCTTGAAAGATGTAAGTAAATTGCAAAGTTTATGAGAGTTCTAACAACCAGCAGCAGAGAAAGGGATGCAAGCACACAATGCTGATGAAAGTGTTTCCTTAACAATTATAGGTTTAAGACAATATTTTAGGATTTCACTTATATTACAACTTTGTTTGAGTTTCATTTGTTTAAGATGATGATACTTTTGATTTCTTTGCCATGCTGTTTTTTCATTAAGACCACCATAAGGTGCATATTTTTACAACCTTCGTATGGATTATGCTCCCTAGCAAATTTTCTAAAGATTTAGCTACACATTTATTTTCAATGCACTTGGGAGAACAAAGATTGAGGGAAGTTGGATGCAAGAAGGAAAAGGAAAAGCAACAAAACCTGTATCTTGTTTACGGCAGATCTATCACGATACAAAAGCACTCGCATGCATTTTTCCAGCAACTTAACACCTTCTTCAAAGGTCAAATTTTCGTGCCACTCATCACGGAGAATTGGCCTTGCAAGGTGATTTCCAAGCCCAGTGGCTATATGATTATCTTCAAAATTAATTCCAATCATGTTAACCTGTATAAGATTCATAAATCATAAGTATAGAAACTGAGTAAACTGCAGGCTACTCATTGTTGAACAAAATAAAAAAACAAACCAAGGGATACCATGCCAAGGTACTTTTGTCCATTCTTCACACCACCAAGTACAAGAGAGTTCCACAAAGGGTTGAACTTATTACGCCTGTTATACATCACTCGAGTTAAATAGTTGTGCACCTCCTTAGGCCCTAGAGAATTACCATCATCCCACATGTTGTCATTAAGGCTGCAACAGTCATAATTGAAAATCAACAGTTACATGGGAATGTTGTAGTAATTAAATCTGAAATGATTGGGCAGGGAAATACACAGGGTGAACAAATTCCCTGAAGTATGAAAAAAAAACACCATAAATAAATCAAGCAAGGGAAACAAAAACAAACACGAAGCAATTAACTAAGTAGATTTTTCTTTCTTTGTGTTATGAGAAACAACCAAGACTTACATGAGTTCGTCTAGGTAGCGTAAAATCTCCTGAAAATCACTTATTTCCCCAGTAGCACCAAGAAGGGAATGTTTCCCAATAGCCTTTATGCGCTCAACACTCTTGTATCGCAAGGTAGACCCATAGGAACCTATCACCATAACCACCATTGACATAAGACACAGTGAGGTCATTACATTGGCGGGGGGGGGGGGGGTTGAACTACATATTGATGATTCAGAACAGCACTTTTACTAAAGTACATTATTCAACAGAAAAGAAGGCACATTTTTGTTTTAAAAACAAAAAATGAAAAAGGAACAATTCAAGCGCAAAATTCCAAGACAATTTTTTGCCAAATATATATACCTAATCAAAGAAGGATTTTGGACAGGTAAATACTAATTGGACTATTCACATACAAACTCAACGTGCAATAAAAAAAAAAGGTTTTATCATCTACCATACATAAATGAAATATGAAAAATAGAGATAGGAATTGAATTTGCAACTGACCTCCCATATCAGCAGCCATGAGAATCCCATCTTTGTATTTGATTGCTACCACAGAGGATCCAGTTACATATGGGTACCTAAACAGAAAAACAAAATTTAAGTCCATCAAAAAACAAAATTACACGAATTTAAGATGAATGTACGAATGAACTTCCCCAGTTGCGGCACTGCACGAAACCTTGAACTTTGTACACGGAAATTAAAACGCACACACGCTGCAATGAGAGTAGAGAGAGAAAGAGAAGACATCATACAAAGTTCTCTGTGTTTCAGCTACAGAAGCCATGACTTGTCAATTGAACACTTGCAAGGAAGAAGAGTGGGATATTGAGTTACGAGATCGCAATGGTACGCTGAAGACACTTTTGTTTTTGCTTTTATTATGGTTTTTGTCTTCCTTTTTTATTTTTTTAAGTTTGCCCTTTGTTCAAGAAACTCTTTTTTTTTCTTTTGTTTTGGTCGAATTCTTTTCCTTTTCCTTTTTTATTTTTCTTTTTTCTTTTCCTGCAAAAACCGAGGAAATAGGCTGAAATGTAACCAAGAAAAGAATAATGGACCGAAAGTCTTCTACCGTTTATGTTGGGCTACTAAGGTTTGGTTGTTCAGAGCTTCAAATCTCTGTTATTTGACAGTAGACAATTTTTTTGTTGACCCAAAAAATACTTTTCTTTTATTTATTTTCTAGAAAAGACTGTGTATAATTTTTCTTTTGTAAAGTTTAAATAACTTGTTTAAATGATTGTAGTGCTATCCCTTTAGTGCAATATAATGTATTTTTAATTTTTATTCGTATATTTTTGTTTTCACATATTGGGTTAAAAAAAACGGATAAAGATTTTAAAAAATGTTCACAATTATTTATATGCAATATAAAAAATGTTAAAGATAAACTCATGACCTCTTTTCTCCTACGTTTATATTTCAAGGTTGAGAATTTAAGGGGCGCTCGATGTATAAAATATTTTTTAGTTTTTAAATAATATATTTAATATATCTTAAATATTATTAAAAATGTTACATAATTTTTTAAAAAATTCCATTGATATCATATTTAATTTAAATATTGTTTATTAAAAATATTGACACTATTTTAAAAAAGTTACTTTTAGTAATTCATAGTTTTATTTATATTACTAACTAAATTTATGCTTGTTTTAAAATATATTAAAATTCAAAATAAAAACAATATAAGATATATATATATATATATATATATATATATATGAAAGGATTAATTTAAGTATTGCTGGCATTAAAAAAACTACTTTATTCAATTATGACACGAACTTAACAAATACATTTAATTGTTAAAATAGTTAGCACTTTTTATTATTATAATAAGGATTTTAAAGGTTTGTCTTAACGTTGAATGATAAAAAAAAAGTTCTTATTTTAACGAAAATATACAAGATATAAGTAATTTATAATTTTAGTATATTTAAAGAAAAATATACAAATGTTTTAAATAAAAATTAGAAATAAGTAATAAAAAATAAAGTATAATTTATTTTTAACAGTTTTATAATAGAAAATTAAAAATAAATTAAATTATGATACATTTTAAATATAAGTTATATAATTTGAAAATTAAAAATAATAGAGTATATTCATATTGAAGAAAACAAGAACGGTTTGTAAAGGCTTTCTAAAATGTTTCCTCCTAGTCACGTATAAAACATTTAGGCAACACAAATACGAAGGAAACATCGAAAAATAATAAACGCATAGTAGACATGAGCACACCAAAACCGAACCCGGACGTGTTACCGTAAAAAGGCGGATTGGATAATGGGTGATGGGTCCGAATTTTTGTAAGTGGAGAGATTTGTTATGGTTTTGGGGTCTTCTCTCCCGAGTCAAAAAGAACACGCAAAGCAAACCAAGCCACCCTCCCCATCACCATTCAACACAACACAAAACAATCGTGTCCATTGTCGGTGTGGACCTCCCTTTCCCCCAAACCCTAATCGCCACCTCCTCCGATTTCTTTCTATGGTTCATCATTCCTATTCCCTTTTCCTTGCTCCGATCAATTACGCTTTTTACTTCCAATTCGTTTAGTTCCGTAATTCACTTTTTAACTCTATTATTTAATTTCATTTAATTAGACCGAGTGCTGTTGGGACCAGCATGTACTAGTTTCCTTCTTGATTGTACAGTTTTGATTCTGAATTGTTGAGTTTGAGGACATGGATTTGGTACCAAGTATCAAGGTATATGCTGTATCCTTGACTTTTCACTTTAGGTTTTCTAATATATGCTCTAAATTGATACATAGATAATCATTTTGCATCTGCAAGTCTCCTAGGGATTCCTTGAAATTCGTTATTTTTGTGTACTTTGCGAATTGACTTTGCTTTGTACTTTTCGTCAATACATTGATGTGGAAAACGATTTTGATTTTTCTGTTGTTGATAAATATACGGGGTTTAGAGTTGAAACATGTGAGGAGAGCAAGGAATTTCCATGTAGTTTTGAAATTGGATTTTACTGATAGTGAAGGATGTTCGCATGAAAACTGCAGTATGGACTTTAATGTTTTTTGTAGATTTGATTTATTATCATAGAAATATTGTTAGCCATGGCATGGTGTTCATTGTTCAGTATGTGTTTTGTTTTTCACTGTCTTTTTAACTGCTCACTATTTTGACATTATTTATGTTGTGATTATGGTAGTTTTGGATACTTTGAGGGCAATGTGATTGGATGGTTGATTACATTTGTCGTTATTCGATTTAAATCTTGCACTATCGGTTAAAACACGAATAGCTGACACATAACTGCACATGAATTTCATTGGCGTTACCGCAAACCGCCGCTTATTTGTTTTATTCTTTTATTTTATAAGTTTATTCTAGCATTGGTCTTATTATGTATGTACTGGTATGTTAATCATTGGGGTATGCTATTATACTTTCCTGATTTATTGACATCCCTTGCAGGAAAAATTGAACTATTTTCGTATAAAAGAGCTCAAAGATGTACTCACTCAGTTAGGACTTTCAAAGCAGGGAAAGAAGCAGGTGAGATAATAAAACTCTTACCTGTTATGGACACTGTTGAATATTATTTATTGTCTGATTACTGCTGCTTGTTGATCGTGAGAATCATTGATCTTCCTTAATTTGTTGATATTTTCTTTTGCATTTGATTAGTATGTTACATACAATATGGATTATTCAATTTGGACCTGTTGCGAAACTTGTGCCTAACTCACTCCCAAAAGTTAGCTCATAGAAGGAGAACTACATTAACCTTTATAAGAAGTATTTTAGCTCAATTCCTAACCAAAGTGGGACATCTTAACATACTCCTTTCATGCCCAGGATTGGACATTTGGTGCGTGAAATTTGCAAGACTAGACATCTACACAGATAGATTCAATAGGACTGGACATCTGCGAGCAGTTCAACATTCAAACTAAATTGGCTCTAATATCATGTCAAGAAACTTATGCCTAATTCACTCCCAAAAACTAGCCCATAGGAAAAGGACTACTCATGTCCTTATAAAGAGTATTTCTATCTTTATTCCTAACTAATATGGGACATCTTACTAGGACCTTTCATGGTAGACATCATAATTGTGGTTAATGACATAGCTATCAATAGTGGTGCTGTAGCAGAATAGTTGAGCAAAGCAGCAACAGGCTGCCACAAAATTAGAATAGCAAAGCAATCTTGAATAGCGGCTAGAATAGTGGCAATGGTGCTGCTATAGTGGTGCTATAATGAAACTTAAGAAAAAAAAAATCATTTTTTCCTTAAAAGGCACTGCTTTGGGGATTTTTATTTTTTTTTTAAACTTTTATTGTTATTTTCTTGTATGTTTTGATTAAGAGCTATGACTTTTTTATTTTTAATTATGAATATGTCATGGATTTTGAGATTTTTTAAAAAATATTTTAGCATCTTATATCTAGTATACATAATTTAATTTGTATATAAAATTTCTAAATACCGGTCATCCCGCAATGTGTTATCACACTAGCATTTTTGGCGCCGCTATTCGAGATTGATAACTGGCACTGCAGTTAATAGTATGAGTTTTCATCTCTTAAAATAGATGGATACAGACGGTCACCTTATGACCTTATGATGTGAAGCGTCGTTGTTGTGGTAACTTTGGTTTTGAGTCCATGTATTATTTCCTTTTTAATCCTGATTGTAATATACTGGATTGGAGTTTTAGGATGATATAATGATGCAAGTGCATTGTTTTTTGTAGGATCTTGTTGATCGCATATTATCTGTTCTCTCAGATGAACAAGGTAAGATTGTACACTTTCAAAGACATACAGGACTCAACCTTTGGGTCTAATTCTATCTTATACTTCTTTATTATTTTCATATTGTTTCTGTTTGTGTTGTGATGGAACCTAAATATTGGAAGTTTAGATGATATCTGCATATTGCAATGTGTATGGAATTTGAATTATTATCTGAATTAAGAATATTTACAAATTGTAATTGTCTTTCAATATGTTGTTTAAATTGGCAATTGTAGTTATTGTAATGTCAGTGTAGACGGAAATCTTAAAATATTTTGTATTTTTTTTGTTTGCTTCAATGGCAAACTTTCCTTGTTGATCAATAAATTTGCGCTGCTTGTATTCCCCTGGGCTTGTATTTGTACCCCAAATTTCCTTTACTTCCCCCTTCTCAAACTTTATATTAAAAGCTGGCTTGCCATATTCTATCTATTTTAGGAATGATGATCTACTTTGTAGGCATTGTTTATTGAATCATAAAGGATCTGGACAATTGTGCATTTTATTTAATTTTGTGATTTTAATATGTGGAATCGTGTTTTCTTCTGTTCCTTACTCTTTCTCCTGTTAACTAAGCAACTTGTTGCTCTTTTCCCAGTTTCCAAAATGTGGGCTAAGAAGAATGCTGTTGGAAAAGAACAGGTGGCAAAATTGGTGGATGACACATATAGGTCAGTGTTAGCAACAACACTCTTAATAATGCCGTCTTCTACCTTTTTGGTATGCTTTAGATGCATGTAGTGTCGTAACATACTTGGTTGAGTTCACATAAATTATTTCATACTTTACTATTAGGTCTCTGGTTTAGGTTGATTATAGTCCTCCATATTTGGTGTAATTGCTTGTCTTTGGCTTTGTTTTTTTTTTTAATTGGCATTCTTGTATTTCCTTCTGCACAGGAAAATGCAGATATCCACGGCCACTGATCTAGCATCCAAGGGACAGGGTGGATCAGATAGCAGTAATGTAAAAGCTAAAGGTGAATTTGATGATTCCTTGCAATCAGATGCAAAGATTCGCTGTCTCTGTGGAAGTTCATTGGAAACAGAGGATTTGGTCAAGGTGTACCATTAATATGTTTCTTCTTTCTTTATGATAAAGAAAATTCTATGCATATGCACCTGCAAATACTATTTATTGTTATTCAGCCAGTTTATAATCTCATCCAGTTTTTCGATGATCGTGTACTTTTCATTAGACCTCCTACATGTTGCTTACAATTGATAATTTTGAAGTTTAATTTTCCTCATCATATTGTAGTGTGATGATCCAAGATGCCAGGTGTGGCAACACATCAGTTGCGTTATTATTCCAGAGAAACCTACAGAAGGCATCCCACCCGTTCCTGATAAATTTTATTGTGAACTCTGTCGTCTCAGTCGTGCTGACCCGTATGTTAATTCCTTTCTTATTTTAGCCAATAGCTGTATGTGGAGTTGGCAGTAATGATTTGTCTGGAAGTTTCTCCTTGTGATGGCTATTTATTTATAAATTTTATGTTTTAAGGGTTTGGTGTGCGATTGTTTCTTGAAAGGTTGCATTGTTGACACAATTTGTTTATGATTTTCAATTTCTCAGCTATGATACTCTGTAAGAGCACTGAACAGGTGTTTGTAGTTGTGAGATGATACCAAATTGCACTAGCAATTTTATTTTCAATATGATGATTCCTTGACTGCCCAATAATAGTTGTAGAACTGGTGAATTTGTTTATGCTTATTCAGTTATTCTTCAATGGTAACATTGTTATGTCTTAGTATGTTTGGATTAGCTATGAAAGAAGCTTTTTAGCCTTTAAAATATGCTTATTCAGTTGGAAAAAAGGATGCTTTTAGCCTTTAAAAATCTCTCTCCCCCCCCCCCCCCCAAACATTAACATATCCAAAGATTTACTTTGTCTTTTAGTTATGGTTACAGATAGTCATTATGGTGAGCTTCTGACTCACAAAGATGCTTTTGAGTTATATATTTTCTGTCGCTTCAACTATCTAACTCTTTTGTTCTGTTTTTATGTTGAGTTTTATTGAATAGCTCTTCCCTTATTTTATCTGTTATATTCCCTCATACTTGAATGAGATATTCTATGCCTTAGATTATTTAGCATTTTTCATTTTCTTGCCCCGCCACTCAAATTTGTATCTTCTGTTCTCTCTGCTACAGGTTTTGGGTTTCAGTGACGCACCCTTTGCTTCCTGTGAAGTTGATTGCAACCAGTAATCCAACTGATGGGTATGTACATCGTGTGGATGTATTGAAATTAGACATGGTGTTATTGGGTTCATTTGTTTCTATATAAAATGAATGTCTTGTTAATATATATCATGGAATTTAGATATATTGTTTGTTGGTCATTTGCATGTAAGAGGCGAAGAGGTCCTTAATTCTGGTTTGAATACTAGCAAATTTTTATGGGTGGGGGAATTTTCTATATTTTCTGAGCATAAATGCAAGTTCCTTTGCTTGATGATAAGCTTTTTTATCACTTTCGATAGATGTTAAAGTTATTTTATGTTATTTATAGGGATTGTAATGTATATGCAGTATATTATTTATGTTTTGTTAATTAAAATTCTTCGGGTGTTGAATAGGGATGGTGAAAAAATTCGCACCCGCAGGTAATACATGTCGCGGGTCGGGTTCTGATTTTCAAATAGGCATCGCAAGTGTAATAAATGGATTTTTTGATACCGGTTAATCATATGGGGCATGTTGGGTAGTGATATACTCGTGCCCACTGGTACTCATTTACATATGAAATTACAAAATTATCCCTTTTATATAAATAAGAAACAGAACACTAACATTAGTAAGCTAGTTCGCTTCTTCTTCTCTATGGCCTAGCGGTGCCTCCTTTCCTTCCTAAACAGGGTCTTCTCTAGTAAGTGTAAAAGTTTCTCTGGTATGGCTTTGCTGACAATGATTTTTGTCTCCACTAAATGAGTAATTAGAAGACCCAATGAGGGAGGGTGAGATAGATAAATATTTTGTGCTATGTAGATCACTCTGCATCCGCAAAGTTCAGGGGAGCTTTTTTCTCTTCCTCTCGCTCTAGCTCTCAATTCTGCTATGATAAACTGGCTCAGCCCAATAATCTGAAGCCCAAATATCCTTTCCTAAGTCACCTCTGTGAGGATAACGATTTTGAAGAAGCTATTGATGTTATATGTCAACCAAAGCGCGTCAAGGAAGCAATTGAGTTGCTACATTGCATGCATTGACCTTCTGCTCACGTATACTCTACCCTCATTGTTGCTTACATTCATCAACGAGCTCTTGAACTGGGTGAGAGGGTCCAAGTTCACACCAAAGCATCTTTGTTGCTGGGGTTTTCATTTCTAACAGATTGCTTGATATGTACTCCAATTGTAGGAGCCTTGTGGATGCCCAAATGCTGTGTGATGAAATGGGTGACAGGGATTTGTGTTCTTGGAATACTATGATAGCTTGTTACATTGGTTCTGATGATGTAGACTAAAGTTCAAAATTTTATCTTCTTGTTGAGATAGAGTGGACTTTGCACTTTTTGTTAGTTTGTTTTTTCTTTTGTTTTTGTTTTTTCTGAACTTGTTCCTTCTATTTGGCTATGTTTGCTCATGAATAGTTGATGATAGTTATTTATTTATTTGTAATTTTATATTTTTTTATAAGGAATCACAAAACCTGTGGATATCTGCGGGTATCCATTTAACCCAACAGATATCCGTTATGCAGGTACCTGGGTATCGGGGCAGGTGTGAGTGTGTTTCTACACGTGGGGCAGGTGGTGGGTATTTATTACCCCTGCCTGTCCTGCCCCTTTGACATCTCTAGTGTTGAATTTGATTTTTAGGGTGAAAGTTCCTTGGGAAAACAATCTATTAAAAATTGAAGATTTTCTCTTTTTCTTTCATATCTTTGTACCTCTTCAGTGTTTTGTGGAGCTGGGCTGGTAAACTTCATTTTCTTCCCCATACACAATCTAATGACCCTGTGCGAATAATGATCTACATCTATTTTTAAATCCTAATTTTCAATGTGGCTTTCAGATCCAACCCAGTGCAGAATTTGGAGAGAACATTTCAACTTACAAGAGCAGACAAGGACTTGGTATCGAAGCCGGATTTTGATGTTGAGGTTGGTTTGGATTTTCAGTGCTTGTAGATTAATGCATATTCTGCTACTGGAATAAGGCTTGGTTGATGTTGTTGTTGTTGTACATTAATGAGTATCCTTCTATTCGTGATTTGCTCATTTATTGAAAAATGACATGTAGGCTTGGTGTATGCTTCTGAACGACAAGGTTCCATTCAGGATACACTGGCCGCAGTATACAGACCTGCAGGTCAATGGTATGCTAATTAAGTTATGATCTCCTTTCTGATTTGGAATTATGGTTCATGTTGGCTGTCCAGTTTAATTTCCGTGGTGTCTTATGCAAATAGAAGCTCATCATTTTAACACAAAACACCAAATATTTATCAGTGATGGATGCCTTCTCTTGTGGTTGTATTTGAAACTTATTTATTCTCATTGATTTGACTATGACTGTATAGGTTTTACTGTTCGTGTAAATAACAGACCTGGTTCACAGTTGCTTGGGGCTAATGGTCGTGATGATGGTCCAATTGTGAGTTTGTTGTCATGTATAGTTATGAAGTCTATAGCTACTTAAAATTGTCTGACTCAAGCTCATTTACTACTTGTATTCTATTTGTATTGGTTTTATACAATTTCTTATTGAATTTCTCCTTTGTCAGGTCACAGCATATGCAAAAGATGGAATTAATAAGATTTCCTTTACAGGATGTGATGCTCGCATTTTTTGTTTAGGGGTTCGTATTGTTAGAAGGCGGAACATGCAACAGGTAGATTTTATTCTTAGCTTGGTAAATTTTGTAAAACTATTTTGAATTACCATTGGTTCCTTTAATCCAGCCTTTTGTGGTATTGGTATAATAGAAGTTTGATGTTAAGCACCCGCTGTTTGATGTCAGGCTGAAGTTCCTGATGCTGGTACTTTATGGTTGATTACTTAAAATTTGAATTTGACAAAATTTTGCCTGCTTTTCTGTTTTTCTTTCTTTTCAATTTTGAATAGCACCAAACCATGGAAGACGTTTCTTCCACTATAAATTGGAAAGCATGTGTATGGGTCTTGCTTCTGTTCTAAAGTAAATTTAGATATTTTGATTTTTTGTGAAGTTTCTTTAGCATTATTTTTTACTTAACTAGATCTTGTTTGGACTTTGACCAAGTTTGCTTGTTTTAACTGGTTGTCTTGTTTGACTCTCAATCCGGTTTTGGTTATTACCTCAGACTGGAAACCTGATTGTCACCTGTTGAACCAACCAATCCAGTCTGGTTTGAGATGTTTGTGTTGCATTTTTGTCTCTACTTTGGTGTGAATATTTTTACATACAACTGCTTCCCTTCCATAAATGTTAAGCAGTTAAATATTGGTTATCTAGATCCTAAACTTAATACCAAAGGAGTCTGAGGGTGAGCAATTTGAAGATGCTCTTGCTCGTGTTTGCCGTTGTGTTGGGGGCGGAAATGCAGCTGACGATGCTGATAGTGACAGTGATTTAGAAGTGGTTTCAGACACATTCAGCATCAACCTTCGATGTCCAGTATGGCTGTCATCTTCATCAATAGATGAATTATTTTAGCCATTCATGAAGTTTTACTAATCAGTTTTTCTACATTTTTGTGAAATTTATAGATGAGTGGTTCAAGAATGAAGATTGCTGGAAGATTCAAACCTTGTATTCACATGGGTTGCTTTGATCTTGAGGTTTTTGTGGAAATGAATCAACGATCGAGGAAGGTAAGATTCTAACAAATGGCACATGATTTGTCTAAGTTCCTCTGTTCTGATTTTTCGTCTGATAAATAATTAAATTGTTTCTGCAGTGGCAATGTCCTATATGCCTCAAAAACTATGCATTGGAGAATATAATCATTGACCCTTACTTCAACCGCATCACTTCTATGGTAGTTATTTAAGAAACATTAATAATAATTTATGATGTTCATAAATCTTATATTTGATGTATCTGTAGTCATTATTTAAATTGCTTTGCTGGTACAGATGATAAATTGTAGTGAAGAAATTACAGAGGTTGAAGTGAAGCCTGACGGTTCTTGGCGTGTTAAGGCAAAGAATGAAAGTGAACGCCTGGAATTAGGGAACCTAGCACAATGGCACTTCCCTAATGGATCCCTCTGTGTTTCTACAGATGGAGATGTCAGGAGAGTGGAAACATTGAAGCAGGTCAAACAGGAAGGTGTTTCAGACAGTCCTACGGGTTTGAAAATTGGCATAAGGAAAAATCACAATGGAGTTTGGGAAGTCAGTAGACCTGAGGACACAAACACCTCTTCTGGTAATAGATTGAAAGAGGTTTTTGGAATCCCTGAACATGTTATTCCAATGAGCAGCAGTGCCACTGGAAGTGGACGGGATGGTGATGATCCTAGCGTAAACCAGGGTGGTGGGGGCCATATTGATTATTCTACTACCAATGGGGTTGAGATGGACTCTTTGTGTCTCAATAATGTTGATTTAGCATACGAATATCCTGCACACAACACTTCTACTCAGGTGGGTGGCGCAGAAATTATTGTTCTTAGTGATTCTGAAGAAGACAATGATATCTTGGTATCTCCTGCAGTTGCATATAAGGACAACCGAAATGATGCTGCAGATGGTTACTCTGTGCCACCACCTGGAATTGTTGATTCATATACTGAAGATCATAATCTTGGTGGAAATTCATGCTTGGGACTTTTTCCTAATGATGATGATTTTGGGATGTCTTCCCTGTGGTCATTGCCTTCTGGAACTCAGGCTGGTCCAGGATTCCAATTATTTGGTTCTGATGCAGATGTGTCAGATGCACTGGTCCATCTGCAGCATGGTCCTATTAATTGCTCCTCATCACTAACTGGTTATGCCATGGCTCCAGATACTGCTTTGGGATCTGGTAGTATCTTGCAAGATTCCTCTGCTGGTCGGTCAGATGCTGATTTGAATGGTGGTTTGGTGGACAATCCATTGGCATTCGGTGGAGATGATCCCTCTCTTCAGATTTTTCTCCCCACAAGACCAGCTGATTCATCCATGCAGAATGAATTGAGAGATCAAGCAAATGTGTCTAATGGTGTCTGCACAGAGGATTGGATATCCCTTAGTCTTGGAGGTGGTGCTGGTGGCAGTAATGGCAATGCTTCCACTCAAAATGAGTTGAATTCTAGACATCAAATCCCAGCCAGAGAAGGTCCCACCAATACTTTGACTGATACTGGTTTGTTGCTCTCTTACCTTACTGAATCAGAAATGTTCCTTATTTTTGGGTGGAAGTTACTCTTGTTGGAAGCTCCCTTTTTATTACATGGCAGTGTGCAGTTGAGTGCATTGTTGGATTGCCAGTGGAGCCTTTTTTTTTTTGGGAAGGAAAGAGAGTAATAAAATATATTTAATAAAAGAAATAGACTGATCGTGGGGCCAGGACAGGTTAATTGCCCTGGAAAAATTCGTGGGGCCAATTTTTTTTTCCAATTAAGGGTAGCCCAATATCTACAAGACTCTGATTCTATGTTAAATTTGACCTTTAAGCTTAGCTTAACCCCTAAAGCTAGTTTGTAAGATGGATATTGTTTTACCCTTTATAAGCTTTTATTCAACCATATTTATAATCAATGCGGGACTTCTACATATACTTCTAAAATTTTGATTCAATTTGAATTGGATGAGTTTCCAGATTTGGATAAACTCCAATTCAATTAATTTTTTCCAGTTTTTGGCTTATTTGTTTTTTTTTTTTTTTTGCTCAGTTTTTTAGTTTATAGTGGTGGTTACTGGTTAGTATTCTCTTAACATTTTCAAGTGGAAAAAGCAACCATTTGCATTTTTCAACGTTTTACAGAAATAATTGAATTCTTAAAATTTTGTTGGTTTCTTTTTAGACACCTCTTTGACTGCTATCTCTCTGTCTCTTGACTGTAAATGAACATATTTACTAGACCTTTTGAGATGGATAGAGTTTTTGGTTCTTTCATGTGGCATTTTTTGTTTTCTCCTAAGCTTCATATCAAGTTTATTTCGGAGGCTATGAAGAAGGATTGGAAGCTCGGTACTCAGTTTCCTTGCATTGAGCACCGCTATACCTTCCATCAAATGGTTAGGAATCTTCAAATGTTTAGTTGTGGATCACATGGTTCAGCAAATTTTTTCCAACTTGTGTGTCGAGCATATTTCCCTGTTGAAGTGGCACTCCAAAACAAGTTCAAGCCCCCACAGAAAGTGGGCCGGGTCATGTGACCCAGTTTCTTAAAAACCCTGTTTTAATTGCTGATTTTATTCTCCTTTTCTCTGGTACCTGACTACATTCTGTGGTTCTCCCTCTATGATTTTGTTACTCAGTAACACCTCACTCCCTAACACTTGACCTCCCTCTAGTTCTACCTCTCTTAAAGCAACCCTCTCTATGGTGTGCAGTTTCTGCTTGTTGCTTCTCTCATCTGGTTTTGTTGGTATGCTGTGTTTTCTTATTGCTGTTTGTTTCGCTGTTGTTTGCTTGATGCATGCTTCGATCTTGTTGACTTATTGCATGCTCTCTTGTTGCTGCGTGCTCTGATTTGATAGAAACTTATGAGACTTATGAATTCCATGCCAACATTGAAACTTGATTTTGACAGCCTTGGTCAGTATACTCTAAATGTCTGTGTTAATCTGCTGCTGCATCATATCCTTGTGTCAGGAAAAGAATTTTTTAGAACTCTATTCACAAATTCACCCAAATGCCCTTAATTTGTTTTCTTACATTGAAAGTATAAGAAGTTAATTTGATGACTTGAGAATGTGGATGTAATACCTCTACACAAAGTTGAGGAGGTTGACATTCCCTATGTACATGTATGTATGTGTTTTGCATCTTACTCCAACCTCCTAACCTTTCTCATTGGGTTTGGTTGTCCTTTTCAACTCCCAATCAGATAATTATTGCATTTGATTTCTGAGTTAATGACCATTAATGCAGTTTTGACATTTTATTTTAGCATTATTTTTATTGATTAGTTATTCCTCTTTGTGCAGCTTCTTTGCTCCTTGGTATGAATGATGTTAGATCTGACAAGGCAAGTAGGCAAAGATCAGATAGCCCTTTCTCATTTCCTCGCCAAAAGCGTTCTGTAAGGCCCCGCTTGTACCTTTCTATTGATACTGATTCAGAGTAAAGGTCAGACCTTGTGTCTCAAGAACTTTAGGTATTCTTAACGCCATATTTTGTATTTAGAAATTGAAGAAAGTTGAGAGGCATTTTTGGTCCTCGTGAAATGGCAGTTCATACTTCATGTTGTTTGAGGCATCTCTGATAGAACAGAGCTACAAATTACCTTACCAAAATGCTTGCACCTACCATGTTGGCAAAGATTCTTTATACTTGATAAATTGTCCTTATGACTGATGTTGACAGGTAAAGCTCGAATTATTATTCCGTCAATTTTCAATGAGGGTTTGCTGGGGGTATAATCTTGGATTATTGTACAGTTGATCATTCAAATCTAGTAGTTAAAACTTTCTAATTTGGTGGGGAGATCCCATAGGAATATTATATCTGCATTTTTGTCTCTGCTGAGAGCAATAACATGTAAATGTTTAGCCATTAGATTCAATAGTGAAATCAAAACTATTGTTTCTCTTAATCAAATCCGTCATTTTTCAAGGATATTATGCTGGCTTTCGCTCATGGATGGCCGAGGTAGGCGCCCGTTTTCATAATTTCTGAATGTTAATATATATTTGACATGTTTAGTCCCCAAAATGCCTCCCCATTTGGATCGATATTTCTGGGCTGGCCACATTTCTTATTTGCACATCGCCAAAGTTGTCTATAACCCCTGAATGTAAGGGATATAGCCAACTATCATTGACCTTGTTATTTTAAGTTCCGATCTGCCAGCATCTGGCTGATGAATATCGGTTGATAGCTGCTGTATTATTAGGCTAATATCATTAATTAGGCGGTGGAGGAACATTATTTGGGTTTTGGCCACCGTTTTAATATTCTATTCATTTAGTGCTGGTGGTTTAATTATTGGAATCAATTATGTTCGTAAATTTAAATTCTCTTTGCACAAATCAGCAAGAAGGGAAGAAAGATAAGGCAATAATAGATAAAAGGGCCGAGACACATTTAGAGGTATAGAGAGAGAATTCTGAAGGATAGAATGGAGAATATTACAGAGTTTGTATATTCTTAATTACCTATATTCTGTCAATTTTCAACAATGGAGTCCGTGTTACAAAGAGTTTGTATTAGTCTTTACAAGTATCAAAATAGTTGAATGAGAAAATGATAGAAAGCGAAAGAACTATGAATAACTTTCTTTTCTGTCGCAACGAATTTCTATTATTCCTCAAATGCTTGCATGTCACGATTTAACACTACTACTTAAACACGTAACTATGTTAAAGATTGCTAACTACCCTACTTTCTACAGCATGGTTGTAATCGTTGGCTTCTTACACCACTTATCTCAACTGCCAATCATAATCCACGATTGTGAATTCTATATCAGGCACTCATTACGGACTACGTTTTCTTAAAGTGTTGTGTCTTGAGTTGGGCGCCATGACATGATCCACCCAAAATCGGATAAAACTAAAGGAACTCAGAGGATTTAGGATTCTCTGTAATTTTGGTGGAAATTGTGCCTTTAGTGTATTTTTGTTTAAGCGAATTTAATAAAAAATAATTTTGATTTAAGTCAAAAAAAAATTTTTAGGTGAATTTAGTAAAAAATAATTTTTATTTAAGCTAAAAAATTTGTTCAATTTTGCAAAAATTTTTAATATTTTATTTTATTTCCTCTTTAAACTGTAGAAAATTTTAAAAATTTTTGTTTCTCACTAATGACTATCTAATCACTAAAGACTCTTACATATTTTATTTCACTAAATATTTTAAATATATTGTTTAGTATATTATTTGTGTTAAATATTAGTGAGGTAAAATCATTTAAAATCAAGTTAAATTATTGAGAATGATAATAAAAATTATGAAAATGATAACTATAAGAAATTAGTTGAAAAATAATTGTGATATTACATATTTTAAAACACTTAAGCTTTTATTGTATGATCATAAAGTGTGACTATATGATCTTACACAAATGTTTCTTAACTTTTTTGTTGTTTAAAGAAAAAGATGTTTTAAAAATTTTCGTAATTTTGGCTTAAACGAATTTTTTTAACTTAAGCAAAAATTACTTTTTTACTAAATTCGTTTAAACAAATTTTATTGGCTTAAGTCAAAATCACTTTTTGTTAAATTCACTTAAGAGAATTATTTTATTTTGTTTAAGCAAAAACTCACAGCAGAGCGTAGTTCCTGCCAAAATCACAGAGGATCCAAATCTCAGATTTAGTTGGCAATAAGGTAATTTGGACAAAAAATATTCATTAAAGGTGGTTATAATCAGGTATAAGTTTTAAATTTTAAACCCATAAGTATCTGACTTGACTGAATAAATTTTGATTTATTAGTGTGTTCATATTTTTTAATAATTTTTTATAAAATATTATGCTTAAAAATTTAGTAAAATGATAATAAAATATAATTTTATTTACATAAAAATGACTTATTTAAAATACATTTTTATAATAAAAATAATACATTTTTTATAAAAAAAATTATATTCACATGTTTAAAATAAATTTCTTAAATTAAAAATAAACAAATAATATATATACATAGTGATAATAATAAAAATAAACATTTTAATATATAATAAATAAATCATAATCATCTAATTATGCATATATGAGACATTTTTAACTTATTGTCACACTTGCAAAATTTAAGCTTGACTTATTTAAATAATTAAATTTAATTTTTAAACTTAAATTTATTTATCTAATTAAATAAGTAAACCCACCAAGCATTTCACAAATCCAGAATGAATAGTTCAGAAGTACATCGCTAGAAGTGTGTATTTGGTGTGGTTCTAAATTTTTGAGTGTGGTGATGGTGTTGCCAGGTTGGTTGCAATGGCGTCATGGTTTTGGTTGGCTGCAACTTGCAAGGTTCAAGCCATTTCAACACCCACAAAACTTGCAGAATCCACCATCCATTAACTTCAGATCCAAATGGGTCAAAATACTGACCCAGTCAGTTGCGCTCGGATTGGGTGCTTTGGGCTTCAAACCGATTGATGAACAATCTAGTTGTATTTGAAGAAACGATTTGTTTTATAAAAATATGGTATCAATATCATGTTTATATACAGAATAGACATAAATACGTTAAAATATGAATTAACAAAATATGCTCTGCCTTAGTTTCTGTTTTAGTTTTTACTGACCACAATCAAACGCTGTTTTACCAAAGTATTGACTACATTGCAAACTGCATTTGGGAAAGGAGGGTATTCAAACGCTGTTAATCTTTTGGCATGAGCTAATCAAATTGGATTTTTGATAAAGTGTGACCCAGAGACAGTGATATCTTTGAGCTGGGCATCGTAGAGGCTTTTAGAATACAGGATATAGTCATATCAGCCCTTTGAATCAGGGGGAATTCACCTCCAGCTAGATCTTTCCTGAAATGTCTTAACTATGAGGAATGCGATGTATCGCAGAAATTGATGTCAGCATGCTGAATGCTGATAGAAGCAGAATGGTTAATCAATAATACAGAACTTATTCTTCAGATTCTGCTTCCATCACTGGGAGAATGCTTAAAGCTGAAGCACCTAGATGCATCCCCCTAATAACACCTCCATACCCAACCTTAATCTTGTGGCACAGAAGCAAGATGGAATCCCAGAGAGCTGTTCTTCCCTGACATAAATCCAGAGCTGTTAGCAAACCAACAGAACAATAAAATCGTACTGTCCGATAAGAGATCCATTGACAAATCATGAGTAGTAGTAGCATGCAAGTTCACAATGCACATCAAATACATATTGGAAAATAACAGTACTGAAGGTTTAAAAGAAAGGTTCAAAAGTATTTGATATAAGTTCATAAGCTGGGGATAAAAAGACATAACTGACCTGAAGAGAAAACTGCAGCTTCTTATCCCAGTACAAGGCAAAAATTGGGGGACCCTGCTTTCCAACTGCTAATACACATGCTCCTGGGTGCAGCATGGAAGGGACAGCAGACACTACAGCAATGTATTTCTCGGGAAACCTTTCCTTTGGGGGAAGGACTCCCAAGAACAAGGGGTTTTTGCTAGACTGAACTGCAGCATAGGACATAGCATCCACATGTAACATCCACTTTGGATGTTCTAAGAAAGCACAGAACAGATACAAGAGCAAGTGAGAATCAGAAGGTAGCTCAAGTGTCCACTTTTTATTCTTTTTATCATAAACTTCCCCACTTCCAAGATACTCATAATTCTTCAAGCAGGTTCCTTCTGCAAGCTCTGAAAATTAAGACAAGGTAACTCAAGTTTAGATTACATGGGAAAGTGCTGGCCATGAAACCAATCTCAGATAATGAAGTTCCCCTTCAATTTATTACAGGAAATCTGATGAAGGTTAATGACTAATAAGAGCAATATATCCATAAGTCTGCCTACCTCGGATCCTTTGCACTGTGTAATCTGCACGAACACTGCTTTGAGGTAGCAAACCTTTAACCCACTCTCCTTTAACCAAGGATTGAAGTCTTTGGTGTTCAGTGATAGCATCCACACACTCCTGCATAATAGGAACTAAAGAAGTCTGCTGTGGTGACTGTTGCATATTAGATACAAGCATTTTGGCTGTATACAAATTAAACCAAGCAGAATTTGTCAGAACTGAAAAGCTATCAACAAATATAATCAAATTGGGATAGAAAATCACATTTAATGGACTAATATGAAGCAAAGTACATTTGGAAGCCTCAATGGCCTGCAAAAGAGTAGAATGTAACTGATGAAGTAATCCATCTTCATTGAGAGTCAATGCAGGTTGCCAGTCTTGAGTCTTATCAATAGTTGGCAAGGCAGAAGGGCTTCCGGTAGACAGAATATCATTGCCCACTTGACAAATTGTTATTGAAATACCAAGTTTAGCAGCTGCTTGCATAACCTATGAATATGAAAATCTTAGAATCAGGGAAATGGGTTAAATCTTAACTTTCTTCAATAAAGTTCACAACTTCAGAAAATCTATCTACAAACCATTATGAATAGTATGAGTTAGAGTTTGTTCAGACATGAGGCCAAAGTGAGTTTTATGTCTGGTTTTGCTTACTTCCGGTGGCATGTGCAATCATTATTTTGGACTCCTTAGACTTCATGATCTGATGTTTCAGGAAAAATAAAACTTTTTGAATGTTCAGCCTTGATACTGTATTACCAGCCATATTACTCAAATAATGCAAAATATTTTTTATACTCTTTCTTCTTGGAAATTACATACCAAACCATAAGTAACTTTTCCTAATCAACCCAACAAAACTCATTCTTCTTATAATATTTTAAGATAAACACATCCAAATATATAACTCATTCTCTAAAAAGTAACTTGACCCAAAAAATTAATTCTCTGCAAAACCAATCCTACATCAGTTATTTTAACAGAGTAACACACAAATGAGTAGTCCTGAAACCGTCCATGGAAATTTTACATCAACCACAACTTTGTCATCTTGCCATTGAAAAATATTGTTGCCATCGCATATATAGAGTCACGGTCAATATATTTTTTTTTTTTTGTTTAACCTTGATTTGAACATATAAGAAGAAATGAAGAATATAATGAACCTGAATGTGACTTGTCTCAATCTTGCTAAGCAAAGGACTAAGCAAGACCGAAGAAAACCATTGCCTGAGTCGGTCACGCCACTGTTCAATTTGAGGATAAATGCCCAGATGTTCAAAAGCTTCAATAGATTCTTCCATGGACATTGAAGGAGGAAGGTCACCCTCTCCCTTCTTAGGGGGAGTGTTAAACTTTTGGGAACCCGGAGACATCCTCACTGGCCTCAATGGCGTAAGCCTTGTGGTTCCAGAGGTATTAGCCGAGCCTGTAACCGTATTAGGGCTCACCATGCCAAAACCAGGAACCGTAGGGGGCGGGGTAGACAACTTCCCTGCTGATTCATTGATCCTTTCATCCACTTCAGCTAAGAACTGTTCCAGCTTTTCCTCTGATGTGATCTTATTTCCAGAGGAGGCTCGCCTATTAGACCACGGGCTAGAGACTATTGAATCCACTCCAGTTGAACTCCGAGGGGGCGAAACTAAACCAGGTGCAAGATACAACGATGCTGAACCAGGCGACCTCGAGGACGTGCTAACAGAACGAGCAGCAGCACCCTTATTGGAATTTGAACCATCAGCATCAATGCGAGAAGAACGAGTGGGGCTGGGAATTGGCTGATGAAGGGGAACAAGCAAATCTGAAGAAGGCAAATGAGGTTTAGACTTGGGGGGCTTTTTTGATGATTCAGGTTGAGCCAAATCAACCTTTGGCTTCACTCCTAAAAGCTCTAGTTGATGTTTGGTTAGAAAATTCTCATTTTTATTAACATTGTTAGAATTAGGCACAGTCTTAGCAGCAACTACACCTCCTGCAGTATATCTAGCTCTACGCAAAAACACAACTTTGAGGAGTGCAGAAAGAGTTCCAATGAAGATGAGACCCACCAAAGCTTGTAGCGTCTTGGCAAGCCAATCTGAAGTTAAGGAAATTGAATGAAAAATTACCCTAAAAATTAATAAAGGGGAAATTTTGAGGCAGAGATTCTTACAAGCTGTGACAGGGGAGATAGTTTTGATACTCAACATGTGAATAAAGCCATTTTCCCTACAATTTCAAATACAATGAGTGAATTGAAGGTAATGAGGAAGAAGTGTAAAGAGAGTGTAAGTGAGCACCTGAAGATGATAGCGAGAAAGACGAATGCGGATGCAGAGAAGAAGGAGAGGATTGAGAGGAAAGTGAAATTGGAAGGTTGAAGACTGTTGGAAGTGAGAACTGCGGAGAAAGAAGGGTTTTGATAAACGCTGAACTTCGATTTCGATGGCGAGGAAGAAGCCATAACCATGTCACTAGGGTTTTGATTTGAGGTTTATCACTTCAAACCCACTTCTTGCCTCGCATCGCATCTTTTCATTTTAGCTACCATGAAAATGCCGGTTAATATTATACTATACAATTCAAATTTTAATGAATATTTTTAAATATAAACATTTTTCTATTTTTTCATTATTTAATTCATCGATAAGTTCTTTTAATTATAAGTAAATATTTTAATGTTAATAAAAGTATATCGTTAGAATAAAACATTGAGTTAAAATAATAGTTATACTCACATTTAATTATATAGATTATTGTATCAGTAAAAATTATTAATTTTTATAATAATTAATATAAAATTATATTAATAACATATTTTAATTTATTAACATTGTAAAATTTTTTACATATTAAAATTAAACTCAAATTTATAATATATGTGATAATAATAGACGAAAATCTACATTGGTAAGAGATGTTTTTGTATAGAATTTTCAATTAGTTTGTTGGTATTAGTTTATTGTTTTTATGACGTAAATATTTATATTTATCATTTATATCCTAATATAGATGAGAATCAATTTTTTTTTATTTCTTCGTTTAATTATTAAAATTATTATAAAATAAATTTCATTTCAAAATTATTAATATTTTAAAATTTTCAATCATTAAGATTTTGTTTATTTTCGAAAAAATAGAGAGAGATAATATTTTTAAGGAAATTTTTTTTATCTCTTGCTTAAATTAAGTATTTATCTTTGTAATTGAAATATTTATATGATTTGAAAAAATTCATAATGATTTAAAATATAAAAAAAAAGCTGGATATAATTAAATTTATGTTTGATATAAAGAGATATGTTGAAATAAATAAAAAAGTATTTGAACTCAAAATAAATCACCCCTTTGGTGTAATCAGAAAATACAAAAGAAGAAAAAAAGTAGAAAATTGTGCTGGGAAACGTTGCGTAATAAGATAACTATCTAACTCACTTGTCCGAAGATGATCCACTCTCACTACCACCTCAGTCCTTATCTGAATTCCCATGCCATCAATAGTATTATCATTTTCTTTAGAATTTATTTATATTTTAAAATATTATTCATTTTCTTTGGTTAGGCCAATGCAGCAAAAAAGAATATATAAGCCATATAGCAATGAAGAACTGCAACAGCTAAGAGGAGTGAGAGAAAGCAATAATCGATCCAATTTCATTTTGCAAGTGTGACCCATTCTTTTTGCTGTCATGATGCATAGGATCAACACTGCAAGGTCCATTTTTTCAGCGGTTTTCAGAAGCAAGTCTTACCCTCACTCTGCTGCTGCTTTCTCCACCTCCTTGCTTTTCGATGAAACTCAGATACAGGTTCCCTTCAACACCACCCTAATACTTGGCTTTACTTGTTCTTGATATCCATCGCCTTGAATTGTTTCTATCGCAACTTGGTCAAAATGATTGACCTTTTTTATTGTTTTTAAAAAAAATGATTTCTTTTTACTATTTTGTTAGGATTGAGTTTAAACGTCTAAAAATAATATTTTTTATTAAAAAATATATTTATTTTATTAAAGTTACAAGAATATAATTACTGATTCATTTGTTAATAAAATTTTGTTACTTTAAATCACCATTGCTTCAACTTGGTTGCCCTTTATTCTTCTGTAGAAGAAAGCTTGGATGCATATGACATTTTTTTCTTTGAAAAATTTGGTGGGTGAAATAATTGGTCTTGATGGAAATTATTATATTATCAATGAAGTAAGGAAAAAAAAATGAACTAGTTGTTGTTGAAAAAGTATTGCTTTTTTTTCCTCCTGGTTTCCTTTATGTATCTTTCATGAGAGGCAATTTCGCTTGAGACGTGGGTGAGCAATAAATGTGGGCATTTCTACTAGCTGGGAAGAAATTGTTTTTGGTGTTGAATGTGTAGGGCTTGCTCTGTTTAGGCTAGTCATTGTTGTTCTTCTGATTAGTCATTTCAGTTCATTTGTCAATGATGTAGAAAACGAAAATCCAATGACTTTAAGCATGATGGTTTCCTTTGGTATGTGCTATTTGCCTGGATATGCATACTATTGACGTAAGGTTCCGTATTTTGGGAACCTACTGAAGCTGACTTGAGATTTATCATTTTATGGTTGGCTGAAGACTATCCATTTGGTTTACTAAATTTTCAATTGGGTTCAAAATATTGAGAATCTCCCTCAACCCCAATCTGCATCTAATTGTGTTCAGTTTGTAATAATAGTGACTTAAATGTTTGATTTTACAATTTTATAGTGGGTGGAAAATCGTGGGATCTTTTTCACTTTAAAAAATGCTATGCGTCAAAACATTTTGTGTAATGGCTGCTTAAAAGGTGAACTATGTCGTGCTTCTAATGATTTGAAGGTTTTATTGCATGATAAAGTTTAAAGAAAGTGTTGCTCAGTTTGCAACGGAAAATATTGCTCCTCATGCTTCAAAAATAGACCACACGAATTATTTCCCACAGGTGTGTGATGATCTATCTTTGTCATATCCATGAACTTAACACATAGTGCATTGGACATTGTGATTACATTTTGATGTAATTTTAGGAGTTTAACCTATGGAAAAGCATGGGCGAATTTAATCTCCTTGGGATTACTGCACCAGGTAGTCTACTTTTCTTGCTTTGCTGCTTACATTTTCTGATATGTCGAAAGATTTCTTTTTTAGATTTGTAAGCCATTGCTGTTATCTGCCTTTGTGATTTCCATTTGGTAGTTTTTATTTATTCTCCCCTGTATACCTTGGAATCTTTACAATACATGCATGTCTTGTATGCCAAAAAACATTTTACCATTCTATTTTGGCTTATTTGCAGAGGAATATGGAGGACTTGGCCTAGGTTACTTGTATCACTGTATAGCAATGGAAGAGATTAGCCGTGCTTCAGCATCTGTTGGTCTTTCTTATGGTGCTCATTCTAACCTGTGTATCAATCAGCTGGTAATTGAAGAGAACTTAAGTCTCTTTCAACGTATGCTTTATGATCATCCAATTACTCTTCAGGATTGCTACCCTCTGTTTTGTTTAGGTGAGAAATGGAAGCCCTGCTCAGAAACTGAAATATTTGCCAAAGGTTCTAGTTCTATTCTGTCTAGAAAATCTTATTTGTTTGCAGTGAAATATTTGCTGCCTTGCCCTCTTGCTGACAACGTGTAAGGAAAGGATTAACTTTATCTGCCAAAAATGCTCATAGTTAGCTTTCCCCTCATTTCTTGTGCTCATCAGTAGTCTTGTTTTAATTTTTCTGTATTTATCTATCTATCTATACATGGGCTAAGTTGTTTTTCCTCTTAAATTTTGAAGCTTATCTCAGGGGATCATGTGGGCGCTTTGGCAATGAGTGAGCCAAATTGTAAGATATGTGAATTAAAAAGCAGTATCTTGCAGTTTTAGACATTCCAAGGAGTTTGTTAAGTGAATTGAACTTTTCTGCAGCTGGTTCTGATGTTGTCAGCATGAAATGCAAGGCTGATCGTGTAGATGGGGGCTACGTTCTTAATGGGAACAAGATGTGGTGTACTAATGGGCCAGTTGCTGAAACATTAGTATGTTTCGTTAAATTTCATTGCATTCTCTCATGCTCTTTGCATTGACCTTATTTGTGTTTGATTTGTCTTTACAAAATCATGCTGTGGACCTGATAATGCAAAATAATGAAGAAAAAGATCAATGTCATTAGAATTTATTACATCATGAATGGCTAAAAATGTAGGAAAAATTTGCTAAGCATATTTATAATATTGCCTTCCAGGTAAACCATCTTAGTAGATATTTAATGTGGATCACATATTTTTCCATTTAATATCTGGCAGAGCTAAGATAATCAGTCTGTGTTCTTACCTAATTTCCTTACCTATGGCTTATATAGGGAAACAAGATTCCCACTTAGTATAAAACTAAATCTTGTAGTTGGACATATGCTGAGAATGCATAGCAAATATTTGATTTTTATATTGTGTTGAATTGAATTAGGTTGTATATGCAAAAACAGACATAACTGCTGGGTCAAAAGGAATCTCTGCATTCATCATCGAGAAGGGAATGCCTGGGTAATTGCTCTAAACCTTGAGTAAAAGTTTTATGATATTGAGTTGAGTGTACAAACCTCTGTATATTGAGTTAATTAATTCTTTGACAATAATGTGCTTACATGCTGTGGCCAATACAACCATAGGTTGTTAATCTTTACTGGCATCACATGATTTTAGGCACAATTTCACTTTGACAAGTGATGCTGTTCAAACTAATGGATATTAAATTGTAACCTAAACCAATTTTTTCTCATGTATGACCCAAGTCTTGACTCGTATGGGACTTACCATGTGCTATAGCTTGGTAATGCAAAATTTTAGTAAAAAATAGAAGTACTGGAACCTTTTTGCATCAAATAGTTAAAACTTGAATCCTGAGTCCTATAGTCTGCAAAAATCCTTCTCTAAAAATGATGGGGTAAAAAAAAAACGAATTATGAGCTCATAGAAAACATGCATGAAATATAAGGGAGGAAGAAAAAACAATTCTTACTCAGTTGAAAGGATGGGATCTTGATTAAATGATAAATCATGTGATTACTGTGATAAAATTAAAGATGAAAATCTGACATTTATTTTTGTTTGACTGCAGATTCAGTACTGCCCAGAAATTGGATAAACTCGGGATGCGAGGAAGTGATACGTATGTATGCATGTTTTGTGTGAAAGTTTCTATATATAATCCTTTTGCAACCACTTTTCCTTACTTTTACTAATTAAGTGGAATTCTGTGAGCAGATGTGAGCTTGTCTTTGAGAATTGCTTTGTTCCAGAAGAAAATGTTCTTGGGAAAGAAGGGAAAGGTCTTGCAATTGCTTTTGTAGACTTTCTATTATTTTTAAAAAGAAATAATCTTTATGTTATTTGGTAACAGGCTTGTTTGGAATAGACTTATGAAAAAATAACTTAGAAATAACTTGTTAGAGAAAGTTATTTTGCATAAGGATATAATCTTTAGGAGCACTTGTATTGAAAAACTCTAATACTTCCACTTATGTCAGAAGCTGAGGATCATTAGCTTTTAAAACAAGTGGTAACTCCACTTTTTTTTTTCTTCCCAATGCTAAGAATTTATTTATTTATTGAAGTGAATCCAAACTGGTTCAAATTCCAGTCTGCAAAAGCTTGTTATGAGACTGATTATTCTTACGTAATATGCCCACATTGGTCTATCATATCAGCCTCTCTTTTCTTTACTAATGTAAACATTTAAAGAGATCAATAAAAGAGCATATTTATAATGTTCTTATCTTTGTTACTTCTGAACCAGAATTACATTTGTAGTGGCACCATTTTCCAAGCATACTCAACACATAAATCCGTAAATTAAAAGAAGCTCTCTATTGAAGTAGGGTTATTAGTTTTCCATTTAAATTGTACAATGTAAAAGCTGATAAAAGAAACAATCACTTTTGTTATTCATTGCATCTCAAGTGTCAACGATAGTTTGATAATACCACTCATTCTTTTTGTTTCAGGAGTCTATGTCATGATGTCTGGGCTGGATCTGGAAAGACTTGTTTTGGCAGCTGGTCCTCTGGGTATTATGCAGGCATGCCTTGATGTTGTCCTTCCTTATGTTCGACAAAGAGAGCAGTTTGGTCGTCCCATTGGGGAGTTTCAGTTTATACAGGTTCAATATCATGCACAAACACAGCATAACTTATTTTGTGCAATTATCCTGCATATGTATTTTATGTGAATGTGAATCTTACCCATTGTGCTATCAATTGATCTTTGGTTACAGGGGAAAATTGCTGACATATACACTTCTTTACAGTCCTCAAGGTAGAAGATTCTACTATCATGATGCTCTTTTCTCTTTCTAAACAAGTTTGCGTGGCAGTAGATAACGTTCTTCATTTCAGGTCTTATGTATATTCTGTAGCCCGGGATTGTGACAATGGAAAAATTGATCCAAAGGTGCATCCACATATCTTTTTCTTGTGGTTAATATAGTACTATTAAGCTTCAACCTTGGGTTCTTGAAATGGACTTCTCTGTATTTAACACATTGCATGAAAGGATTACCTTTGTTCTTTGATATTTTTTTTTTCTATTTCTCGCCATGGTTCTTTGCCTATTCATTGTATTGTACAACATGCTGTCTTGACTAATTTCAGGATTGTGCTGGAGCTATACTTTGTGCAGCTGAAAGAGCAACCCAGGTTGCTTTGCAGGTAAACTAAGTTGCTTGCATTGGTTATAGTTGCTGGTGTTCTTTTGTTCACATTTTACAGTGCTTATCTCCACCAAATCTGCAGGCTATACAATGTTTAGGTGGGAATGGCTATGTGAATGAGTATCCTACTGGTCGTCTCCTGAGAGATGCTAAGCTCTATGAGATTGGTGCTGGAACTAGTGAGATCAGAAGAATGATTATTGGTCGTGAGCTCTTCAAGGAGCAATGACATGCCACCATACCTTACATGCTAATGTTCATTGGAGATTCCTTTGCAGATGTTATTAAACTAATGTTCATTCATCAAACGAGAATTATAGTCACGAGAATTGATCATGAGTGCAATAAACAAAAGTTTCCATTTTATAATTTCTATGTACTTCAAAAATCTTCAAAGCTATTCATTCCTCTCTGAAAACTATGCTGGAAAAAAAAAATATAATTCAGGTCTTACGTTCAATAATTTTATGCCTAAGGTAATGTGTGTAGATACCTCTAGCATCTATTGAAATCAGGTTTAGCCTTTTAGGGGCGTGCATTATTTTCTCTTGCAGTTTATGAAAAATTATATTAGTTGATTCATAACTAGAGTGCGTTTATCAAGTTTTTACCATAACAATATTTTGACTACTGTCAGAATCTGGGACTGCAAAACCGGATCACGCCTTAAACAGGTTCCTAAAAGTAGTAGTAATATTACACAAGCATGGCAGGAAATTGGGAAACCATCACCATCACCCTTATTCTAGAGTACGGAACTCATAAGTGGTAATGGCTTATTTCATTATGCCAAGACTAGCCCTTATTTAGCTAGTATAGTGCACTTAATTGTCAGTCTTTCTACAGCTGACCATGCAAGTTTAGGCTGGGCCTACAAGCTCAAAGGGTAGTAACCAAACACAGCATGAAAGCATAAGTATATAACTAGTTTTGTACAGAGACAGGACCAACATGATAAACACTTAAAGACAACACTGAAACTTAGACTCTAACTGCAGTTGGAGAATAATCTGGCTGACCCACCGAGGAAGACTTTGAAGCCTCCATAATCACTGGTGCCTGTTCCAAACAGCTGTTAGTATCATCACTTATCATCCCAATTGTCATCTTTTCCACTTCTTCTTGAGTATATATATGGATCTTGGACACCACATCACAAAACTCACTGCAGCCATACCAAACATGCAAATTTTTTAGTGTCATTTTGAAAGTACAACACATTAACTTGACCCTAGATAGCTATATAGTACAAGAGACATCAGGCACTATCCTATCAGTACATGTTGAGACTGGTAATGATCATATTGATAATTGATTAGAACTGTTTATTTGAGTCCATGAAGACGAATACTTACTGCCAAGGGTCATCCCCAACAACCATTATGTCATTCTCACTGTCAGTGTACAGGATCCTCCATCCTTTATCAGGATCTTTTAGAAGGCCTTCCATGCCAAATAGTCTCTCTAGTTCACTCAGCAGATCATTGTAGCCGCTCAATCTTGAGAGATCAATGGCTCTTCCAACTAAGCTGCCTTGCTTGTGAACCTTCATTTAGTGTATGTTATATGGGTGGGTAAAACATCAAAGAGAAAAAGGCATATCATAACATAATTTTGTTGTTACCATCCCTCACCTTTGTGCAACTCCTTTTAGCACTGTTCTGTGAATTTTGATTAGTAGTTTCCCCAGACAAAGGAAACCCGAATAGTTTGCAGGCATTTACCTTTCCCTGAACATTGTTGTCATTTGGAATCGCCATACTTGCAGCCCCTAATGAAGCAGCAGCAGCAGAAATATTGTCCTGCAGCTTATGCTCATTTGGGAGATCTGATCTTCCAACTTCATTTATAATGATCCCTGCCTTAGTAGATGGACTGTTATATGGGACATTCTCTCTTTGGAAACTGGTGCTTTTTGAGCAAAACAAGCTAGCTTGACCAGTTTGGTGAATATCACCATAAGGAAAATATGGTGATTGAAAGTTTGGTTTGGTTGCCTGATGAAGATTGAAAGTTGTGCAACTTAGGTTGGGTTTTCCCCAAGCACCAAGGTTCAAATCAACCTTTCCTGTCAGGGATTTCAATGGACACATTTCTTGACCTTGCAAGACCCTTGGAAACCTGTTAGTTTCCATGAAGCCTGCATAGCTGAAAGGGTGAACACTACTAAGCTCAGAAGACGGAACCTTTCTTACTCCAGCTGATGCAAGATTTGGATGACTTGGAGAACTCATCTCAAAACCTGGCCGGTTGGTTACGGTGTCACATCCATAGTAGAGTGACACAAAACCTGCATTTTCTTGACCTTGCAAGACCTTAGGTGATCTTACAGACTCCTCAAAGCCCACCAATCCACTGCCTCCTGCTGCTACCCCACAAAACAAGCCAAACATGAAACATGGAAGAGGATGATTGGGATATACAAGGTAACAAGCACTAAAGTTTATGCTACATTACTTTTTAGGATTCATACCAGTGATGAGGTGACTCTGTGAGGCAGCTTGTAGACCTGTCCTCAGTTTCTTCAGTCTTGGGGAAGACTGAATGCTCAAGGGAGGCAAAGGAGCAGAAAGATCAATCTCCCATGGAGACACTCGGTCTTGATGATTAGTCTCAATATCCTCATCCCATCTGACCTGTTGAATGTCACAGCATGCTTACATTATTGAAGAAATCACCATGTTGTCATTGACTAAGTTCATGAATACTGTAGCTTTGTAGGTAGATTACTACTGCAACCTTCATATCAAAGATCTTCTCTGGCTATCACTAAGTGTCAAACGATCTAGAATGAAACATGAAGAATGTGTGCAGGCAAATATTACTTAGAAAAGAATGGGATTAGACTTCTATTTGAGGTTCACAAATAAGTTGCTTAACAATAATTCAGTTTGATGTTGAGAAGAATAATGTAAATTCAATCTCTGCTGTCTTTAAGTAGCATTTTTATAAGAAAAATGTTAACATGACCACACTTTTTAGTACATTTTTTTGTAATTAGTGAATTTTTAAGGAGTCAAAAAGCTCACACTGTAAGTTCATCACCTTTCAAAGATTATTTTGACTATTTTAAAAAAATAACCAATCATAAAAAGTGTATTTAAAAGTGTTACTGATATTTCTCATTCTATATTCTTCCTTCGCTACAGAAATTTTGATGTGTCTCGAGCAGGGATGTTTGTGTTGGGGTGGGGGTGACATATGGCGAACTTCTGAAAAAAGTTAATCACAGTTTAGTTTAATTTATTAAAAAATTGTCAATTTTTAAAGAGAATTTTTTAAAAATAATTATTTTCTAAATAATTTATACCTAAAATGTGCTTAAAATTTCCTTATCCTCAGTTCCTCATATGTTTCTCAAAAACTACAAACAACAATAATTTTTTCATGCATTGGAAAAGGAAATAAGCCAACTAACGGCAATTACAATATGTAGAGTTAAAAACAAAATATACGAACTTAGATTTAAGTGCCTCATTAATAAAATCCGGTTGATAGGGATACACAGTTGGGAAAATCAAAGTAAATCCGACTCCAAATGTAAAAAATATGGCAAAATGTATTGCATAGCAACGAAGCAAAATTGAAAATGTACCATCAAGCACCTCCATTTTGATTTAGGCCATCTATAGGGATCCAAATCACTCGTTCCAATCAAAGTGCCACCACTACACCTGCAAGATAGAAAGATTATGATGTGGTGTAAAGCTTTTTGAAGGAAGACATAGGAGTAAGGATTTTAAATTATGTTGTAGTTTACCTTCTTTCTTGAGATTCGTCCATTTCGAATCTCATTTTGAATCTTGTACCAATGGTCATTGGATTCTTGATGCTTTTAACATATTTTTTGTATGGAACAACAAAATCCGCGTGACTTGCTCTGTATTAAATCAAATTCAAACACACAACAAATTTATTAGTAGTCACATACCCATCAAACATTAGTAGAGGGAAGAAATTACACCCATTGTAAATTAAAGATTATGGTGAAAGGTTTTATTTTTAATAAGGCCCATTAGAGGAATAATCATAATTATTTATTTTAACATGCTATGAGTAGAAGAAGAAACGCATTCGTTTCCTGTATAATATGGTCAAAACTAGAAAGTAAGATTTAAAGATATTTTCATTTGAGTTTCTAGAACGGACATGGACCATTTGTGTCAAAATCAAAGTGTTCCCTATTCTTCCATCCACATCATTGGAGTGTTTCACAAGTCCATTCCTATCAATTGTCATAGACATAGTGCTGCTACCTGCGTACACTTATCAGACACACCTCACATCTATAAAGTTTTTACCATGTGATTAGTTGGTCCCACATCATTTTTTTTGCATACTTCCACTTTGATTGGGCCAACTCACACATGTGAATTGATTTGCTAATTATTCTTATTATGGAAGCCTAGTTGGGAGATCCTAACTCCTAAGAACATATTTGGGTCTATGAAATCAACTGTCACTCCTTCAGATAACTTCATCTAAGGATCCATAACTGCCATTTGGTGTCGCAGCCAAACAAACTGAAGCTAATGTAATTTTATGTGCATCTTACTACTCAATCCATGTACAATTGGAAGTAACATAATTATCCGGTAAATACTGTTAATATGTTGTGTTAACTAAAACATAGTTAAAAGAACTTAAAAAATCCTACTATCTTGAGTTAATTTTTTGGATTGAGTTAAAATATGGCAACGAAGCTAGCTTATTCAATATTGATTAGAATAATTGGAAAGTTAATGTTCAATTCACTTAATTTTTTAAAAATTATTTAATAAAATAAAAAAAACAAGCCAATATTTCCTCAAAATAAGCAAATTAAACACACAGAGTACCTTGGACTGTAGAAAACATGAAACATGCTTTTGGTGGATATTGCATTTGCCACAGAAGAAAGGAAATTGGGATAGCAGTTCTGGCTACCAATAATTGATTCAGGAAGACCATTTCTGGGTCGAACAGCTCTTCTGATTCCCAATCTCAATTCACCATTTTCGCCCCTACAAAGGCATTAATAAGTAGTAAAGATCTGAAAGTTACTATAATGATAAATAAACTCTTCTTTTTCATGCTTTCAAAGTTTGAAAAGACTTAAATTCTCATGAACAAAAAGCTAAGGTATGTTTTGTGAGTACGTATTTTCGCGCACTCTCTTTTTGGTACTTTATGGTCACTAAGACAATGAAGCACCTTAATATTAATAATACAACTCCCAAAAAAAGGCAATTAATTATTCAAATAAAGAGACAATTAATAACATCCTTCATATTAAATTGTTGGAGGAACATTATTAAATATCAATAATAGAGAGATCAATCCACGTTCAGAAACCTTGAGATGCTGCTCCTCCTAGCACATAATATAGGAAATTAATGCCAATTAAAATGTCCAGTTAAACATGAAGGATTATTAGGTGAAGCAAGAGATTTTTAGGTACAATATTTATTAAAAATATGGTTAAAGTGGGAGACGGTCACGTCGACATAGCAGAGGTGATAGAGATGCACAAAAGGAAAAACTTGCTGCGAGAGTCACCAAAAATTTCTCCGTACACGAACTCACGCACATATATATTGATATATTGAATTTTTTTTAAGTTATTTCACGAAATAAATAACTTTATCAGACTAATAAAATTAAGAAATTATATTAACTTTTTATTTAATTTTTTATAAGAAAATATCTCATTAATCAACGTAAAACGAAGTTATTTATGTCATGTAATAACTTATAGACAAATGTGTTACCTTAGAAAGAGCACCGCATCACCAGAAACAAGATTCTTTTGGCTTACAAAAATACTCCACCCAGTAGTGAGTAGATGACGCCTTGGCTGACCTGACATATTACGAAACCCATTTTGTGTACCAATTAGTAAATATAATATAATAAATAAACCTATGAAGCCACACCTTGTTTTTCTAATTACACTACCTCTGTAAATGTGACGAAATTTCCACTCCACACCATGCAGGTCTTTTGCAACAAGCTCTTGTGAGGGTCTCTGCTGCTTATAATCCTGAAGTAAAAAAAATGTTACCATAATTAACATAATAGACTCAAAAGTAAAACTAGTAATTCACCAATTTAAGAGAGAGAGACACAACTAATCAAACTTTATAATTAATATTATGCTATGAAAGATGCCACACCAAAGGAGGAAAACAGTCTTCAGCAGCTCTACGAGGAACTGAGAAGCCCCCATGAGTGCTTGTATCAGAAGCAGTTAGTGTTTTGCAGAACATGTGAGGGGTTGATTTTGTTGGTGATCTTTCATCACTCTCTTCTTCTGCTCCCATTTCCTCAACTTCTTTGCCCTCAGAGTTCATCCCTGACAACTGAAAACAATCCAGTGTACTCAGTGCTACTTAATGAGATGTACCAAAGGAACAATTGGTGCTTACAACATTTAACTTTTAAGCTAGTTCCTACATAGTGACAAATTTTCTTTGTCCTCCTAATTAAACAAAGAAAAAAAGCTTAATGTGGTTCAAGTTTCAAATTATTAATTTAAATAGAAAAAGATTCAAATAACTTCAGGTAAAAACCAACCTCAGACTGAGGAAGCAAAGTAACCTGAGTATAAACCTCATCATTCTCCTTGTTGGCCTGTTCCAGGAAGTGGCAATTCAGCAAAACAAAATGAACAATAGAGCCAATAAAAGGGTCAAGGAAATATGAAGCATCTTACATGAAATTCAGTAAACATAAGACAATCTAAGAGGGGAATTCAGTACTCACAAGTAGTTGGACATTGACAACCCTGCAAAAGATCTGTGGCTGAAGATCATAGGTGGGAATCTCCAATGGTGTGAAAGGAGAGAAAGAGGCAACTTGTTCTAAGTGACCTTGTGGAAAATAGACCACCACATTTCCTTTCTTAGGAAGAGAAGTGAGAGGGCCAGCACAAGCATGCCAAAGCTCAAGGTAAGAGGAAGACACAAGAGCTGAAGAGGAACTAGAAGACGAACAAGTTGAAGAGGACCAACATCTGACACAAGCACCTTTCTCACATTCCCTATCACAGAATGCATTCTTCTCAACCTCAGTCACTTCATGGTTCAGATCAATTTCCATGAACAGCTAGTGCAGTAGGTTCTAGTGAGACTCAAGTGGAAGTAAGAGAGGAAGCCACCAAAAGCAAAATTCACAACTTTAAAGGAGGCAAAGAGTGTGTCACTGAGTGAACTTAAAAAAAGCAAAAACCCCCAGAAAGTGGAAGCTATAATATCATGAAGAAGAGGTCAAATTATGAAAAAGAATTGATATTTGGAGGGGCACCATAGAGTTAACACAAGGAAAGAGTGGAACTTGATGAATAGAAAAGAACAAGAAAGTCATGCTCAGGAGGATACCCAGAGAGGATTTAAAGATAAGAAAAGAAGGAAGAGAGTAGAAAGAGAGAAGAATATTAAATAATAACAAGAAATTCAACGTATGATTCCACCCCCATTTGCAGGTACTGAGAAGAGGGAGCAGAAGTAGCAGACATAGACAATTGCATAGGAAGCACATAAACAAAAGGCAAGAAAAGCCAATGTGGTAGTGGCTTTTGGATTTAGACTGTTAAGACTCGTAGAGATAGAGTGAAAAAGAGAGAAAGAGGGAGAGAGAGTGTGTATGTGTTGGGTGGGGGGGACAGGCTAAGACAGTACAGAACCCACCCTCACTCTCCTTTGCTTTGCCATAGCTTTTATTTTATTTTTTCTTTATTAATAATTCTTTCACTGTGGTTGTGGGGATGATTGATTGAGGCCCTCCCCCTAGACAACATAAGTTAATGTATAAGGTAAATAAACAAACAATCATTAACAAGGTTTCTTTCTTTTTTTAATATTTTCCCTCCTTTAGTGAATTTGCTATCATTTCACCAAAAAAAAAAAAAAAAGACAATTCCAAAGAAAAAACAATCTGACAACTCAACCTAATAACCTATAATATAGCCTTGGTGAATTTTAAGGCATGAATTTTAAGGTAAAATAGTTGGGTGTTGGGTGCATATCATACTTCACTACATAAAATGTGAAATATAATAAGTTAGCAGTTGATTTGATATGATTTGGAGAGGTGTAACATGAATATCCGACAAATAGAGCTATAGCTACAGAGGTTCATTTAATAAAAAGAAAGTGAGAGAAATGAGAGGGTTTGGGTGTGCCCTCCATGGGACTCTGAAAATTCAGCGTGGTGTGGGTTTTGGCAGCAACTGTCGTGGACTCAGTTTAGTTGTTAAAAGCCTAAAGCCACTCGTAACCCTCCTTTCCACTCACCACTGCACCCCTTTACAACCCATCTCAATTCTTAAGTCTTATCACTCTTCCCTTCTTCAAACTATACTAGTTGTGTCACCCTAGCAATGTCAAGTTACAACTTGCAACACTATCGCTTGAATTTTCTTTTTCCTTTTTTTTTTGGGACATATGCACTGTCTCTATTCTCTAGAGGTTGTGCCTTTAGAAGTAGCTTAAGCTTGCTTGGAAAGAAATTGTTAAAAGCTTGATATATAATCTTCAAAAGATTAACCGGTGGCTGTTTATAATTTTATTGACAACTTTAACCCTTATACTTTTTGTATTTTGTTTAATAGGTCTTTAAATTTTACTCAGTAATAACTGTTAGTCCTTTTAACCTTGTTCAACAAAAAAAAAAATTGTTAACTTTCTTTAATTATAAGTTTTATGCAAAAATTGAGATAAATTATAGGAACTTAATTACATATAAAAAAGCACAACTGAAAAGTTTCTTTTATGCTTTAATTAACTTTTTATAATCTCATAAAAATTAATTATATCCTAAATGTTAATTTAAACTTTGTTTGAAATTTGATTTTTAGAAAGAAAAAAAAAGAATATCTGTGTGATAATTATTTTTCTTGAGAGTGTTTAGATAAAAGAAAATTTGTTTATGAACCTTTATAATCGCATATTTTTAAGTTTCTTTAGTTCAAAGAATTTTATATTAATCTTCAAATAATTTCTTTTTCTTTCCTTTTGAACTCTCAAATAAAATTTAATGTTTTTATTAATTTGTGGGCATTACAATTTGATTAAATTGGTTTGGATTCAATGGCCTTCATCTGGCCTTTTAAACTTCAGATGGAGGTAAATGGCAGTTGAAATGATATAACACGAAAGAAAGACTGTTTCAGTATGGAGGCTTGGCTAGTTTTGTTTCTCCTTTTTCTAGCTGACTCCTTTCACATAAATATAACAATGAACCACATGAGATATCTCTGAAAGCGATGTTTATGTATAAATTTAAGATACAAGAGATATCAAAATATGAAAAACCAACGTGTGAAATTTCAATGAAATAGAAGGATTTTTGCCAATTGAACCAGTAAGGCATGCTTAAATACAAGCTCAGTTAGTATGAGTTCTACACTCACACCTGAGAGTGAGACACATTATACATATAAATCATCCTTTCTAAATTACTATAATTGTTTTTAATATATGCATTGTTATGACCTTTTTTAACATACATCCATAAACAATATATATATTATCAAAAAAATATAATAATATTTTATACATTAAAAAATACAATAGCAGGATAGATTGCATTTCAAGTCAAACTCCGACTTTGAATTATTAAAAGCAGTGTGAATAGTGCAAGTTTAAGGAATCTTTTGCATGTGACTATGTTAAGTACTTAAGTGACATTCTTTCACTTTTTAAAAAATCTTTCATTATTAAAATTCAGTTTGTAATTTTTTTTTCAACAGTTACTTCATTTTTATCGTGGATTTCTACCTCATTTCAACTTCCATTTTTATATTCTTAATTTTTCAAAAAAGTTTTTGCTTTCTTTTTAATGATTTGGAACATTCTTCATTTTTTAAATTTTTTTAAAAGAAAGAGGATTGCAAGACACGATATCACATAATTTTATTTAGATTCAACTTTTTATAAGAAGACACAGTTGGAAAGATGAAAACAAATTATTAAAAACTCATGATAAAAAATATTCAACACATTTTTAATAATAAATTTATTAAAATAAAATTATTTATTTTATATAATAATAAAATTATATATTATTATATCAATATTAAATATTTAATTTTTTTTCACTTTATACAACTCAAAACTTTCTAAATAAATCATAATTTATTTTGTTGTAAATTCTGAGTCTTGAAAACTTTATTAGATAGAGAAGTGTAGAAACTAAAAGTGTTAAAATAAGGGTGAAAACTAACATTAGTTAGCAAATGAATGGTGCATGGGTGAGTAAACTTAGTTAAATCATTTGATGTAGTATAAAAAGTATAAAAAGTTGATATTTTTTATTAGTAATTTAATAGCAACAGTTTTTATATATTTATGATTTAATTCTCTTTAAATATTTTTAAAATTACTCTTTAAACCTTTCAAGCTTGTTATGTTATATCTTTATTATTGTTATGGTTGTATTCATAGCCATTTTTTAACATTTTCAAACAAATGATGTATGTATCACATATATAGATTGTGATTTTAAAAATATCTGCATTCATATGCATCGATTGAGTTTCAATTTATATTCAAAAATAATTTTTGAATCAATAGAACTTTAAATGTCATTTTAGATTTGTAAGGTTCACCTTAAATTCTATGTAAGAAGTTCATGATTTTCATATTTAAATATTTTCATCTACTCTTGCAGTTTCAATTCATAATTAAAATCTAATTATGTATTAATTAATTATCAAATGTCATTTCAAATCTTCACCATGCACTGATATGCACAATAACTATTATATTTGCTTAAGCTAAATGTTAAATTGCTCAAACAAAAAATCACAGAGAAAACATAGCTTGTTGGATCAATATCACTTTAGCGTGTAAGACTTAGCTTATGTCACAATTTTTTTTTAACATTTGCTTAAGTCAAATATATATGGCTTAAGTAAAACTGTCACAATATTTATTGGTTCATCACCGTCTAAAGTTAATTCAAGCAAATTTAGTAGGGCTTAAGAGAAAATTACAGAGATTGTGTTTTTTGTATTTTTTAATCTTTCAACCACATATTTTGAATCATTACTCCTGTATCGATTTAACAAAATTATTCACTTCTAAGAGAATTAGATGACTATATGTTTATGTATTTAATTTGTGCCATTTACAAATATCACACTTCCAAATATGATATGCAAAAAGAGTATGGTTACTTAAGTTTTATATTTGTGAAACAGATTTACATGTAATTTGAGAATAAAAAATAAAAAAGAATTGAAGTAAGACAAAGAAGAATTCAACAAAACTTACACAATACTATTCTAAATGGAGATTATCTTATTCTATTCAATTTCTTGTCTTGAATATCTCTTTCAAACTTTTATCGCTTAAATTTCAACCACATCCACATAATATATTGAACTAGAAGTTAGAAACACTGTAAAAATACTTAAACTAGCTTTAGAAACAAAGATAAAAAAGAAATGAGTTTGAGATAATAAAATTAAGTCTCACATTAATGAAAAAGAAATTGATTTTAAGAACTCGTTCTCTAGAGAAGATAGATGATTTTAAAAGAAAATTATAAAAGACCTATTTTAAATATTTAATATTTAAATATCTTTAATTTACAAAATTTATCAAAAAAATCAAATTATAGATACTATAACTTTTAAAACCTAATAAAGGTCATTCTACTTACTTATATATAAGTCACATAACACGCTAACTTATCATATCTTTCATTTAAGATAAGATACATCAATTATATACTTTATTGGGTGGATTCTAATATCCTCCCTTCTTTTGTAAAAAGTGTATTTTTTTGGAAAGCATAACTTTTACATAAGTGATTAATAATTGAAAGTGAGTCGTTGATTGTTGCATTTTAAAATTGGATGGCTAAGATTAAATATTGAAAAGGTAAACAAATGCGGATATGAATGAATAGTGAGCAGAATGAAGAGGGTTAATAACGTAAATGTGACAAGTTGTGTACATAAAATTTGATTAACATGATACGTCCTATACAGCCGATGTAGATATGGTTAACACGACACAGTAAGGAAGTAATTGTCAATAAGAGACATGACAACAAACGTATAAATAGAACAGCCAGATAGCAGGAAGAAAAGAGACAATGGACATTAGAATAAAAATACGTTGTCTGCTTGAACTGATAGTTATTGCGAATCAAGTTTGAGAAAAGATAGTGCCTTGTTCACTCAAAGTTCTTTCTGAAACAAAAGAGAATGGAAAGAAGCAAAAATCGCACCAATCACAGCTTCTTCACCAAGACCTGTGAACAGCGCCTTGAGTAGCCTATATGAAGTAGCGAAATCGGTCTTATAATCGGGAATCAGAACAGGCAACTATGAGAAAACTTTCCCATTGTCCAGAGCAAGTTACTGCGTACCTGAGAATGATTTAAACACAGCAGGAGTGGACGGAAAAATCTATAAGGAAGCCATTGAAATATGGGTAAAGTAGAAGGTGGTTGGATAATGACATCTGTTACACCATTATTTCAAATTTGAAAATGGGTTGTCACTTCTACATCGGTTGAATTGGATGACCGATGCAATATTCCTTATCTATATGGGTTCTGTCATATAACAGATGTAAAAAGTGGCACATAAAG